GAGATCCACCAAAGCATACAACAGGTCATAAGGTGGCAGATCAAGATCCGGATCAGCGAAAGAATGTTCCTGATTTGAGAATATATTGACCGGGACCTTCAGGGACGATTCATTCCCCGTGTAATCCTGCTGTGGATTTGAAGCCTGTAACAACGGGCCTACTGGAGCCGCTTGCATGCCATTTTGCATGTGGCTCTGTGCTGCATTCCTGACCGATGAATCAGATGGACTGGTGATAGACATATCTGCGCGTCGGGAAGGCAGTGGTACTGCAGAACCAGGGTCATTAAAGTAGTGAGCAGTACGCGGACTGGGGCCATGGGCTGCTGATGGCTCTGATGGAGAGCTATATGAAAGGGGTCCTGCATGAGGCAGCTCGTGACCCATTGGGTTCTGATTCTGCAGGATATGCATCTCAATGAGGCGGGCTTGCGATTGGATGATATCTTCCAACCGATCTGATGCACGAATTAGACATGAAAGTGGCGATGTTGCAATAAGACTTACCGAGTCGTTGCTCCAATTCTTTTCCATACCCAGCCCGCAGGCCAGGCTTTTTTCGTTCTCTATATTCGCATAGCTGGCCGTTACGGGTACACCACCCACAGCTCGGCTGCACTCGGTCTGCTCATTGTATGTTAGAGACATGTCTATTTAATAAGAGCTATATCGTGCATACCGCATTTGACCTTTCGCTGCTTGCAAAGCTCACATCTTCATAGGGTTAGTCAGGTCACACTTGGAAGACGGGGAGCCGTTCGGCCGAGGCGTTTCAGTACGCACGAGACAGTTAGAGGACGTTTCCGTTTCAGAGCTCTCGGGCCAGATCCATTTCCGACATGGTCATTATCGGAGTCGGCAGCAGAGGAATACTCTGCGCTATCTCTGTCTGGATCACCGAAGTGCTGATTGGAGGACGGGGTCTCCTGGGCGGGTAGTGCAGGGTTCGGCATTTTGATTCAGCGAGATGCGCCCTATTAGGGACCGAGCATGATGCAACTGGGTACACGGTGGAATCTCCGAAATGGCCTAGATGGACAAAGGGGAAGAATTGATAAACGCGGCGATCGTCCGACAGAATTGAAAATCGAAGCCGAGGGAAAAGTGGGAGTTGCGCCTCAGGCAGAAACCGGGGCACCCCGCGTTTCTCCACCTTTGGAAACTGCCTCGTGATTCACGGGATATTTGTGTATAGTGGCATGTTGTAAGCATAATAGCTGGTTATTGTGGCAGGATATAGTAGATTAGAGCTATTGTTGTGTATAAATGCCAGTAACTATGGTATATGGGAATATATAGTGGAGTATAAGCATATGGAGCATGCGGAGTGCATAGCGACTATTTACAGTATAAGTGTATCGAAACTACCTTGAAGCAAGGACAAAAGGAAAGAGATATTAACAGTAAACCATTTCCAATTACCCAGAAAGTACAGTAGAAACAAAAGTAAGCAGTGCAGATGCAAGTCCCCGGATGTCCATGCAGAAATTCTCCGTATCGCCGCTCGGTACATTCTCCCCCGAGGTCTCGGGTTCCCTCCGGCGCGAGTCTGTTGAAATAGTCTGAGCTCCCCGCACATTATTTTGTTTCTTCTCTTTTTCCTATCTTCAAGTCAGTCTCTTTTCTTGAATCCTGCGTGTACACATATTGCATCATGGGTTCAACAACGGAATTCCCCCGCATCAAGGAGGTTCGCACCTTCATCATCGACGGTGTTGGCTCCGGCGGTGACTACCACAATGTACGAATTTGCTTTATTCCTCAATCGAATTGAGAGTCAAAGTGCTAACTACCTGAATAGGTCAAGGGAGGCCACTGGCTGGTCGACAGCAACATCTCTACCCCTATGACCAAGTGGGCGCAGTTCCGCGGCTCGCGTACCTCGTGGGGTATCAACGTACTGGGTTCATTCTGCGTGGAGATTGAGGCCACTGATGGCACCAAGGGATTCGCGACTGGTTTCGGTGGTCCTCCAGCCTGCTGGTTGACACAGCAGCATTTCAACCGCTTCTTGGTTGGCGCAGGTGCGTATCAAATGTTCAATATATAGATCGCAAACCCTAACGCATTACATGCAACAGATCCCCGCGACACCAACGACCTCTTTGAGAAGATGTACCGCGCCTCCATGTTCTACGGCCGCAAGGGTCTGCCCGTCGCCGTAATCTCAGTCATCGACTTGGCCTTGTGGGATCTGCAGGGTAAGATCCGCAAGGAGCCCGTTTACAAGTTGATCGGTGGTGCCACTCGCACAAGACTGGACTTCTACTGCACCGGTCCCCAGCCTGGCTCAGCCAAGGCTGCCGGCTTCATCGGTGCAAAGGTTGCCCTGCCCCATGGTCCTGACGAAGGCACCGCGGGTCTGCTTAAGAACGTCGAATACCTGAAGAAGCAGCGCGAAGCTGTCGGTCCTGACTACCCTCTCCGTGTCGACTGCTACATGTCCCTGACTGTCCCCTACACAATCCAATTGGTCAAGCGCTGCGAGGCCATTGGCCTTGATATCGATTGGTGGGAAGAGTGCCTTTCCCCTGATGACTTCGACGGCCATGCGCTTCTCAAGCAGGCCCACCCTACTGTCAAGTTCACCACCGGTGAGCACGAGTACTCCCGCTACGGCTTCCGCAAGCTGGTTGAGGGTCGCAACCTCGACATCCTCCAGCCCGATGTCATGTGGGTTGGTGGTATGACCGAGCTGCTCAAGGTCTCCGCCATGGCTGCCGCTTACGATCTCCCCGTTGTGCCTCACGCCTCCGGCCCTTACTCCTACCACTTCGTTGTCTCCCAGTCCAACAGTCCTTTCCAGGAGTACCTAGCCAACTCTGCTGATGGCCACACCGTCGAGCCTGTCTTTGGTAACCTGTTCTTGAACGAGCCCATTCCCACCAAGGGCTACCTTGATGTCTCCATTCTAGACAAACCTGGATTCGGTCTGGAACTTAACCCGGCTGCTCCTTTGATCCCCGCGGCTTCTATTCTTACTCCGGCTCCTCAGAAGTCCCTGCGCGCTCCTGACAACGAGCAGGCTGCCAATGGCTCTGCTTAAACTATTTTTGCGATGGAATTTTGAACGAATCTTTTTCTGTCCTTGTTCGTTCCATGTTCAAAGACTGTTTACCCGCTACACGAAGTTATGTACATAAGATCAATTCATCCAATAGACTGAGATTTAAGGATGCACGTTTTGCGCAAACTTGTATAAGTCATTAGCTGGCCTCACGATTCAAGGCAATGGGCAATTTATTTTCCGTATCTTAACCGTTTAGCGTAGCATACTCTGTCACTGGACTTTCTACGTCCCGGGGTTCCTTGCCCGATACAGCATAATGGTATTTTTGTAGAAAGGCCGTTGTGCCGGCAATACAGTATTACCCCATTTAGACTAGTATAGCAATATATCAACCTCTTCTTTGGCGTACAAAATCATCTATTTAACGTCTAGTAGCTAAATAGAGAGGGATACTACCTACAGGTAGCTCTGCTCGTTTTATAAGGCTACAAAAAACCGCGTAAAACGTGGGCGACCGAGGCTTTTTCTAATAGACAATTATGCGTCGTATATAACCGTGGATATAGACTATTTAGGATGCCGCTAAGTATCACACAGACTCTATTCCTACCCGTTATTTGCCTCACCTCGGCCTCGACCTCGCTGGCCCCCCGTTGTATCAGCAACCTTCCCGTGCTTCCTGGGCATCCACGATCTCAAACAGCGACGAATCATCCTGCTGCATAGATGATACTGGAGGGTCTGGAGACTTAATTTTTAACTAGTGGGCTACATAGTGAATGGAAGCACCTTAGATCCTCAACCGCCGATACTCTGGGCATCTAGTATTGCTAAGAATTAATGCAGTTTTACTAATAACGCATTGGAAATACAATTACTGCGGCCGGCCTAGGTTGATTTAGCGTACATTTGCTAGGGTCCAGTTATTAAATATGGGGTCCTTCTAATATGCCCTATGTTTATTGAGCCCTTTCCCATTAGCGGACCTGAGTTTTATCAGAGTCCCCGCTATCTATATTTTACTATATAGGTTTCTCTACTCCTAAAGTACCCCAGATATTAAGGCAACGCGGAATGGCCGCTATCAAGGCTACCAGGTCCACTTACAAAAGAAAATTGATGCGGCAAAAACAATGCCGTCGCAAAGCATGTCTGATGAAAAGGCATGCGAATATAGTAGCATGTGCAGCGCGGATGTATGCGTGGGAATTCGTATCCGAGAGACGGGCCAGGTACATATTTTATCAGCGGATACTTTGGGATTTTGGGCTTTCCTTAGCTCGCAATTAGTATGTCTCAAACTATGGCCCTGATGAAAAGATTACTGCCCTATCAAGAACTCCTACTATCCAGCCCCAATGCTAGCGACAGACCAGGATCTGCAGCAGGCTGATAACGATACACCGCAACAACCTATATGAAGTTGTAAGGCCAAAGCGGAACTTTCACCAGAAAGCTTTGTTTTCCCATACTCGGTCAGGGATTTTATGCAACCATTATCTTAATAGTCTAATTTACTGAGAATACAGCTGTTGACGGTCCAAAGATGATTTCCATACATTCACTAGGCAAGCCATAATGGCCTTTAGCGTATTGTACATTTATGTTGCCTGAACTAATAATAGCGATATCTGATTGAAGCTCGGCGGACTTTGACCGAAGTCCGCCTCCGGTTGAGGCGCACGGGCCGGCCTCCAGTGCGAGATAGTCCCGACTTGCAGGGCGCCTTATGGGGCCATAGACCTATCCGTAAGATCTTCAGCAGGCTTGGTAACTGCTTGGCGATCGTGGCCTATTTTGGCATCATGACGGAACGCCTAACCTGCCGAGTTGAGCGTATAAATGGGCTCGGAGTGGTTCATGGCAGCAGGAGTTCTATCCAGTTTGTTATTTTCTCGTTTCATCTGTGGTGATACCAGCAAGTCTCTCGCTTGGGGTATTCTTATTCTCTTTTCTTTTCTTGTCTTTCTTTCCGTGCCTGGCAAACACCATGGTCAGGCTCAGCACCTTAGCAACTCAGGCGGTCCTGCACCTAGCTACATTCTTCACCCAGTCGGCCCTCGCCGACTCCGATGGCATAGTCGTCTGGCCCCCCGAAGTCCCAAACGAAGGAAACGGCTACTCGCGGGTAATCCAACTGCAGCACGCCGGTGACTCCAACGGCAATCTACTAGCCATCTGGGAGCACTGGTACACACAAGGAGACACAAAAAGCAGCAACGGGACTGCATCCCACTACATTATCCGCGAAAGCGGCGACAATGGAACGACATGGGATACTCTTACAACTATCTCAGACCCGCTGACGGGCACCGGGCACCCGGCAACTTTATTCTACCAACCCTTCCTGTTTGAGTTCCCGCAGCAGCTGGGCAAGTATCCCGAGGGTACGCTGCTGCTTGTTGGCAATCTGGCCAAGGATCTGAACACGGACTTTGTGTCCTGGCGGTCGACGGATCATGGAAAGACATGGACCGTCGTGGGGAAATTTCTGCATGGATCGAAGAATGAGAAGGGTCGGATTTGGGAGCCGTTTGTTTACTTGGATAGCAAAGGGGGCATTGTTACGGTATTCTCCGACCAGACGGACTTCCAGAAACATGCTCAGAAGCTGTCGAGTGTTACCTCTGGGGATGGAGGGGACACCTGGAGCGATCCCGAGGAGGTTGTCGTTGGTTCACGCTTCGTCGATAGACCGGGGATGGCGACGGTCGCGAAGATGGATAACGGGGAATTCATTATGAGCTATGAGTGGTGTATTGGAAACGTTACCACGGGCGAGATGACTTCCGAACCGTGCCCTATTCATGTGAAGATGTCGGTGGACGGGGTGTCGTGGAATAAAAGCGATACTGGCACGGTTATCTACACGACAGACGGGATCCAGACATTCGGGAGTCCATATACTATCTGGGACCCGACAGAGAAGAAGGTGATCGTATCTAGCAAGACCAAGCGGTGGCAGAACGATACGAAGGTCTATCCCCCCGAGAATAGACGCATTCTCTTCGTCAATAACAACTATGGCAAGGGCGGCTGGTCATGGGCTCCATCTCCCTGGACCGCCCCCAAGGACACAGATGTCTGTGGCGCCAACTACAGTCCCAACCTACTGCTACTACCCAATGGGACAGTCCTATATACAGCCGAAGCGAGCATAGACGGCAACGACCCGAAGTCGCATTGCACCCTGCGAACCGGTGCAGCGCCCATTGCGAGCCTCCCGTACAAGTCCGACTTCTCCGGCATCGGCCAGGCGGGATGGATTGACTTTGATGGGACCTGGTCTATCGCCGACGACCAGTACAACTTTGCGCCAGTGCCAAGCTCAGCAACGCTCGCGATTACCGGGTCGTCTGGATGGACAGACTACGAGGTCAGTGCCGAGGTTATCATTACGAGCAAGTCGGGTGTGGTTGGCCTGGTGGCACGGGCGTCTGCATCGAGGAGTGTTCCCAATACCTTGACTAGGTATACGGCTGCGATCGACAGCAACAGCGGCAAGGTCACTGTCTACCGAGTAGCGGACAAGGCTACGGCTTTGAAGTCGGAGGCGCATTCTGGTGGTATTAAAGGGAACAAGTCTTATCACCTGTCACTTTCTGTGAGGTCGACTAATATCACCGTTACGCTGAGCGAGGATGGAAGGGCAAAGACCACTGTTACCGCTTCCGACGATGGACTGAAGAGTGGGTTGGCCGGTTTGTATGGAAGCTATGGTAGTGGTGGTTTCAAGAACGTCCAGATCAGCAGTTCGGCTTGAGCGAACTGTGGTCTTTATTGGTACCAATAGGCGTTAATCTAGTACAGCAGATCGTGTCGTGACCAATAATAACCAGTTTCCAGCTACCCTGTCGGCTGCATCCATCAACTAGTTGAGGGGCCGGAAGTGAAGAATGTACTGGAAAACCCAGGAACGATATTACCGCCACCGAGAATAATTTAGCTATATTTCACTAGTCGCTCACATACCCGCAGTTGCATACATTGGAATCTGAGATAAGCAGACCTATGCACGAGACGAACCAGGCGCACCAGCTAAGCCAGGATGAGCAAAGCCATCAAACTCCGCACAAGACGGCTTGACAGAACCAGCGGTCTGGCTAGAAGGGTCGTAGCAGCTTTGCGGCTGGGCAGTGGTGCCATCGATACCCATGGCACTAACACCCATAGTGAAGTAGTCGGCAAATTGCGCCCCGTACTTGATATGCAATTTTTTGTTGGTGTCATAAATGTGACTAACGAGGAGTGGTTGCTTGTTGTTGTCTTTTAGGCCCTTGGGCACCTCGATCTTGATCCTGAGACCAGCTTTGGCTTTTATATTGCCGCGCTGCCACTGGAAGACTTTATCTGGATGTTCAATATCCCTGAGATCAGTCGGGGCGCCGTCGTTTGTACCGTTCATATCGAACTTAAAGCTTCTCGTGTCGAAATCTCGGATATACAGCGCAACCGGCTCGGCCACGGTGAGACTTGCGCCGTCTCGAGCGAGCGAGTTGATAGCCGCTCCGATCTGATCGTGTCAGCACACCTAGGGCTATATGGAAAGAATTGAATGTCTCTTACCGATGGATCGGAGTTTCTGCCAGGGTTACCGTACTTGGAGCAGTTGATCAGCTCATCCGCGTCTGTGATTGTCTTGCCTTTGTCATTCTTGCGGATGACGGTAGCTTGTGCAGCGATGTCAACCTCGGCGGACAGTGTGTTGTTCGGCTGGATCAGATGGGCGATTACGCCTGTGGTACTGAGTAGATTCCACACATTTGCTGGATTGTATACTTCGTTTCCTGTCTCGTAGTCCTTCAGGAAGAAATCACTGTCCACCATGTCACTGGCAAACCCAGAGTTGAGGTCTTTCATCAGTTTGAGAAAGTCGGCTTTCTGGCAACTAGCGAGGAATTGCCAATACTATCTAATGTCAATTATTCTGTCAATGTGATCAAAGGCAGCCTGGCACGTACCTCGGGTCCCTCAGCAGTAAAGGTCACACTGTGGATGTCCCCAGTGTACTTTCTGGCGCCTCGACTAACAGACCACTCCAAATACTCGTCCTGGACTACACGAGAAGAATCTGCAATCGCCCACCGCACGGCATCGCTCTGATATGAATTTCTGATCTGTATCTAGTTAGCGCACAGGTTGTTCCTAATCGAGGGTTCGAACTGACCACTTTAGGAAATGCATTCCATTCGACGGCTTTCGGCGAATCGCCTTGATTAAAGGGTGTCTTGGTACCGTCGAAGAATTGAGTCAACGGGGTACGACCGTTGCCGACAATTTTGGGATCAGCATCGATTTCACCTTGCATCCAGGTTGAAATGAATTCCTTGGACCACTTCTCCTTGTTGGCCTCGGTGAGGTCAGGAAGGTTGCCTGGAGGCTCATGCCTTTTAAGAACGGTGTCTTTCTTCGGGGCCATGATGTTGGGTTGATGGAGCGTTTTGATTTTGAAGACACAATGAGGGTACCTGTCTTTATAGATACTCCAGTACCTTCAGTAAACCAGTGGCCCTGTTTAGTCGAGAATTCTGAGCTCTGCTGTCCACAGTGAGCCATTTCTCGTAGTCGTCGTACGCCTGAAGTTGCCCGATTGCCCAAAGTATTATCCACAGAGGGTATTCGTTGGCTATGATGGGAGTTCAGCTTGTTGTTACATTGCAGCTCAGCTGCACTTTTTGTCCAGACCCGTCGAATGCAGCCAGCGATCAAACCATCACATTTAGCGCTGATTATGTCGTAGGCAACGATGAATGTCTCGGAGGATGTTGCATTGGCAGGGCTTCGTTGCCTAGCTCATGATCGCAGTTCGCCTTACATAGTGTTAGAGAACGTGCAGCTGAATGACAAGTTTTCGTGCGGTGAATGTCAACAACGCATGCGTGCATAACTCCAAACGCGGGAAACCCGAAGATCATCTGTAAAGGATATGCAGGAAACATGCATGATGAGGATTTCTTGGTCACGTCCGCGTTCCTATCTTGGCGCCATGCAGGGTGATTTGTGAAAGTCATTACAAACTTCCTTAATACCCTCGGTTGACAACTCCATGCTATCTAAAGGTCGGCTTGTAGCTGTGATGAGGAAATATCATGTCAAATACACACCAATCAGATTATTGACGATCGTCAGCTCGCTATCACACATCACACCTGAGATACATATATCTTCTCCATCGCCATTTATGATTTCTATTGTCGAGCATACTTCCAAGCAGTCCATCAGAATTCAGTCTCGAAATGACAACACCAGAAATTTGGCATCGCCAGTTCACTAGAGTTTCTGGTTGGGATAATGATACTTTGCTTACAGTTGAGCAGCAGCAGAAACTCCAAGACAAATTTGGCCAGTTTCTCCAGCGGGACTCGCACTGGACTCTCAATACATTGGACGGAATACTTTCCTACTATTATAGTAAGCTTTACTCCAGATGCTCAAGGCGATATGTCACATACTAATTTGTTCTAGACCAGTCCAAGGCGTCGCCGAAAGCATGCAATCTGAGAATGTTTATGATTGCAGACGGAGCCCATGTGGATCGCTCAGGATTGCCTAATAACGGAGAAGGCTGGTTCAATCCTCACTGCCGTATACTTGGAGTCGTCGATTTCATGCTCCAGGGTGACATTATTTTCATTGTTGGGTCAGACGACGTACACAATCCAAAGCGTTTCGTGCAAGTCGCCAGTTGGGATGAAAAGACCTTTCACTATTACGCCGTATGGAGCCTTTCTCCGCGTCAAGATCAGGGCCTAACCATGTATAGATTGAAGACATTAACGGTGATAAGGAAAACAGAAAATGGACATACCAAGGCAACGCATACAATGCGTTTACGGACGGGTCATCTTACGACATGTCATATCTTGGTCCTTTTAATGGTCATGTCAACGGGCCATGTATCATGAAGGAGATTCATGAGTTGGTCTCCATTTGCATTCCACATTCCTTTCCGTAACTGATGATGCCGCAGCCCTTGGTACCACTGGAAGACGGATAGGACCGACCTGAAACAATGCCTCAGCGCAGACCAGGCCAAGCGTTTCAAGCAACTACCATATCTCTCTCCCTCCTCCTGGAATTTATTAGGCAACGTAAACAGTGCCGAAGGGCTAGAGGGAGACATTATCAATGTTCTGGTTACCAGGTGGTTTCAGTTGCACCATGACAACGACTTCAAGGAGAATAATGGCAAGTATAAGTCTGAGCCAGCCAATCTGCACCGCTGGATGGCTCACTTGCTGCTCACGACCACTATCAATATCGCGACTGGCGCCAAAGTAGTTACCTTTTTTGCGGAGAACCCATCAGCAAACGCTCTGCCTTTTCGCGCCCCCCATGATCTCTTTATGAACTTTGAGCTTCTACTACAAAGCAGATTCAATGACATTAATGTACGTCTGTGGATATCCTCACATCTGCCTATCAAGCTACTGACACGAAATTAGGACCCCATGGCGCATTTCTCTCCGGAATTCAAATATGAAGACTACCAAAAAGTCGTCAAATATCTGAAACTTGGGCTCTTACAGGAATGGTCTTCAGACCCAGTTCCGTCAGGTGTAAAAGTGGTGGAGCTCCCCAAGGGTACTCTCGGCGGCGGCAAGCAGACAGAGGCGTACGATATCACTCAATTTCTGGTGGTCAAGGAAAACACAGAGGGCGACGAGATGTACTTTGTCGCCCTACAGACCTCCCTCGAGGATTCAATGGGCGTGCTGAACCTGCCCGACAATCTCGTCAGCCAAAAGCTCCTCCGCTCCATCCTCCTTCTCGACTTCTACAACCCAGTCTACAGCTGGCGTCGTGGCGTGCTAATGCAGTATCTCCCACAAACAACAACCCTTATCGATGGAAACTATGACATGGAGGCCGCATTCGTCGACAAAATTCGAAGCTCCCTGCACGCCTCAGAGGCTGATTCCCCCGAATCCCAATTCCTCACTCTGTACGACAAGCCTTTATCGAACAAGGACATTATGTCTACCTTCCAATCCTACCTGGACAAAGTGACCCATAGAATCAAGACCACTGAGGGATTAACCGACTACATGAGCCTGGCCGAGTCTCGCCGCCGCATATACCGGCCTCTGCCTCTGGACGAGTTTGGGATGACGCTTCCGTATGCGCTTGGGCTTCCGCCTACTTGGAAGCTCATCGAGATGACAGAAGAAGCGACGGTAACGGAGATCCCAGAACGTGGGCTCAAGTTTTTGAATTGTTGGACGGGCACGCTGCATGGGTTTGATCCCAAGTTGTTACCGCCCGATGGTTGTTATGCTCAGGCGAGGGGTGGAAGGTGTCCTAGAGGGTAGTGTTGTCCCTATCACTCCATGACGGCATGCATAAATGGGAGAATTAGGGTTAGTGTCGTATCATTTACTCTAGCAGATACCGTCGCACCTGCTAAATACGCAAATGAATACCGGGGAAAATACATGGACTGTCCAATGTTTTGTTACAGTATTAAGTAACATACGTAGACCGCCCTAGGGCGGTCGTAGCATCTTGGCAAGAAAGCCCTGGAAGACGTTGACACATGTCCCTCGTGGGGTTCCCCACACTCGGGGCAACATCACCACGAATCCCCGAGATCTTATCGGAGAGAAATCCACATGGACACAGCCCACCTTGAGCCTTGGAATTGAACTTCCTCATTCTCATATTAACCTCTTCAAAATGCCTCTCCCTCAGTTACTAGTTGGCAAGGTTGCCGCCATCACCGGTGGTCTCACGGGAATCGGACGAGTAAGCTCTCCCCGCATGTCCATAATTTCAAAGAACATGCAGTTCAGAAGGAGTCCGCCTAACAAGCAATCCCACAGGCAATTGCCCTTGACTACCTCCGCCACGGAGCCAATGTCTCAATCAGTCACCTCGGCGGTGCAAAGGAAGACACACTCCTGGAAGCCCTGCGGAAAGATGTGAACGAGATCGAGGCCGGGGCCGCCGAGAACCGTTTCCTCACAGTATCAGGTGACATATCCCAGCCCGAGACTGGTCAGGATTTTGTCGCAAAGACAGTCGAGAAGTTCGGTCGTCTAGATGTTTTCGTGAGCAACGCAGGCGTGTGCCAATTTGCAGAATTCCTAGAGTGAGATTTCCCCGCTTGCCAGCATACCCATACCCATACCTATTCGAGCCCGCCATCCTTACTGAATTCTCCCCTGGCTAACGTAAATCCAGACTCGAACCCTCCCTCCTAAACCAAACAATCTCAACAAACCTCTCAGGCACCTTCTACGCCACCCAAGCCGCAGCCCGACAAATGGCACAGGCGCAATCCCCGCCCGGCGGTTCTATCATCGGCGTGAGCTCCATCTCCGCGCTTGTCGGCGGCGGCCAGCAGACTCACTACACACCCACCAAGGCTGGCGTGCTAAGTCTGATGCAGTCATGCGCCGTGGCGCTGGGGAAGTATGGCATTCGTTGTAATGCGTTGTTGCCTGGTACTATTCGTACGCAGCTTAATGAGGAGGATATGAAGGATCCTGTTAAGAGGGCTTATATGGAGGGTCGGATTCCTCTTGGAAGACTTGGGCAGCCGCCTGATTTGGCCGGGCCGGCTGTTTTCTTAGCTTGTGAGGAGTTAAGTAGTTATGTGGTAAGTTTTTCTGTCCTTCGTTTTGTGGTGTGATGGCGCTGACTTTGCTGTTGGATAGACTGGTGCGCAGTTATTGGTTGATGGTGGATTGTTCGTCAATCTGCAGTAAGAAGTATGGATATATAATTTATATAGTTACACCAGTGACAATCGCACATGCATATTAATCTAACCACGAACACCCGGATATCCAATCATATAAGCATTTATAGCAACCATCGCCCAAACACCCCCCTTCTCCTTCTCTGACAAACCCCTCCGCTCTAAAATCTCCTCAACAACTCGCTTCCAGCGGCCCCACGAGACATCATTCCCACCACCACCAACATTGCAAACCGGCCAATCCGATCCATACATAACACGCTCCGCACCAAACGCATCAAAGACAGCATCTGTCCAGGGCTGGACACGCTCAATAATAGCCTCGAAATCAGGCTCAGAACGCCCATCCAGAGGTTCAATCTCAGAAAACGCCCCGGAAAGCTTCATATAAGTCTTCGGATGAGCCCGAGCCATCTTCGTAATAAGATCTTTCCACTCCAAGAACTCAGGGTGGGAGCGAACAGAAGCAGGCGGAAGACGGAGATTGGGCTTGCACATATGGTCTGAATAAGCAGTTAGTAAACACCATCAGAGAACAAAAGAACAGGACATAAACATACTAATAATAATAGTAACAGCCTCGCTCCCGTCCGTAACACCCTCATAAACCCTTCCCATCATCTCAACCGCCTCCCTCAACTGCCCCAACCCCCCAGACCTAGCATCAACCCCAAGATCAAACGTCAGCCCCAACCTCCCAAGCCACCTCAAACTCCCCACAAAGCCATCCTGAAGCATCGTCCCGGCAGGTTTATCCTGCACGAGATACCGTACACCACGGACCTTCGCCCACACCTCACCCATCCGCACCCGCTCCCGCACTAGATCCAAATATTGTTCCATTACATCTTGCCCGCCGGGGATAGGTGCCCATGGGATAATTGCCCAACAGAGATCTTTATCTTCTGGGCTGTGGCCTTCGCCGGCGATTGGTTCGCCTAGGGCTATGCGTGTTAAAAAGGAGACTTCGTCTAGGGCGTGGGTCCAGCCGTGAATTGGGGTTGAGGTGAAGGTTGAGGTGGGTGATTCTGTTACCGATGAGAGGCGGTCTGTTTCGAGGAATATGAAGCCGCGGAGGGCTGATGCATTGGTTTTGGTGGCTTGTTTGTATTCGTCTATGCTGTGTTGTTTGCCGAGGGGGTTGGAGTCGCTGTGCCAGGATAGAGTTTTTAGATGTGTTGCTGGGAAGAGGTGGATGTGGGAGTCCACAATTGGGAATTGCCCTGTCGAGCTCATTTTCCGGCTTCTATTGGGGTTGGTTGTTGTCTGACGTGGGATATTAAGTTAGTTCATAGCTTCTGGTGTTGGAAGTGCGGGGTTGACGCTTACCATGTGCTTTGAACGCCCGGAAGGATGGAAAGTAACACGTTGTGCGTTTTCTGCTATATGGGAGAAATAAGAGAGACCTATGGAGAATGGAGATTTGGCATAATTACTCGGTGGCTGTTGTCCCGAGTCCGGAGGAATCATAAACCCGTCCTTACGGAGTAGATTGATTCACTATTATTGTCGATTTTGCGCGGTAACTTACAGCACTGTTCCTGTTCAGCTCTATAGAGTAGAACGCAATCGGTTTAAAACTACGTGAATAGCAGTCCTCTATTACCCTTCGAATCGATATCTGTTCTTTCAGCTTTGCAATTCTTGCTACAGGCAGCTTTCCACCATGTAGTTCTTTGCTACAGCAGGCTCCCATAATATGTATATCAAAAGTACACACTACAAACCAGGCGAAGAACCATTTCCATGAAAGGAAGAAGGAAATTCATATGCAGAGGAATCAGAGTATACATATACCAAGTGCAGACATGCACAAGGGCAAAGAAAGAAGGGAATGCATAAAAAACATAACAAAAAAGGTAGGAAAACAAAATCCAAATTCAAAAAGCGCAACGAAAAGGGACGTGAACAATCCCCCCAACTGCGGGTAGTACAAGACAGAAAGGGAGAAGGGTATGTAATGCATACATGCCTCGCAAGAGACATGAAGTAAAAGGTAAAGATTAAAAGGAAAAGAAAACAAACAAACAACAAGCTGAAATCAAGTTCCAAAACGCAACTCCATGGGTCATTTCTGCCATGTCTCAGTTTCTGAAGGAGAGAAACATGTATGTAATGCAAATGTTCTTTCTCCAGTCCGAGACAGGACAAATGGCTCCCGTTTCGATCTATACAAAAGAGTTTCCCAGCGTATTCCGTGATCCATCAGTCCTCGCCAGCAGGTAGGAAAGGCGTTACAATTTAGTCATCCATAGGCTTATCCTCTAGAGTGACCCTGTTAGGCTCACTCTCGGCGATACTGCTGCGGTTGCTATTCGTTCCGCTAGCGCCGACGGCCGAGCCAGTAGGGAAGTTGGATAAGCTACCGAGACCCGGCTTGCGGGTGTAGCGACCACCAGCAGAGCGGGGGATAGAGTTACGCTTATCGAACTCTGTGGATTGAGCGGATGGGGTCGGGGTTGGAGTTGGGGAGCCGTCGGAGGCAGTTTCGGGAATAGGAGGGGGACTTGGCGAGTCGGAGTAGCCACTTGTGCTGGCGGCGATTGAGTCTGGGGATTCGGCTGAGGCGCCGTTGGTGACTGCTTCCGTCATTTGGGTGTTCACTGTGGGTGCGTTCTCAGAGGCAGTGGGGGATCCGCTGTTTGTTGGCACGTCCAGACTAGGGCCGCGAGTGGCTCTGCGGTCTGAGGGGCTGTTGACGTTGATTGGGAACCGGCCAGTCTCTGATGCTCCGCTGGAGCGGTCACGTCGGTGTCTTTGGCGGGTGGCGGGGCTGGTGGCTCGGCTGCGGTTGACAATGGCACGCTGGCGGGCCTCCATTGCTGCACGACGGTTGCTCTCATCTGTGCTGATGGCGCGGGGGCGGTTCGAGCCGGAGCTGCTGAGTCCGAGGGCACTCGACTGGCGTTTCAGTTCGCCAAAGATGGCATCCTTGTGGGCGAACAGGTCGCGGATAAGACGATAGCTGTGGCGCTCGTTCATGGTCAGGGCATTCTCTACGCGAGGGCGAAGAATGCAAGAAGCAAAAGTCTGAGCCAACAAAGTGACGTATTCTTCGTCGGCAGAGGTCAAATCAATCAGGCGCGTGAAATGAGTCATAATGGCATCAAGCGTAGCGATGTTGACGAGACGGAGTTGTCCAAGGGTGCTCTGCAGAACCTTGATTCGTCCGTCTTCCGTGGTCTCGTTAGCGGTGGTGGAGTAGATCGTTTTCACAATTTCGTAAACTTGGGAGGAAACCAGGGAGTCTATTTGGGTTAGTCGATGTGCAAATCAAGTTGGGAGAAAACAACAAACCTGGCAGTTCAAGCAGGTATAATCTCAGAACGCTGGCAATGACGGGAATTTGGAATTGTGGCAGGATCTCTTTGTAGTCGGCCTTGCTGTTGTTCAATATAGCACGAAGCTTGTGGGTCTTGTCCAGGCCAACATCAGTCAGCCAGATCATTCGCCTTGCCTCGTCGCCTTCTAGTTCGGGGTAGCGGTTATCGAGGTAGGTCAAAATGGTGGTGACGAGAATAGGCACACGCTTGCGATCGACGCGGGCTCTGGCCTCAAGATCAACACCAAAGTTCTGTTCTTCAACGGAACCGTAATAGTTCTCGTATGCCTGAATCTTAGGCACAAATCCACCAGTACGGTAGTTCTCCAGCAGATATCTCAAGTCACCAAGAGGCTGAATAGTCTCCTGGTACAGCATCATATGATCAACCGTGCTCTGCAGGTTAGGAATGACATTGCTGATAGCGCCAGAGAAATCGAGCACAACGGCCTTGATAGCCTTGAGACGATCCAGTTCGCACTGCTCCATATACTTGAGTTGGTCAATGATCTCTTCCTCAAGGCGGCAGCGGATCTGGTCAAGCTTGCGCACGGCAACCTTATACCGCTCATCGGCTTCGAGGGCTTCTCTGCGGAGCTTCTCTGAAGGTGTCTCGTTCGGGTAGGGGTTGTTGAGGGGGTTCCACCCAGAAAGCATCTCAGAGACAGATGCAATGGGCGAGTCGGTGCTGCTGCCGTCTTCGCTGGATGCCATGGAAGTAACACGCATGAGAGGCTTCTTCTTCTCGGGAATACCAGTAAGCTGGAAGACCTTAGGACGCCATTGGTAGTTCATCTTGGAGCTGTTGGCAAAGACGTTGCCCATGTTTCCAACCAACCGAAGAAGACCATTGTCCACCATATCCTGACCAATCCGCTCCACTTGGGCGAGGTTATCGGCCTCCATATAGGTCTGGATGTATTGCGCAATGTCCGCACCGGTAGAAACATTCAGATACGTTCCGATAATGGGAACCTTGGCCTCGCCAAGCTTGATGTTGTGAAGCATATGAGAGAGCAACTGCTTGATCTGGTCCGGCGAGAAAATGCGCTCGCCCAACTCAATAGGATCCTCATCAGGCTCCTCTTCAGCAGGCAAAACAATCTTGGGGGGAGGCTGGACCTTAGGACTCGTTTCAGGATCCTGGAAGGCAAGCTTATTCTCTTCCTCCAGGTCCTCAACAACACGACACTTATTGAAATAAGTACTGCGCAGTTTCCGCACCAAATCCGCCTGTTTCGTGTGTTCCTTGATGCGCGACTGGAGGAGATCATGCGAATACTGAACACGTAGATCATGCTGCTCGCCCCAGCGTCGGAATGGCGCAACGACCAATTCGCGGATATTATTGGCGATCTTCTGGTGATTTCTCGAGGCCTCGACCATCTCGGTTCGGATTCCTTCGTATGCCTGTGGGTATCGAGAACGGTTAATATCCATCTTAGTGGCGGCCCGCATGTATCTTCAACAAACCTTTCTGACACTTGCACCGTCGTCCTTGCCGAATCCTGCGGCTGTCATCCTGTCCACGCTCGGGGCAATGTCTCCCATGCGGAGACCGTACTGTTCCTCTGCATCTGCACGCATCGACGCAATGGTCAAGATTTGCCTGTTCTCCACCACGCCTTGCTGCAACTTCCCATACAGAACGCCCAGTCCCGACGCATAGTCGGGCGTCCAGAACGAGTCTCGGAAACCAGGCATTGTGGCGGCTAGAACGTCGCTTCAGACTATCGATCGGAGACACGCAATCTGACGAAACGGAGGAGAACGTAGAGAATGAGCGATAGCGAGTTCGGAAATGGGAGAAAATGGGAGAATTATCGAAGGGCTGATCAGACCGGACTGTTGAGCGGCCGCTGGGATTGTCCCGATGTTGCGATAGGATAGAGGAAATAGAAAGCAGGCAGGCAGGCAGGCAGGCAGAGTTGAAAAGTCAATCCCGAGGTTCTACGCTGGAGCGCGCATAGACCGAGAGACCGATGACGAAGCGAAGACAGATCGCTCTGGAATGCACGGGCAGGAGAGGCTAAATTAGGCGCCGAGTCGCGAAAGGGATTCCGCCGCACAAATGAGGGAAGCCGGGGGATTCGGCAAAAGGCAGCCGCAAAAGAGAGACAAAAAGAGAGATGGAGATGGAGATGGAGATGGAGATGAAGCTAGATGTTGAAGTCACCTGGTAATATTACCTTCCAGGCTGAGACCAACAAATTTCGACGCCTTGTCTCCACGTTTTATCCACATTTTACTATTTTTGGGTCTGAAAATTACTTGGCCACTGGCACTGGCTGTTGCATAAAAGGGGCACTCTCTTTGTATATGATCTATATTCTTATCTGCAATGTCTTTGGGCCCCAGGGGCGCGTATATATGCAAGTACCTACAGTAGGTACAGTAGGTACAGGAACCGGGCCAGCGATCACGGGTTGCCTCAAAACGCTCTCCACAAACATGCCAAGCCTTGATCGGCGCCTGAGGTTGTCAACCTTTTGACTACTTAACTTATATTCTTTTGACTACTATATTCTTTCTTGAGCTACACAAAGAAGTAACATGAAATATGTTATATTCATAGATGGTATCATTATCCTCAAGCAAAAAATGATGGTGAGGTTGCCAAAAAAACATAAGATGTACACATCGGCAAAAGCCGCTCTAACAGAAGAATTTGTAAGCCTTCTTCCACTTAGGCCACTGCTTCTGCTCAGCCCGCTCCTGCTCAATAAGATGCTGAAGATCAAGCTCGCGACGACCAGTTACCAGATCCACCTCAGCTGAGCGAACAAATTTGGTCTTGTACCAGAACTTGTAAGGGATGTAGAAAGCGACAACAACGGGAGCGGCCAGGTAGACCGAGAAGAAGTTGTAGACAAGTTCGTTGGTAGTCATTTCGGCATAGCCGACAGGGGCGAAACCAACCCAGAATTGGGCAATCAACACCAAAATGTTGAAGACGAGGCCGATCCAGGACCCAATGACGCCGGGCTGGGAGCGGAAAGCAAGTTCGTCCAGGGAGTGGCCCTGCTTCTTCCAGGCGCGACGGAAGAGGATGTGGGCACCACATACGGAGCCCCAGGTGAAGATGGAGGACAGACCTGAAATGGCCATCATCCAGCCAAAGGCGGTAGTCTGCTTGTCGGAAGCGGCGAGGAAGCAGAGCAGACCAATGGCGGAGGCGATAATAATGGCAGGCAGAGGACGACCCTTGCGGTCAATGTAGGCCAAGAACTTGGGGGCCTGGCCCTGCTCGGCGAGGGCGGCAAGTGTACGCGAGGATCCGTAAACGGAGGAGTTACCGACGGAGAGAACTGCAATCATGATGACGACGTTCATGATGGAAGGCAGAGCCTTGATACCGGCGTTTTCAATGGCAATGACGAAGGGGGAAGCGTGGGCGTCGGCGGAGGAGGAGCCGCTGACGAGTCTGGGCTCGTCGTAACGGACCAGGAGACCGACAAGGGTAAGGGAGACAACGTAGAACAGAGCAATACGCCAGAACACCTGCTTAACAGCAGTGGGGAGGGACTTCCGAGGGTTCGCGGTCTCAGCAGCGGCCAGACCGACCAGCTCAGTACCGGCAAAGGCGAAGGCGGCGTTGACGAAGACACTGCAGAGACCCTTGAATCCGTTGTTGAAGGCACCGGGGTTGTACCAGTACTTCGCACCAATGTATCCACCCTGAGGACCACCGCCGCAGTTGATAATGATTCCGAGGATACTAGAAACGCCAGTTAGCTTGACATCCAGAAAACAACCAGACAAATACTTACATGAAGCCAAGCACAGCAACGACCTTGATAATAGAGAAGACAAATTCGGCTTCACCATATCCTCGGACACCAAACATGTTGATCGAGACGATGAGAGCCCAGAAGATGGCAACCCAAGCAGCATTGGAAACACCGGGACTCCAATAATCAACGGTGATAGAAGCAGCGACAATTTCCAACGGTAAGACGATAAGCCATTGCAAGGCATAATTCCAACCCATAGCAAAACCCCAAGCAGGGTCGACGAAACGGGTCGAGTAGTGGGCGAAAGAACCAGCAACGGGGAACAGAACAGCCATCTCACCAAGAGCATGCACCGTACAGTAAAGCATGCATCCGATGAGAATGTAAGCGATCAAAACTGAGGCAGGACCACCGGCAGCCAAGACAGATCCGGAACCGACGAAAAGACCAGTACCTAGAGATGGTCAGTAAAGAAACAGACTAAAATCCCGTGCCAAATGCATACCAATAGAACCACCGATAGCAATCATCTGCAGGTGACGACCCTTCAGCCGACGCTGGAGAGGGGAGTGAGCTGTGTTCTGTGCGGCGGTCTCGATGTCGAAACCAGAGCCATCGGCTCCAGCATGGCCAGAGACGGTATGGTTAGGGTCACGCTTGAAACTGTCCCAAATGCGCTGTCCCATGCCAGCCCGAGTGGGCTCCGAACTGCCATAGGCGGGGGGAGCCTCGGGTGGAGTCTGGACCGTATGAGGCTCCTCGAACTTCTTCTCGTCCATGGTGAGGTGATGAACAGTTGCTTATTAGAAGTGGGTGTGATGTATGTGGAGGAAGGAAAGGGGGCTAGGCAATTCCTCGGATTGGGTTAGAGGAAGAAGAGTAAGAAGTGAGGGCTGCACGGCGTGGAGGGGCGGGAAATGTATGGGGGAAGCGACTATTTAAATGCGAGCCAGACCTGATTAAGATAAATTATTTACGTTCCTTTCAAAGTCATAGTCAATGTCTATCTGCGCTTAGACTAAAGTAGACTTTTGCGCTAATTACTCTTCCTCTCTTCTGATAGCCTTGGCGTCCCGTGAACGCCGCCCGGTGCCACCGTGAATTAAAAATCTTATTATTAATCTTATCATTTTGCCTTTCTATAACAAATATCCGCCTGCAAGTAGATAAGGAACACGTTCCGTTTCAGATTATAAGGAAATAAGTACTGGAACAATCAAGGTAAGTGGGACCGCGCTAACTTATCTCTCGCGTGATTTAGCCCGTCAAAACGGACGATCCTACGGTATGCCCGAGCCTGGATCCCTGCTGACTCGACTTGCAGGTCATCATGGAACTGTGGTATAGTCTGATATACTCAAGCCAATAATAATATAGCATTACCAGTAGTATACCAATAATAATATCATATATAATAATAAAAAAGGCAAAAAAAAGACAAAAAAGGCATCAAGCTCAGATCTAGACTAGCTCCATCAGTCCACCTCCGCACTTGATAACCGATCTTTACCCAATGCGTTTTGCGGAGATAAGCCATTGCCTCTTTCTCTTCCGCTCTCCCACACTCTCCTGGAACATTACATCTTCTATTTCCGTTTTCATATTCTAGAATCTTGGCTAAGCATACCTCATCCAATGTCATTCTTTATACAAGTACTCCGTACCAGCCTAGCCCATTATGAAGGTCTAAGGCTGCCTTCCCCTTTACCTATGGGAAGGCTTCCCGTCGGAATCCGTACCTGTGGCTCTACATCCTGCGCTATGGGCAGGAAATATGCGTGCCATCCCATATGGCTTGGGAAAATGTTGCCCCACTGAGGCTGGTGTCAACCGGATTGAGTTCCCCCAGAGACCCTCGGTACAGCATCTTGGCCCTGGCCAGAGGCGAATCAGGAAGACCTCGGTCGGCCTCACCGGGTGCCTTTGACAGTGTATGGCTTTTCGCTTTCATTTTCTGTTTCTCTTCCATCTCTAGTTCTCGATTTCTCGCTCTCGGATGGTGCAATCAATCCCTGCGCTTAGACATTTCTCTATAAACGCATTCCATTCGCTAAGTTTCGGTGGCTCGTGGCGGTCTGCTATTGATATGCATGGAAGCACGGGAGAAGCACACCCGGCCGACTAGAGGCGTGAGGGCGTGTTGGTTTCCTTGCGGGGGAAAGTGACTATCATGTGTTCACAGCAGATGCGGGTGATGATTGGATTAGCGTGGGTGGTTTTGAGCTGCATCCTCGTATCCTCGGGCACCAGGATTACTTTTTCACAAGCTGTGGTAGGTCCAAGATTATGCCCTCGCGTTTCTCGGGGTCCGCGAATAGACTTTAGCCTTGGCCAAGTCCAAGGGATCCCTGAGATGAATCACATTCTGTGGCAAATGCGTCTCCAGATCGCAGGGCTATCATGTACATGTACTGTTGTTCCATGCCAGTTTCCCATGGGTTAACGGGGCCAAATCGTGCAGCAAATTGTACAGCTGGGCAGTGACCCACACTCTTATCAGTAACCACTGGCTACGAAACATCCTCTCAATTCTAGCAGACCACTCCAAGCATGAAGCTCTCCGATAGGCAACAGTGTAAGACCCATACGGTCCATGCACACTTTCCGGAGAATAGGAATAGGGGGCGGAAAATAAAAAGACGCAGTGTTCTCGGCCCTAAGCTTCCTACATAGGGTTGCGCGCGGTGAGCAGCCACCAACAAGCCACCCCCCAGACGATGGCGCGCTCTAGCGTCTATTACTGGCTGAGCTTGCGCAACTGATAGCCATGGTAGCATCGGGTCTGGTGGGTTCGGCTGCCCTTTGCCTCTGAAAGGGAACCAAGGCCGTCTTTGAAGCTTGGCCCGGTATGCCTAGTCTGCCCAGGTGTCTTCCTATCGCTTCGAGGTCCCCCTAGCACAATGAAAGTGGGACTTTGGGTGGCTTTGATCACGTTTCTTGTCTTTGCTGGTTCAGCTTGAGGTGTCAGGAGACTATCTGGAGATCATGATCATGATCACCTTTGGCGGATTTAGGGGGAATAGTTTATTTGGGGGTTTCATGCCGACATGTTTGGTTTAGCACAGCGCCTGGCACATGCGCTTTGTGTTTTGTGTCGCCACTTCCCGCGCCACGGAACTCACCCGCTCTTTCCCTAAATTCCCGTGGACTTTATTTTGCTACGTTCTTGGATTAATCAGCTTGTTCGTAATCCCGACTGTTAGAGCGGCCAAGTCGGAATCCCGTATATCCCATCCGGGAGACTTTCTGGATAGCTTCATTACCCCTGGCCTACCATATCACCTGTCTCATATACGAATATGCCTCAATATACTCCACAGACATATGGAGTCGACTCTAAGTACATCAAAGTTATATAAAATGCGGGGGGTGATATTCTGTTAGGTAATGGTTTCCACTTCTCCCCCCGTCCGGGGTAAAACATTCGCACTGTCACTCTTTGACAACCCCAGGAAATCAGGGATATCCACCGTTAACCTTTAGCGAGTGTCGCCCCTTATTTCCCTTGACGGGTCCACCTGTGGTCCTAACTATGGCTGCTATGTATTTACTCGAGATTGGCTCTGAAAGCTCTCACCGTCGGAGTCCCACGCCTACAGTCTACAGTAACCGAGGTTTGCCATAACCAAAGAATGAGTTCCACTGTACATGTAATTGTATTTGCGGTGTAAGTTATACTTTCACTAGCTTTCCCCGCGTTCGACCAAACTTACGAAATTATGTGGCAACATACCGGAGAGTTACTTACCCCAGGTTATTGTCCCGCTGGCCCGGCTATAAGCTCCGTTGTGGTTGTGATCCACTTGATTTGAGTTCGTCGGTTTTAGAGCTACATGTATCTACCTACTTATCTAGGTAGTGACTGGACTACTTGTGAAATATGAGATACACAGTGATCATAGCTCTGCGATATGAGAGAATAAGATACCAAGAGCGGGACGTTGACAAAGAATCAAGCCCTTTTCTCGTATATTTTGCTTGGGAGTGAGGGAATAGTTGGAGATATCCCAAATAGCCGGTTGTAAACCGTCGATAGCGGGCATAGCCGTTGATAAGCTGGTCATGGCGTGCTTACAGTTTCAGAGCTTATCTTGGCGTGGTAAGCTAGACAGCGACTTGCATGCCTTGTTTCGTATTTCTCATTGGGTGGCCCCTGCAGTTCAATTGGTGACCTGCACCCATGGCTAGTCACTTGTCAGATGTAATGGTTCGATTTGACATCTAGCTTTGTCACGAAGGCTGGCCAATCGCCCCGTGGACATATGGATGGCAACGCGTTTTGCTTTCTCGGGGCCAATGGCGATCTACACACGATGGAAATAGGATATGGCATATTTTTGCAGCAATTCATTCATTCAACCAAGTCTTGGTTATCATTGCTTTCGATATCATTAATACGCAATTGTTTTCTGTTCGTCATGATGGGACTGGGTATCTTGGGCTTATGAGCTTGCCACAGGACCTTCGCCGCCGGGAATCAACTGGTACAAATGTTAGTGAGTCGGTTCCACGATATAAAACCTGTGTCTGATATACCATGCAGATGTTGTTGCCGTTCAGCAAGAGCTTGGGGAGCTTGGTCTGGGCACCGGTGTAGTCGCTGGGATAAGAGTTAGCTTATCAAATAGAACGGTACTCGCAATAAAACGCGTTGTCAATGCCCTTTGGTAAACAGAAGTCACCGAAACTGAGAGATGGCACGATACACCGGCCAGGAACAGCCCACATCCGTGGAAGCTTGAACCAGACCGCAGTTGGCAGCAGGGCAACGAAGTCGAAAGAAAGCAAAGACAAAATCCAAAGCACATACAATTCTGTCACATCTTCCATGACCATGTCTAGTTTCAAAGTCAGTGTCCAATCATATATAAACAGATCATGCAGGGATACTCACTGACGTAGTCATCGAATCCGAGGAGGGTTCCGGAGAATTCTTCATGGCATCAGTATCGTCCTCAGCCGACGTCCAAATCATCAAATTGTGACTCACCCTTGTCACCTTTCATGACAACCCATATCCGGGAGCCGACACACTTGTCAATGAGCTCTATCAAACCAGTTAGTGGGGTCCTGGCTTTTTTGGTTCATTGGGCACAAACCGAGAGGAAGGAGTTGAGAAGCCATAATGTTGAGTAATAGTTTAGCTAATACCTTGAGGAATATTTCCCGGTATTTTCTCACTTCAAAACTCAAGGTGTTGAAGTATTTCGCGTAGTCAAGATTGATATAGAAAAGGACGTGATCGTTTGTCGCTCGGCGGGGAGGTTGATCCGACACAGTCACACTAAGCCAAATGGGGCTTAGCGGCGACCCCGAGGTTGGTTTGCGCGCTTGCTCCGACGGCGAGCTGCTGTACTACTTCACGATCGGCTTGCTCCTTGCCAACTGCCTGCTCGCCCACCGCCAAAGTCACGCCTTGACTCGAACAGACCAAGTTTTTGTCAATTCATTTGTGAGCTCAGGCCCGGTCCACTATGCGTGTCACGCAGCATGCCAACTCAGGCGAATCTTCTGGCGAGTCGGAAATCCCGGTCTATAATCACAACTCTTAGCAGTCAGCTCGCCAGATCTATTTCTCAGAGTGATCACGGATGGCACCCTTGTATACTGCGGTCAGTTCGCTCAATTATCTCCTCTGCAGCTCGAATGGCAGTGCCTCTAACAGAACTACAGTGATGCCAACACGTGCACACGCTTTCCCTCAAGTCTCCGACATGAGACTCCTCCGGCTTCACGCTTCCACAGCCCCGGTCCGCTGAAAACATACAAAGTACGGCCATTTTCTACAACCGTTCGCAGACGGGGTGCGTGGGATGATGAAGAGGAAGTTGTCCCAACTCCCAAAAAAAAGCCCTTGCGCTTCGTGGGACCGAAAAGCCGCTCTTCTCGTGGGCCCCCTGTCCATCGCGATGTAGGTAGCTTGCTTCGGGCGCAATTTTACGCCAAACAAAATCAGCTTGAGGCCAAAGAATTATCGAGGCAACATGCATTGCTTGAGAAGGCCTTCAACAACCTCCCTTCAGTCGATCGATATATCGATATGTTCTTGATGTTGAAATATTTCGACTTTGAGGTCATGATTCAGTACATCGATCGCGAATGTGAACGGTATCAAGCTATGTTCAGGACCCTCTTATCCTGGGAAAACGAGCGGATTCTCGCCATAACCTCATCAGTCGAAGATTCAGTCCTCCGGGCCGAGGAAACTACTCAGAAGCTGGTTGCTGAATGGGAGGGATTGTCATTCTCCATCTTGAACCGCCTAGCCACGGAGGTCTCGCGGATCACAGACAGAGTTGCGCAAGCAGAAAGTGTCACTCAAGAATATGTGGCTGCAGTGACAGATCTGTCATACAAATTAAGACTCAGTCAGGTGGATATTGCTGTCACAGAGGCAGAAAAAGCCATTCAGTTGATGGATCATGATTTCTGTCTCGTCGTCTTCTTTGGGACTCCAGAATTAACCCGAAAAGTGGAAGAACTAGACCGCAATCTAGAACCCTGGCAGCGTGAGCTTCTGAATGTTGCTACTTCTCTTTTAACGCACCAAGTAAACATATCTCGGCTATCTATCCACGACATGGAAGACACAATCCAAGATGGATTTTTGATCCCTCGGCAATCTGCAAGAAGACGAATCGATGAAATCACTGTTGCATTCGACAAAATCCATCACGATTACAAACAATTACAGGCGAAAGCCAACGTGGTGTTAGACGCGCGAGTCCACATCATTTGTACGGAACTCTCTTATGACCCTGATCTTTCCCACAGACAGAGATCCATGTTGGGTCAGCTTGGTCGTGCCTTGTCCCTTACCCGGAACTCCCTTATGGCGGCCCTGCATTCTCACCGTTCTGCCTGGCGAAAAAGGGTCATGCAGAGTCACTCACTCCGAGAAGCTCAACTATGGGAATTGAGTGATCTCTCAAAGGTCTACCGGATGCACAATAATAACAATAATAACGCTCGTGAAAGGCTGTTTGAAGCATTTGCGCTGGGCCCTCGACATGGCGGAAAACTTGCTCAGCATTTGGCGGGAAACTCCCGCGACATGGCTTCCGCCCTTCGTTCCATATACCTGCCACGCTACCGACGCCAACCAGCACGCAGCCCTCTGCAGAACTTTTACTGGCAACAGCTAGATGTAGTTTGGCCGATGTATCATCTCGATACCTTATGCTGGCTGCTGAGCAGTGAAGTTTGGTACCTTCAACACACCCTCAAGGGAAGTTGCGGGCCCTTATGGGAGGGTATTCCCGCTATAGGCAGGCGGTTGTCGGCCACGAAGATAGCCGAGTGGAACTTCAAGTTCCAAGTCCATCGCAATGAGCTTAGACAAGAGCTTGACGAATTTTATAACATCAACTGGATGCGCCTTCAATCAGAGAGCAAGCTGTACGCCATGGGCGAACGCGCTTACCTGAGTGGAAGATTTGAAGTTCCAAATCCAATGAGCCAAGACAGAGGACGTTTCAAAGAATGGGCCATGCACTTTGCTCGCATTTGCTCGGAAGCGTGGATTACCGGCTTTGCCCTGCATCAGTCACCCGAATTCTGGAACCGTCTCTATCAGAAGTTAGAGGCTAACAGGAAAGCGGACAACGACCTTGGCCAAGGGCACCTTCTTGCAGAATTTGGCTCTGATCCTGTCCGCAAGAAAGCAGTCGCTACTCCCCCACTACCTCGGACTGGCTCTTTCAAAACAACCAAACGGTCAAACTTTGTTCGTTCAAGGAAATTGAACGCGCCACGTAAGACACAGGGCAAAGGTGCTGCAGCTCCAGAGCATCGTCTACCCACGCCGAATGCGCAACCCGAAGCTGTTTCCGAACAGAGCGAAGCTCTTCCACTCGCCGACCAGAAGTTCCAGAAGAAGATTCAGGGTACTGGCAGGCCTTGGTGGATGCGTTCGAGGGAAACAGCAGAAACACGCACGACCAACCCCAAAGCCGTCACTCCAGGACCTAAGAATGCCCCAATTGCCTCGAACCAAAACAAGGTCTCACAACCTTGGACCATGGCTCAAAAAATTCAAGAGATTTTCGGGTTCTCGAACGACCTTAATGTCCATCAGCCTCCGCTCACAAAAACACATTCACAGCCAACTGAAGATGCCAGCCTTGACATGGCGGAATATAAACCGTCCGCTAAAAGTAAAAGGTTCCAGAATATGTTTACTGGAAGATCATATTCCTCGCCTTCGGTGGAAGCCAAAGACGATCCCCAAGGCCCCAAAGCCGATCTTCCAGATAAAACGCCACCACACCAACCATATCCACAAAATTTGCCAGAAACAACGGGGATGACCAAGGCTGGGATAAGACGACGACGCAGAAGAGAACAAAGGAGAAACGCCACGGACTATTATAGTCTTCCGCAAAGCGGTGGTGTCAGCGAGGGCTCCCTACCCAAGCAGTCACTTGAGCATGACATATCCCCAATCACGCCTACCAAAATCGAGAGCCCGCCTTCAGGGGAACCGAGTGACGTTCTCCCGGGTAAAAGGCCACCACCCCAGCCATACTCACAAAGCTTGCCAGGAATGGGAACGTCAAAGTATGCGATAAAACGACGACTCAGAAAACAAAGCAGCAGCGAAACTACGGACCCAACCTCCTATCACAGTCTTCCGCAAAGCAGCGGTGTCAGCGAGGGTTCCCCGCCTAAGCAGTCCCTTGAGCATGACACTTCCCCAATCACGCCTACCAAAATCGATAGCCCACCTTCAGGGGAACCCAGTGACATTTTCCCGGGTCAAACACCACCCAACGGACTACAATTACAAAGCCGGCCAGGAAAAGCAATATCCAAGCAAGCGAGACGACGACGATTACTCAGAAGCGTTTTTGGTAGAAGCTATACCACCGACGCAAGCTCTTACCAAACAAGTTTTCGGCACAGCAGCGGTGTCAGCAATGGTTCCCTACCCGAGCAGTCACTCGAGCATGCCATTTCCCCGATCCCGCTTACCAAGGGCCATGGCTCGGATTCACTTGATAAGGCGTCCCTGGATGAAACGGTACCAGCATCGGACATCGATCTCAATGTTAGCGTCTCCGCAGCACCCAAATTCTGGAGCCACAGCTCACAGCATAGCCCAGGCGGCGAAAAGCTCATCGTGCATTACTGCCGTACTCTCCATAACACCGAGGAAATTGCCCAGCACTTCCTCGGCAGCAAGGTTCTCGGATTTGACATGGAATGGAAATCTTCGGCGTCTGCCTGGGACAGCATCCAAAACAATGTCTCGGTGATCCAAATTGCAAACGAGGAGCGCATCGCTATTTTCCAAATTGCGTCGTTCAAGCCCTCGCGGTCTTTGAAAGATCTTGTTTCCCCGACACTGAAACAGATCATTGAATCTCCTGATATCACTAAAGTGGGTGTGTCAATCAAGGCAGACTGCACACGGCTGCGAAAGTATCTCGGTATTGATGCGAAGGCAACATTCGAGCTGAGCCACCTGTTCAAGCTGGTAAAGTACGGCCAGGACAACCCCAAACTGGTGAACAAGCGAGGCGTCAACCTCAGCGAGCAAATGGAAGAGCATTTCGGTCTTCCTCTTGAAAAGAACGAGGATGTGCGTTGTGGCGATTGGGCTCGGGCGTTGAGCTATCGCCAGGTTCAATGTGAGTATCTGCAAGCCTGGAACCCTGCATAGTCTATCTCTATTATAAAAATTGCTAATTTGGATTTTTTGATCTAGATGCTGCTACTGATCCGTATGCCTGTATTCGTCTCTTCAATGCCATGGAGGCAAAGAGACTGGCCATGGACCCCGTACCGCCTCGTCCTGCATTCGCTGAACTTAATAGGCCTATCATTCTTCCACTTGGGCAGGCTGTTAATAGTGAGGAGAAGGAGCCACCGCTCTGAGTTTATTTCTGGATATATTTGCATCATTATTCCCCACTCTTTGGAAAAGATTCTACGCATATAGTTCCATGTCACTCTTGTTTTTTGTGGTCTATTGCGCTTTGTTTATGTTGCATTTTGGCAGCGTGCATCTATCTCGTTCGATATCCAATGTCGATCTTCGTTCATGCAAAATACATATTTCTGTGACATCACACAAAGCTTAGTACCCGGTACTCAATAGTGGCGAGAGTGTACCACGTTCCATCCGCATGGATGGACACAATATCAGGGGTGGTGTGTCTCGATATGGAATATATATATCTGCAGAACTATATCTGTCGGGTGTGATACATCTCAAAATATAAATCCATTAGACGAGTCAGGAGAAATGATTAAAAGTGGGGTATATTTATCAACAATAAGTGTATAAACATCTATCAACCATGCCGATATCTCCAAAAATATGCATCAAGATCAGGAAATATGCTTCCGGCTCATTTGCTCGAATACAAAATTACCCTCTCAGAGGAAGAACCTTCGATAACAAAACCTCCTGTCGACAGAGCGGACACTCAGGCTTCTCACGAACCCAGTCACGGACACAGATCCAGCAAAAGACGTGTCCACAGGTCGTCACACTAGGATCCTTGAACTGTTCCAGACACAATGTACACTTCCGCTGCTGACCCTCTGGAATCCATGAGACAGCACTGGGATCCTCATCCAGATCATATAGAGGCACAGAGGCAGGAAGAAGAGGAATAGCCGAGGGGTTCTGAATCGAAGATATAAGCGCCCCGCCCTCTGAGCGAGACTCACCACCCTCCGCAGACGAGACCTCATCCTCATTCATGCTAGCACCCAGCTTGCGAGCATGCAGGAATCCCTGCACAGCGATCTGGAGAACAAGCAGGACACCCAGGACTTCATACCCGATGCGCTGCTCGTTCTCCTCAATCTTTTTCGTGAACACATAACGCAGCCGCCAGAGTCGTTTCGACAAATGATAATACGAGCCCGTGAAGTAAAAGGTCGCAATGCTTAAGGCGTAAATGGGCGACACGGATGTAATAGAGTCGAGATGTTCAAGTAGATACTGCTGCATGTGCAACTTGGTGAAGAACGACTTTTGAGTGGGAGTATTTGAAAAGGTAGGTTTGTTCAGCAGGCCAGCCTGCTGCGCGGCCCGGAGCTGTGCCCGGGCAATGTTGCGCTCGAGCTTGTTGCGGATCTTTTGTCGGAGGGCGGGTAGGATCCGCTGTAGCGTCCATGGTACTAGGATGCTGCTGAGGATGTATCCAACGCGTCTGCCGATAGACGGTAATCGGAGCGTGTCGTCCTCTAGTTGGACCAGGTCACAGTATTCCTCGCCGAGGGTTCGGTTGCCGATGGCAGTTGTTAGGGAGAAGTAGAGGAGCTCGGTGAGGTGCTTGATGGTGTCGGAGTAGGTGTGTGCGAAGCGGGCACCACGTAGGGCTCGAACGATGCCTTGGGATTGTTGGACTAGGCTGCTTGTGAGGAAAGCATCCTTCTCGTGGGAGCGAATAACATCTGGGGATGTTGCGAATGGGTAGAAGTGGGAGGTGGATGAGCCGAGGGTTGAGCTCGGGCTCAGAGCAATGTGGGAGTCGTCGTCGGCCATGATAGAAGATGGAGGGATTGATGTTGGAAGGTGACTATATATGCTATCTGATTCGGGGCATCCTCACGGCGAGGTACAATTCCCCGACATGCCTAGGTGGAGATGACTTCCCCGGAGTCGGACGTGCCTCGGTAGACAGTCACATGACTTGGCCGATGAGGCAGGACGTCACGTGATATGACATCACGTGGCTTGGATTACCGTATTATTACATGAGTCCCACCAGCAGTACCTGGATTCTGGCCGAATGCAGCCCCTCGAGTGGCTGATTCTATATTGGATCCCCCCCTTTTTTAGCTCCATTTCAGGGTCTTCAGCTTATTGTTGTGTGTCTGTCTTGGAACTGGTGACTGACAATTGGCAAGTGGCGACTAGTGACTGACTTGCAAAGGCAACTTACAGTACAACTGGCACCCCTCTGTGGGCTATTCTGATTGGCACTGAATGTCGATCCAGCGCTCAAGATCTTCAGTCTCCCCTGAGATGTGCTTCTAATTATACCGAATCCGACGCATTGTGGAGTTCCAGACCACCAGTGGACTCTTGCCTGGTCCACTCAGCGCGAATTGTTCTCGTTACCCTCTCCGCTTATTAAACTGCCCTGAAAGCGGCCTCACTGGCAAAAGTCTCAACTTCCGAACTCGCCCCTAGTCACTCGTTTATCCCCACGGGGTCTCTTTGTTGTTTCTTCAGCCTTCGTCTTCTCTCTGATCAATGGAAAAATGGGTCCTGATCAACATGCTCAACTGGATGCCTTTGGGTTGATCTTCCCACTGCCACTACGGGTAGCTGCGCTTCTGGTTGCTGGTAGGTTATTCGTTTTGGTGTTGGAAGTCCGATACTAACGGAGGGGCAGGTTTCTGGGGATGGGGTCTGAATCTTCAATATTTGGCAAAAGCGAACATTGTAAGTGACGTCTCCTGTCCAGTGGAGCCCACCGGTCGTTCCAGTGCTGTCCAGTGCGGTTCCAACTAACCACTCTCGACCTTCAGGACGTTCCTGCTCTCGTCAAATACCCTGGCCGCACATCCTCCTCCCAACGCCCGCACCACACCGCCGTCTACCGCCTGGCGACATTCTTCACCATCCCCCTCACCCTGTGGTTCGTTGTTTTTTGGCTCGCCACTCGCCGGTCCCCTGAACTGGTAGAACGACTCGACTGGATCCCTCAGTCCGTTTTCATTGTCCTCCTTCTTATCCTGATTTGGCCCTTCAACCGCGCATCTCGTTCAGGCCGCATTCGATTCCTTCTTACCCTCAAGCGGATCAGTATCGGTGGTCTAGCTGAGTCTCAAGATGGCAAGTTTGGTGATATTCTGCTGGCAGATGCCCTGACTAGCTATGCTCGCGTGCTGGGGGACCTATACGTCAGCTTCTGCATGTTCTTCACCGACGGCCTCGCCGCAACCTCCAAACCCAACCGGGCCTGCGGCAGCGATATCGTCGTCCCTATTATTATTGCGGTTCCCAGCTTGATCCGTTTCCGCCAGTGTTTGATCGAATATGTGCGTGCGCGACGCACTACGACCCGGAGAGAGACACAAAAGAGTAACCAGCACTTGGCCAACGCCCTCAAGTACGCTACTGCGTTCCCTGTCATTTGGATGGCTTCCAAGATGCGCAACTATAACCCCTTGGATTTCCACGGGTACAGCGAGATGAGCATGATGCGCCTCTTGTAAGAATTTGATCCTCCTTCGCTTCGTTTACCCCTTGCTGACACTCCGCAGGTTCATCGTCTCTTTTATCAACTCCGCATACTCCTTCTGGTGGGATGTTGTCAAGGATTGGGATATGACCCTCTTCTCCCGGGAACGACTCGATAACGACCACCCGTATGGACTCCGCCGTTACCGCTACTTCTCATCCGACAAGTTATACCACTACGTCATCATTGCGGACCTAGCACTTCGTTTCTCATGGCTTTGGCGCATTGTCCCGGGTTTCGGCTGGATCCCAGAGACCGAGAGCGGCCTATGGATATTGATGTTCCTTGAAGTTGCACGCCGCTGGATGTGGGTGTTCTTCCGAACCGAAGCCGAATGGAGTATGTTTTCCCCGTGCCCTCGCCCCGCATCGAACTGGTGTAGGCCAGACACTATTGCCTCAGCGTTAAGAACATGGCCACTGACATTCGAAACAGTTCGGAATACCCATGGCCCTGGACCTGAAGATGTCCTCCTTGGCGAGTACAACCACAAGTTCGACGCGGACTAAATTTGTTTATATTCACCTACGAACGCACCTCCAGGCGACATGGAACGAGAACGAGACACAGAATCCCCGCTTTCAATATATCACAACGGTTGATTTTCAAGAGCATAGATGCTCTCCTTACCACCCGCATATCCCCCATCCACCCAATGCTAGAACAGCGATAGATGAGGCCTGGGTTTGGCTTTCTTTCCGCGCGTGGAACTTTTTCATCCAACGCCCTGTACGCCTATAGTTTTCATTTCATTTCAGACGTGTGTTTTCTTTGCACTACACGACTTTCAGTTTCCTTGGACTCATTTGAGCCTGTGGTTTCACAGTCAGCTCATGGATTTTGGTGTTCGATTTTGGAACCCGCCCTCGCGGCAAGCGTCATGGGGTTTTTTTTCCTGGTCGTTTTCTGTCTACTGCGCCTGATCCTCTTCCCTGTACAAATATCTTCCTAGGATCATCCTGGTCTGACGTCTGCATCTACCCTTGCCTTTTCTGTCTCTTTCTATAACATATACCACATCTATCGGATCGAATCTCTTATCCTTCCCTTTTTTTTTATTCTTTTTCTGGATTTCTTCCCGGAGCTTGGCTGCTAGAGAGTCTGGTGGTGACATGTATTATATAGATTTTTTGGGTTTTACCTAATGATAACCGACTATAATGATCAATATTTGAATACGGCCCGTTCGTTCGGGACAGCCCTGGCTCAAATCCATTGAAAAAAAGGACATCTAAGAACATCATTTCCTGTGCGTTCAAATCGATATGGGACTACCGAGTTCGGTTCGGCCTCCAGAAACAATGATAGCAATCTAATTGGTTATCCATCTTGACGGCACTACATGGTGAAGGAAGCATGGAAATGCATCTACATTGAAACCGCCCAAAGGTATTACCGCACCCGAAAGCTAAAACCATCCAACAACAGATCAGTTGCCAGCAACTGCATGACATCTCAATAGAACATCCATAAACTTCCCACCGCGCAAGGCAGTATAGACTTGAGCAATGTTCGACCCAATAGTCTTCTTCTCCGAAGCCTGCTCGCCAGAGTCATAAGTCGGGTGGTCAATAACTCCGCGATGCATGGGGACTGCTAGAGTTTCTCGAACGAACTCATACAGGATCGTTGATGAAGTACCAAGATATTGTTTCGTGGTAGTTGCAGTCAAGAACTGCTTCACTGTGCCCGCATAAGACCCAACCAGGATATCATCCACTTGTTGCATCCACTGCTCGGGGTTGGCCTTGAGGCTGTTTACACCGACGAGCTGCAGGACTTGTCCGAGGGATGAAGCCACGGTCGTTGAGCTACGCTCAGGCAGGTTCTTGGAGCTGTTCTGTGCCCACTGGCCCATCAATATATCCCACACACCCTTCTGAGAAGCTTCAATTGACATGCCTCGGCTCTCTGAGTTAATAAGCTCCTTCGTGATTTCGTCAACCTTTGGCCGGGCCGTACTGATAAACTCTATATGCAATGCACGTAGATCAAGAGCTTGACAGATGACGTAGAGGTATGTGGCAGTCATGAGTGAAAGCAACTCAACGGTATCGCCAGCGTAGCGACTAGCGATAAATGCCAGAGAGTTGAGACTCTGGTTGTGCATCTCAGCACTTTGAACATAGTTCGTAACCGGATGAGCGAGATACGCCAACTCAGACATATACGCAGCCATGTTGATGTCGACACCCTTAAAAGCGAACGAGATGTTCGGATCATCGAAACACAGGTTTGGTGGCAATCCATTGCTCAGCATAGGATTAATCAGTTCAGAGCACTGCGCAAAGAACATCTTTCCTAGCATCTGCATAGCTGACATGGTCTTTTCCATGGCCGACGTGACAGAGACGGCCTGGAAGTTTCCACCATGGTAGATTTCTTCGTTGGGAGGGTCGACGAGGGGGTTATCTGTCGTGGAGTTAAGCTCACATTGCAACTGCTCAGCAGCCAATTTCATATTCTCCAACTGGGGGCCAATCCACTGTGGTGCGGTGCGCCAGGCATACCGATCCTGGGCGAGTTTGGCTTCCCCGCCGGGACCTTCGTCAATTGCTAGCTTTGATCCTTCTAGATGATCGAAGATGTTGGCAGCAGCTTCGCTCTGGCCGCTGTGAGGGCGGACTTCGGAAATGAAAGAATGGTAGTTGCGGCGGGTACCCATCATTGCCTCGGTGCCCATGGCTGTCAGTGCTTGAGACAAGAGGACCAGCTGGTTTGCTTCGAACATCACCAGGCTGGCGGAACCGGAACTGAAGGCTGTTCCGTTCAGCAATCCCAATCCTTCTTTTGGTCCAAAAGTCAGAGCTTTGAGACCGGCTTCATTTAAGGCTTTGTTGGATGGAACCTTTTCATAGCCACTGGCTGTGGGACGCTGGATCAAGATATCGGGGTTTCCTTCCAGTGCACCGGCAATGTAGGCCAGGGGCGTGAGGTCACCAGAAGCTGAAATGCTACCGCGCAGGGGGACAACTGGGGTCATATCCTTCGCGAGAAGGGCAATGATGTTTTCGATAACCTCAATCCGAACGGATGAGTGACCACGCAAGAGAGAGTTGCATCGAGTTAGCATTGCTGCTCGGACAGTGGATGCGGGCATGACATGGCTCTTCAGGTCATCCAAAGTTGTGTTTTCACGGTTGGGAGACTGGCTGCCAGGATAAGGAAATGCCACCGCGCTGTTATGGTGCTGAATCAATGCCTTTTGCAATGTTTCATAGTCAGCAGTGCGAGTATTGGCGCTGCCACCGAATCCAGTTGTGACACCATAGACAGTATGGCCGGCCTTCAGCTCTTGGGTTAGGAAGTCAATGCTCTGGTTGACACGGGCTAAAACTTTCCGGTCATCTGTGAGAGACGGTTCCACATGGCATCTGTTGTTGGAGGTTAATTAAGACGCCAAAAGGGCGAGATATCCGGGGAGTAACATACCTTGCAACTGCAAAGACGGAGCCTATATCAAGGGACTGTCCATCGACGATAATCTTTTCCTTCCCCTGAACCATCTTGTTGAATTCCACCGAGCTTGATAGGGTCATGTGGGTAAGACCCAATGCCCGATCTGTCAAGTATTTCTGCAGACCTTGCTCTGTTTTGTCGTACATATCGCCAAATTAAAGAAGAAAAGAAACTTGAGAGGATGTACTAAATGATGAGAAGATCCCGATCTTATACGCTAAGATCGATCTACTAAATGTTATGTAACTGTGGACCCCACGTGGACCAAGCCCTACATAATCCCAACAAATATTTTCAACTCAAAGCCCCCGAGGCTCTTTTCAAGACGATCTATGCTCCTTTTGATGACTTCAGCAGAATTTCAAAACACTATCACTGTACTACGTATATGGATCGCCATTTGAGACATGCCTATCAGCCCAGGCAGTGTTACATAGTGAATTCTTCATCCATGCCAATCGCGCTTGACTGCACGAGGTTCACTTCGTAGACTTAAAATAGCTGATTGTGCGGCTATGTACTTCAAGCCCAGCGCATGTGATGCTGACCGGGCGCAGCGTACATGTACTTGGCATATGCTGCCCAGGTGTCAACCACGCAGGTGTTCAGCCAATCCAATGTTCAGAGTAAGCTGACTGAGATAGCCCTGGAGGTGAACTTATATAGAGTTCCAAACTAATGCAATGCAGGATAGCCATAGCTATGGCAAAGACTTGACAAACCAATAGGGCTTGTTGCAGTGTTAATACGGCGGTGAGCGAATCCAGGCTGTTGATTCACTATTATTCTTCATTCTCGCTCATCTCTTGCCTCATGTTATCCCACTACCACAGTGATGACGTATAATATTTACAGCCTTGATAACGCTATCGATGCCTTTTTCACATCGAACACTACTGTGACTAGACAGCAATGTGATGGTTTCGCATTTTCTCGCACTGGCGGTGTGTCGGTTCCGTTGCAAATGCAAGGTGTCTGCAGCTATACCGTGACAGCGGGATCTGAGAAGCAAAAGATCCTCCAATTTCGAGATGCGGATTCTACCATTGATATGGGACACATCTGTCTTGCCAAGACAGTTCATCCTGAGTTCGTGGCTAGCTGCAGGTATCTTGGCACGATGGGTGATTCACGGCCGCTGCATATTTACGAGATGGAGAACCTCTCAGGGACCCCCCACATCATGGTTGGCATTCAACCTGACGACTTATTCCGGCAGCGTAATGCGGTCATGGACCTTGCAAGGTACTAGCGAATTCGTGGCAATCATTTGCACGAGCTGACATTGTAAAATAGGTTCTTTGCACAATCATGGAACAACGATCAACGACCATCCTCAGCTGACACCACCATTTTACTTGCAGATTTCCAGTTCAAATTCGATCTTCTTGCTCGAGGCCTACCATCCCGCTTTGCGCCGAACATAAATAGAATCCGCAAGGAGCTCCCGTCTCTCTTTGCTGCTCTCCCTTTCGTTCTAAGCCACGGGGACCTTAACATGACGAATGTACTCATTAATCCCAAAACTGGAAATATCACAGGAATTATCGACTGGGCGGAATCAAGGATACTACCTTTTGGCTTCGCGCTATACGGACTTGAGAATGTTTTGGGCTGGATGGATTCGGAGGGGTGGCATTACTACGATTATCACCGCGAACTTGAGAACCTCTTCTGGAAAACCTTTCAGGGAGAAGCTAAAAATGTCTCCAACGCGGATATGCACTTGATCCGGGCTGCGAAGATGGCTGGAATATTCTGCCAGTATGGGTTTGCTCTTGACACAAAAGGTGTGGTGCAAAATGTGCGGACGGAGCGTGATGGTAGTCTTGCATATCTCAATGCTTTCGGTATTATCAGCGAGTGGACTCCTAATTTGCCGACCTATGATGCGTTATAAGGCAAGCAAGGTGATACAGTAATAGGCCATAAGTCCTTTCACACCCTTGCCTTTATACAATCTTACATGATTGACCTGAGGCACTCGAAAATGACCAAAAAAAGAGGTGAAAAAAGAGAGGGCAGAATAGGGAGAACACAGTGCATAAATCGGTATACTCGCTTTGCAGCTTTCGTGTAGAGACTGTTCAATACTTCGTGGCACCGTATGCACATTTATGACCCCCCTGTTGTAATATATACTGGGTGGAGATTGCTCATCGGCAACGACGAAGTAGACTACATCTACTAGAAATATGTGGCTAAATAAAAGCCTGAAACCCGTCCTACATTAATTCTGCAGTCCTTCGACTGGCTTTAACCGTCCCAGTCCCCCACATAATTTAGATATTAAGACAGCATACGTCCTTGATGTTGCTAATTTTGCTCACTCTGTCGCTCAATCCCTCACCCAGTTCAGCGACATTATCCGCAGACATGCCCGCGGGCGTTAGCAGCTCTGCCAATAGCAGCTGCATCCGTAAAAGAATTGACACGGGGAGAGAACACAATACCAAATAGCCGGAAGCGCGTTATCCTCGTCGTTGGCAACATCATAAATGTCCAGAGCGACATTACCCGCTTCGTCAATAAGCGCAATAGTCTGACCGACGGTTTCCAGGAACGAGATCCCACTGCGAATTTCACCAACCATGGGAACAAAGAAGAGATAGCACAGGAAGGCTATGAGAATAATCTCTCGCTCCTGCTCCTCAATTCCTGCACAAAAGACCACCACAACAACCACATCCACAGGCCCAATAAACGGAATAACAGCCCCAAACCCAAGCCAACCCGGCATCATCACCGACTGCAACAAATTCCACCTAGTAGTAGCCTACGAAAGCTGCGAATCAATCGTCAAAGCCAACGGCGCTACCCTATCCCAGTTCATCCAATACAACCCAGCCGTAGGCAGCACCTGCTCAACCTTCTGGCTGGGCTACTATGTCTGCGTAGGACGCGGCACTATAGCAGTTACCACTACTAGCAGTACCACAACGCTAACCAGCGTTCGGTCGTGGGTCTTCGCGTCTCAACATGTAAGAAGTAATCGTGGGAGCGACATTTGAAAACAATGGAATTTAAGAGCAGGTTACAAAACTACAATTTCTCGTTTGAACCAGTAAGCAGTATAGGCTTCCACAGGTCTCGTTGATCTAAAATGAAAATTTCATTCATTGACATCTAAAAAAAAAATTCACAGAGAGACTCGTTCACTTCGTGTGGAGCCCCTCGACTGGGCAAGATAGAAGAGAAAGAGACACACAGCCACAGATAAAATACTAAGGCGGACCAGCCAAATGGGCCTGTAACGTATCTGTGTCTTTCTTTCTCTTCCATCTGCCTCCAGTGCTCTTTGATTCTGACAATCAATCGCTCGCATTTGCTTCTGCTTCTGCTTTCACTTCACATCCATATCATATCGTCTTGCTCATATCATGCATGTCTTAACTTTTTGAATTGTCCACACATCCATACATGAACTACATCTATACATTGCCATTGCTTGTTCTGGTGAAAGCATACCAAATCGAATGGATCTAGTAGCCTTCAAAGAAGCATCAAAGCACGATACGATGCATCAGACCTTTACAGGTCCTTCTTGATGATGTGGGCCTTGGGGAGGGTACCAGCGCGGTCAATGGCGTTTTGGCGAGCGCCGGTGAGACCGTGCTGGGTGGCAATACCATCAACGCGGTGGGTGGAGTTGATGTTCTTGACAAGGGTGAGCTGCCAGCAGGTGGCACCACCCTGGCGGGAGGTGATGGTAGAGGCAGCAAGGAAGTACTCCCAGATGCGGAACCAGCGCTTGCCGTACTTGGCTTCGACCTTGTCACGGTTGCCCATCCAGTTCCGGTACCAGCGCCAGAGGGTGGCAGAGTAATGCACACCGATGGTGTCGACGGCCTTGATCTCAAAGCCGGCACCCTCGAGGCGGTCCACAACGAAACCGAGAGGGGTACTGGCATCGGCACCGGGGAAGATGTACTTGTTCATGAACAGACCCCAGATCAGGTCCTCGTACTGCCAAGACTTGCGGAGACCAGCGATCTGCAGGAAGAAAGTACCGTTGTCGTCAAGCATGTCGTAAACCTGGGACAAGAAAGAAGAGAAGTGGCGGACACCGACGTGCTCGGCCATCTCGAGACAGGTGATCTGTTGGTATCCACCCTCAACACGGGGAGCATCGCGGTAGTCACTGCACAGAATGCGACTCTGGGACTCCTCAATACCGGCCTTGCGGAGACCGTTGTTACCCCAGGCAGTCTGGTTACGACCAAGAGTGATACCAGTAACGTGAGCACCGTAGTGGGCGGAAGCGTACTTGGCGAGGGTACCCCAGCCACAGCCGAGATCGAGGACCTTGTCACCGGGCTTGACGCCAATCTTCTCACAGACAATAGCCAGCTTGTTATCCTGGAGCTCCTCAAGAGTCTCCTCCTTGTTGATATCACTGATAACACCGGAGGTGTAAATCATGCGGGGACCGAGGAACCAGGCGTAGAAGTCATCACCCCGGTCGTAGTGGTCACGGACCTGCTCCTCGTCTAAGAACGAAGTTAGAACTGCTGTTAATCTAATGGACGAGCATAGGCTTACCCTGAGAACGAGTGTGCATCAGCATCTCGGGGATGAAGCCAAACAGGAAGTGCTTAAAGAGACCCATGGTGAACTTGAAGTTGGCCCAGTCGTGACGGTACTCGAGACACTCAAGGGCATCACCCTTGAAGTCAACCTCGCCATTGAAGTACTTCTCGTAGAAGACCTCCATGGGGATCTTGCTCTTGCCGCGGTAAGTGGCGCGGTCATGCTCGCTGTGGAAGTGCAGGTAGTGCTCGACGGGGCGGCCACAGTACTTGGCCTTCTCAGTCTTGCGAGGAGAAACGGAGGAAGAGACGGTCCAGAAGGCCATCAGGACGGGGATGGTGGTGAAGATAGCGAAGAAGATGGTGGTGTAGAAACCTCCACCAACCTGGCGGGCCAGCCACCAGGGCACCACGACGACCAGGAAGATCATCAAGCCATTGGAAAAGCTGTCGCTGCCGGGCGAGTCGGCGGGAACAGGAGCATTTTTAATGGCCGGGTACTAGAGAGCAAACAGAGCAAATTAGCTCCTGGACTCATGCAACATGGGTAGCTCGGTGGACTTACCAGGGTGGTTGGCACACCGCAATCGAAGGCAGGCTTGGTCTGCTCGGGAGCAGCCGGAGTCTGAATAAACTCGAACTCCTCGGTGGAGTCCGGATGAATGGTCGTCATGGCTAGGCGTCAATTGAGAGGAGTGAGAAGGGAAAAGGAGAGGCCAGAGAGTAAATAAGAAGATGGGCAGTTCCGGGGGCGGTGTGAGCTAGACCAAGGTACCTGGAAGTACCTGATTGGTACCTAGTGTTCCGTGCGTGGGTAAGCTGAGGAGTTGGTACCGTCCAGGTACACAATATTAATTACGCTACTGCAGACACTGACGTAGGCCTCTAAGCCCTAGAGCACAGAACAATAAGATTTTTAAAAAGTTTGGATATACGAACATACTGAATTTCGTGTTCAATTACATGTACCCCTAATATATCTAGGTAGGCCGAAATTTCGGATCTGCGGTAGGAGGCTTTTGCTCCCTTGCCTTTCCGAGCTCTGCTTCTCCAATCATTTCACACTTGCCTATCATGCCCCGTGCAGTTCGAGGTTAGTGACAGCTTCATGTCTACTCCTGGACGGATGTACATCTCACCTCGCTACACTCGAGACTAACATTATGCGCCATGGCAAGGTTGCTGATCGAGTGTGATTCCTCGATCTTAGGCCATGATCCTAAATTACGATGAAGAGAGACATGTCTACATAGTGAAGGACTTGGACGATGAAAGCCATCTGGTCATTACGGAGAGCCAGCTGGAGAACCTGAAGGTTCGCTTGGATGAAGTATCTTTGTATTCTCTCTCCCGTGAGTGACTATCACAACATATTGAACAGGACCTCGATGAAAAAATCATGCAGCTGGACGAATCCGAATCCGAATAATCAAACACCTCATTTGACGGTGTATTGTATCCTAGGCCTCCACTCCGTACTCGGTGCGGTACTGTCTACGTGGTCCCTCTGCCTTGGCGGATGATCAAGTGGACCTCGGGAGGCTTCTGAAACATGATGATCCGCGGCTCGAAACTCATACAGTGACATTCATTTCCAGACCCTTCGGCTTCTCGCTTGACCCCGAGCTCCATGCCGATAAAAAGACAATAACATACAGTAGTAAAGTTGCATAATTTCCCTTATCTCAAGTTCTCCTACAGAGTGAGCTGGAAGCTCTGGGCCTCCTCATCCTCGTCGAAAGTCGGCAGTGATTCGAGTTCCTGGAAAGTCTCCTCCGGGGTGTCAAAGCATCCAGCAGCTTTGCAGCGAGTCCACATATCCGAGTCCAGCGGAGGCGGTCCGTACAGCTGCATGTAGGTTTCAGGAGACAAAGCCTCGGAGCTTGAGGTCTTTTGTGCCTCGGCATTCTTCTCTCGAATGGTGGACGAAACACTCCTACCCTTGGAATATCCAACAGTGGTATTGGAGTTGACGGCAGCAGCAGTGTTGCGCATGGAAGAGGGATTGGTCGGGGCTCTGGTCTGTCTCTTAGGCATGAGCAGGGACGATCCCAGTCCCAAACGTGGCTTAGGGGCCGGGGCCACCCGAGGAGCCGCAGTTGGCTGAGGTGCTGCAAGGGCAGCAGCTGCCTCGCGAGATCGAAGGGAAGAGATATTGCGACTGTGTCGGGTAGTAAAAGGTGCCTTCGAGCGCGTGGTCTGCGGCCCAGTTGCCTTTGCGGGCTCACTCTCGCCCGAGCCTTCGAAACTAACCCCCTCGAGTTGCTTCAGAATCATCTCATCCACCATCTTGTCACACTTGGCTGAATCCTCCTTGAACTTGCGTTGCTTCGCTGTTAGTCCATCACTGCCGACTTGCTGCTTGCCGTACACACTCTCCAAGCCCAAGGCCCTGTTTTTGGGTCGAAATTGAGGGAATGTTGTATCGTATGTTATGTCATCTGGAAGATCCGGGAGATCTATAGCTTGTCAGAAACACCCTTCTACACTGGCAGCTCCAATCATGACATACCTCTGGGCTTAGGGGGCATATATTCAATATCGGGAATATCATCAACAGTAGAGCCCCTGTGGACCTTGGGTTGGGCTTGGTGTACCACTGGAGCGGCCTTCTTTTTCTGGGCAGTCGACTGTCTTCTGTTTGTCTTGATTGTACCGAATGGAGCAGGCGTCTGGTTGTTCTTGGTTTTGAGATTGGTTGTTTTAGCACCCAGAGGAGGGCGGTTCTTCACTTTCAGTGCGCAATCAAGTCAGTTATAGTCCAATCAATTCCTTGAAGTGAAGTTCTCGTACCCATCGGAGTAACAAACGCGTCCTTGCCTGGCTTTCCATTCTCCTTGGCCTTGCCGGTGCCCTTTCCAAACACTATGGCATTGTTTTCATCGTTCAACGGTACCTTGAGCGGTCCTTTGCCTGGAGTCTTGGGTGCCAGCTGCTTGCTTTGATTCAAGGGCTTGGCGGCCGCGGCGGTCTGGTGGGTGTTTATCAAGTTCTCTTGGTCTCGAAGAGCCAACATGGCGGCGAGTTGAAGCTGAAGTTTCTCATGCACTATCTCGAAAAGATAAGTCGCGTCTGGTAGCGTGTAGAGTGGTCAAACGCCCGAACAAGTTCTAGATGCAGGTGTTGTCGAGTGGTTGCCCGTGGAGACGCGGCGATCCCGAGGCGGTGAGTGGCTGAAAGTCGAAGTGGAGTGACCGTACACAGCACTGTTGGTACACAGTAAGTACACGGTACTTTGGCTGTGGTGGATCTTGGGCCTAACGAGGCGGTACTGTCTACTTGTTCAGTCAGCCATTATTCCTCCCCTTCTCTCCCAAAACATCTCCCCAGACCATCATCCTCTCACCCCATCCACACTCGCCCGGTTTCTCGCTGAGCGAAAGCCTGATTGCTATTACTTTCACAAACACATATTACCTCCCCCCGTTTTTTTCAATAACCTCAAAATGGACAAGATTAAGGAGGTATGTTCCCAAGACCCCTGCTGGCGGGGTAGCTTGCAAACTGTCCACCAAAACTACCCAACCCCTCACCATGTGCATATGAGAAGATATGCATTATTCGAAATTTCTCACAAACGCCATACTGGTAATCCTGCTAATATGTCTTTAATCAGCGCATGGTCGCCCTCCGCGCCGAGGCCGATGAGGCTCACGAGCAGGTCGACGAGCTCAAGGCCAGAGTGAAGACGTTGGAACAGGAGAACCTGTCCAAGGAACAAGAGATCACATCCCTCAACCACCGCAACCAGCTGCTCGAGGAAGAGGTTGAGAAGGCCGAGGCCGCCCTGAAGGAGGCCAAGGATGCTGCCAGCCAGAGCCTCCAGCACGACACTCAGAACGAGGCCCTTCAGCGACGGGTGCAGCTCCTCGAGGAGGAGGCCGAGGAGAACGACAAGACTTTGAGGGAGACAAACGAGAAGTACGACCACCCATCGCTTCTGTTACAACGAGGTACTAACATTTGGGGTCAGGCTTCGCCAAACCGACATCAAGGCTGGTCACTACGAGCGGAAGGTGCAGGCACTTGAGGACCAACATGCCAAGCTCGAGCAAAGATACGAGGACGCAATCAAGGAACACAGCACTGTGAAGAAGGAGCTCGACGACCTTGCAGCCCAGATGGCCGACATCTAAGCTAGACCAAGCTGATTATGGGTGCAGGATGTTGGGAGACACTGGCTTGGATAAGATCTTCATTCGCCTCAGGATCGTCTTCTTCTTTATGCTGTGACTGTTTGTGTTGCTCTTTGCCTCGCCTTCGAGGGGAGACTGTGCTTCGATATCAATACTTTTACCATGAATGGTGCATCGGTGTCTTTGACATTTCCTACAATTTCATTGCTGTTTGGACATAGCGATACCGGTGCTCCGTAAATTGAGTAACAAAAACAATAGCTCCAAACCCATGAGTATATATACACATACTATGATATCATTTTTCTTGTTCAGCTCCCCGGCGTGCCTTGGCCTTGTTCGATTTGACAGAGCGTTGCTTTCGCGCCGTTGCTTTGCGCACATCCTTGCTCTCGTAACGGAAATTGCGCTTCTTCTTCCTGGCTATTCTCTCTCGCTTCGGCTTCTTGGACTTCTCATCGGCCACTGTGTCGGCAGCTGGATATTCTTTCTTTTCCTCGGCGTCCGACTCCTCTCCTCTCACAGACTTCAACAAGCCTTCGCGGGAGGGATCCATCTCCTCAACTGTGACTGTGGTGTATTTGTCCTCGTCGATATACTCGGCTTCGTAGTCCACGGCTGGCGGTTCTTCAATCCCATCCCATTCTTCCTCATTTTCATCTTCTGATTCGCTCTTTTCTCCGGCATTCTCCTTCATTTGCTTGAGTACTTTTGCATGTTCCTCCATTGCCCGTTTGAAGTCGGCTTGCCGCTCATCACGAAGCTAGACACATTAGTCGAGATTAATGGGTAAATACTGTGGATTAACGAACCTTTTTCCTGTCGGCCCTTTTCTCTTCTTTGTATCGCTTCTCGGCTGCCTCTTGTGCATGCTTTGCGCGCTGCAGCTTGCGCTTGTGGAATCCGGTCAACCATTCCTGGCGGTCCTCGGTATTGAAATTGATCTCCTCCACTTTGGGTTGAGCGACCTTGCGTCGTTTTTGGGGAGGGCCCATTGTGAATAGGAATTTAATCCGAAAAAATTGAACAAAAAGGTCAAGCCCTTCGTAGGTAGTTCTGTCAAAATTGTCAGGCTAAGAAAAAAAAAGTTGCAGCGAAAGCTAAGGCGGGCCGGGGCTGTCGACCGCCTCGGAGCCCAAGTCGGACACCTCCCGTTGGCAACATCATCAACTTGACCCCATCCAACAGCACAATGCGTCTGAGCAGGTTTGGGCTGGTCGCCCTTGGGGCTGCTGCTGTCAACGCTTTCCGCGATACTTCACCATTCTTCCTCGCCTCTACTTCTGAGTATGTTCCATTGGACCTCTCCAGCTGCAGCCAACTAACTGCTCGCCCTTAGTGTCCTGGCGAACTCCGCATACATCCAGACAGGAGCTTCTCTCTTCGATACCCTCTCATCCTCTCTCAGCACCTGCCCGTCGGATTATTATGTCGTCGTCTACCAACCCGGTGTGCACAGCACCGACTTCGCGTCGCGCAAGTCGGCGCCCCGCTTGGGTGCGAAGATGCTTGGCAAGGACAGCTCGATCCGGTCCAAGATGAGCGTTAACGAGGTCGCTGGCTTGGTGGAACCAAAGCATATTAAGAGCCTTCTGGAGGAGAAATGCAAGGCCCAGACTTCCACCATCGACGGTTCCTGTGAGTTGCAGTGGTGGCCAACAATGGACGTGGTCAGTCTACCACGAGCGTCATAGCTGACAACTATCTGTAGCCGGATCATATCCTTCTTCCTTTGAGAAGGGCCCCCGTATCATCGATATCGAATTCCCCATGCTTTCGCTTGGATCAGACCGTGCGCAGCAGCTCGCTGGCTTCGGTATGTACTGGTTGTACCAAAGCAGTTCATGATTACTGACTCGGCCAGATGGTCTCCTCTCCGATATCGTTGCTCAAATCCCCTCCTCTTCGAAGTATACTATTCTCTATCTTACTTCCCCGAGGGAGTTCCCCGAGACCGACTCCGTCATCTACGAGACCGAGGGAGATTCCTACCACGACTCCATTCACATGGAGCTTAAGCGTGACTACTCATCGCACGAAGGCTTGTCAGACAAGTCCACATCTCTTTTCGAGGAATATCAGTACTTCACTCCAGGTTTGTGCTTGTCTTCTCATCAAATCTAGGTTCAATTTTAACCACTCGGTAGGCATCTTCATGGGTCTGATGGCTACTTTCCTCTTCTTCGCGATCTTGTACATTGGCATCAATGCCCTCGGCAGCCTTCAGGTCCCCTATGCTGCATTCGAGAAGGATACCTCGGCTGCTGTGCAAAAGAAGTCGCAGTAATTGGAAGGAGTAGGTTGGAATACATTTCCATTGCTATATGCATTTGTGATCAGGGGCAATTCTCTCATATTTTTATGTATGATATATCATATTTCATTCCCAATCTGAACGTTAGCCCGATGTAATGCAATCCTTGCCTGTTGGTGTCTTTTAGTTCTTTTTTTGGAAACTGTCACCTGACAGTTCGGAGCCTAAGGCAAGCCGCTCCTTTAGCGTTGGCGTCGTTTGATTTCTCCCCAATTCTCGCTTATACGCATTCTCTCTTCGACATCCCTAGACGCTCGTTGTTCTCACTCGAAAGCCGTCATTCTTTTATGCAGGAAAGGTTCTGAAGGCTCTGCCTCATCTGGAAATCTTCTGACCGTGGATCCGCAACCTACGGGTTGAGTACAGCATCAGCCAGTCCCAAGGGAGACGAATCACAGTCGTTTTCGCAATCGGCATCAGCAATCCAAAAGCTGCCCTGGTGTCATTGATAACCTCACAGCAACATCTACTTCATCGCTGTCGAAGATCAGCGGGCTGCCCCGATTGACCCGCACCCTGTGGAGAAACAGTTGCTCAATTGTTTACGGCCGTCACCATGCGAGTTCTACCGCGAGGGCTTGGGAAAGCCCAGCCGTCGATGATTTTATTGCTGCTCCTGGTCATTGCCATCGCTGCTCAAGTGGCTGCGGTGCCTGCAGACAATACATCAACGGATACTACCGACGCCGCTAGGACCACCGACGATCCCTCCACCACTGATAGCACCAAGACCACCGCTGCTACGACAACCGAGACCTCATCTTCATCCACATCAACGTCAACCTCGGACAAAACTACTAGCACGACCTCCTCGTCGTCGACTAGGACAACCATGGATACAACCACCACCTCGTCGTCCGAAACCTCCACAACCTCCGACACGAGCACATCAACATCATCCGGCTCCACAACAACAACATCCGGCTCCACAACAACAACATCGTCAACATCATCCTCCTCCTCCACAACAGCCGCGGCGATCGTGACAGTCCCCCCGATAGCAAATGCCCCATACATGCAGGAGAGCGCAGCGCCAGAGGGCACAGTGTTCATCGCCGTCGGCGCGGCCCTTGGCCTAATCGGCCTGACCCTGCTCGCATGGCGCGCAATGATCGCATGGTCAGTAAACCGCTCAGTGCGTCGCGCAGCCATAATCCACGCCTCAGAATCCAAGCGTCTCCTCCGCGGCAGCAGAAAGAAGCGCTCAACCCCCTACACTGCAGCCCCAGCCGCCGACGTCTCCCTCGACAAACTCGGCGCTGCCACTCGCGCAAGCTACAAGCCCAACCGCATCCCAAGCTCGAACAGCGGTCTCTTCTTCTCGCCTACTGCTGGTGGTGGTCCCCACGGATCACATGCTAGTCTCAATGCGACGGGGAATACGGGGAATCGCGGTTCGACATACCTGCCTGCTGGGTACTATGCTGCTGCTGGCAGTTCTACCCCGGCTGCTGGCGCTGGTGAAGTACCGTATTCACCTGCAGCGGGTCTGTCGTCGCCTTCGCTGCCTCCTACTGGTGTCTATCATGATTCGCATAACCAGCGTCAGTCGTATGTGGGCGCTTCGACCAGTTCACTGAATCTTAACCAGGCTCCTCAGGGTCGTGCTCCTAGTGCCTACCTGGAGGACCTGTTTGAGAACCATGTGCCTTCTCACAACTCGGGGTCTGATCGTCGGTGATGCCCTTATCTGATATGCCGCTTTGATATGAAGGAATGAATTCGGCGAAATTTTTGTTCTTGAATTTATTTTAGGTTTCTTTTTTCTTTGCCAATAACTATACTCATATTTGTGTTTATTGTTTTTCTGCTGAGGTCTTTATTTGGCGTCTTACATACGGTTATTACTACTGGTTCCTATTGGAATAGCAAAACTCATACAATTTCATATAAGTTTGTTGCCTCTCAAGGATCTTCGTGTCGTTATACGGCCTTAGAGCAATAGAAGATCTCGCATACCTTGTCGATGACGTTATATGTTAATTTTGAAATGTGAAACCTATATATATCTGCTTGCGGGCCATTTACGTCCAATTGATGCGGTTTATAACCGACAGATAACTGTACTTGACCTCCTCTAACCCCTAAGCGACTGATTTCCCTATTCTAAACAGTAGACGTATGACCCTAATATATGATATCAAATGACAGGTCCCTCTACAAAAGACAATATTACGTTTCTCAAGTCATGTCTGCTTATATAACGCTGCATCACATCCATGGATAAGAACAAGAGAACATATATTCACTTTACAACATTCATCTCAACACGTTCATTTCATCATGCACAGGGTATAGGGTATCTACAAGATCAACAGAAAGCAAAAAAGCCGCCTAATCAATCCTCTTGTACAACTTAGCCTTGCTAGACGTAGAAGGGCCAGCACAGCAAGCGGCACGTTCTTCCTCAGGGTGAAGGGAAGACTTATTGAAAAGCTGAGAAGATTGTGGGACATCAAGGGCCGGGTTCTTAGTGAAGAATCCATCTGGCTTGAGCATGACGCTGATACGCTCCATTGGCATGACGGGGAAATCTTCAATACGGGGATTATGGGTTAAACCGAAGGCTGGTGGTTTTGTTAGCTATAATTGACCAAGGTGTGGGACCATGAAGAAAGGGGGTTGGTTTGCTTACTGTGCCATAAGACAACGTCCTCGTTTTCTACGTTATCCTTGCGCTGGATCCAGGTCTCAACGCCATCGGCGCGACGGCTCTGGTTTGTGAACTCGCCTGCGGCGTACAATTCATCGTCCTGGTACTTTGTGACCCAGATCGGCTTGGTAGCGAACTCCGCTCGACGGAAGCCGTGGGCGTTCTTGCTGACTAGAAGCATTTGGCTGGGGGCTGCCATGAGCTTGTATGCTACTGGCTTGTAGGTGATGGGGTTTGTGATGTTATCGTTGCGGATCTTGAAGACACGGTGACGATCCACGCTTGTGTTTGCTGTGCCTGCGGTTTTCATCACTGTCTGCTGGGAGGTATAGCCCACCAAGTAGGGGTTCTTCTCATCCTCTGGCATGGGAACGCTGTCCTCGTAGTAGATAGTGTTCTTGAATCCATCAATAGCAGGGTCGACCCGCAGTGAGAACATATGCTGGTGGAAGGGAGCCATAACTCCGGGGCCGACATTAGTTCCCCAAGGAACTGTTTGGCCGTTCTCGTTATCGAAGGGCACGGTGGACAGAATGCCGGTGGCGCGGACTTCCAATTCGACATTAGCAGCCTGGTCGAAGATATAGTTGAAGATGTATTCGTAATTGGCCACGGTGCAGATCATCTGCAGGACCAATTGGCGGTTGCGAACAACAGTAGCAGCACCGGAACGATAATTGGTGTGCTTGTGCTGCAGACCATTGTCCTGTTCGTGCATACAAATGACGTTCTTCAACTGCAACGGGTTGCCCTTCGCGTCGTTACGGTAACCATCAAAGTATTTGATGTGGCCTAGGCAATCACATCCTAGAGCCAACTGATTGGCATTCATACCGAAACCAGTGTCGCCGACATCGAAGGCCTGCTTGCGGTGATATGGGGCACGGGGATCTATGTTCATGTCAGTCAGATTTGTTGACAAACTTGAATGAAGGCTCTTGATGTTCCTTACCGCCATAGGGAACCGTCATCTCCGAGACCGCCAAGCGGTAGAAAAGGTTCCGGTTATCATATGTAACGTTGTAGATCACCAAACCTTCACGAGCGTTGAAACCAACTCTGAAGCGCCACTTCTGCCAGTAGACGGAGTTGCCATCCACAGAGTATGAAGGGCCTTCAGGCTGTTGCACAATATAAGGCTTGAGGTCGGTGCGGACCGGCGCATCCAAGAGATCGTGGGCGTATTGGACCGTCTTAACAGGCTTCCAAGGCTGGGTGGTGGTGGTCTCGAAATCAGCTCCCCCGGGGAGGTAGTCCATGCGGATCAATTCATGAGTAAGGCCGTCAAACACGGGGGAGAACTTGCAAGGCAGAGAGTAATGGTTGTTCTGGGGGTGGTCTGTTTCAACTAAGTACATGAAGCACTGGAATAGGCGTCGGTTCTCAGTATCGCTGTCTGTACCATACATCCAAGGGTCGTTGCAGACGGTGACACCTGCGGGTAGCTCCAGCTTCTCGATCTCGGCCAGAACAGCAGGATGCTTCATGCACATTTCTTCAATGGCTGCAATTTCGTCGACATCAATTGGTCCCTATAGAAGAAGACTGTCAGCTGGCCCCACACAAATTGGAGTAGGGCTCCACTTACCTGAACTTCCTTTGGAAGCTCCTTGGCATAGACGATTGTGCGCTTATCGGCATTCAGAATGGCTTTGTAGAATGCACCAGTGTCAAGACGGTGGAAGAGCACATAGAGAAGGCGTGCTGGAGGTGTAGGCAGGGGCCGCCGTAGACGTTCGGCTTCAATGTATGCGGTAACATCCTTCTTGATAGGTTCATTGACGTCGATGCGCTTGTAGCGTAGCTCAACGCCGGGGAATGTAGCCTCAAGGATGCGTACAGCAAGCTTGATCTCCTCGGGTGTGATAGGGTCGAATGGGTGAGGGCCGTGGTTGGTCACCATGTTGGCGGGTATCTCTTTGGAGATAGAAGTAGGAGTCTCGGGGGACTGACACTTTACAGGTCAGAAGATAGGGAGTAAAAGCAATGAGAAGTACGAAATATGAGGGGAAGAGCAGCCCCAATGGGATTTTAAATATCTCGTCGCAAAAGGCCCCGGAGCACCTTATCGCGTTACATAAGTCTGGCTTTGGCTGGACTTGCCTATTTGGGAAAGGATAAGACCGTTGGAGACGACCAGGATGCCTTGGCCTGGGGATATGGGGTACATTGTATGCGATAGTCTCACAGAGGCCATCGCAATTACAATTGTACTTATATGAATATCACAAATTGCACCTTCGCCATTCTCGCTGGAACGAACGTCAACAACGTGGGGAGTTTACGGTCACATGACCGTTGAATACAGGAACCGTGTCACGTGTGTGTGGGGGACGGCGCGAAATTATCCCGATATGGTTTAGCGTCTTAAGTGACTATCGATAACGATCAATGCAGAGCGCGTGCACTGACCGAATCTGTCCAATATCTGCGATTCTGTAAGTATGCCGCTAACAGTCAGAGCTCCATACTATCTGTGGAATCCTTGAGATGATGAATGCCTTTACGACTGGTCTGGTGCAATCTTCATCCTCATTTTCTCCTGGTCAGCCGATATCCGCTCCGAAGAATGGCAGAACACGGCAATCTGGCACAGCATGGACTCGTTCGGGATGTCTAACCTGCAAGAAACGACGGAAAGCTTGCGATAAGACTAAGCCGAGGTGCGTGTCTAGGCTTTTATCTCTAAGTTTTGTGACTAATTTGGTCAGTTGCAACAATTGCCTCAAGCAAGGCCGGACATGTGAGGGCTATGGCTCAATGTGGGTAGAGCCACTAGGTCCCTCGGCGCATGTATTCTCACAGAGTGAAACACCAAAGCGTCGTCGAAGGTTCATTGCGTCCTCACCGCCCCAACTGCCTTCGCCTGCACAGTCGCCGTCCTCAGATGTATTGCTTGAGACCCGTTCATCGCCTGGCACGGTGGATTCTTTGGCTTGGTCTACCCCATCATCACCACTGGAATATCAACTAGTTGGAACGGATGATAACTCTGTTCATGATGCAGAAGAGCAAAGTCCAGACCAGAGCCTGGATCTGCATAACCCCGTGGCAGTGATCCCCCGGCCTCAAGGATTCATCAACCATCTCTCCACTCACGAAACTCACTATCTCCAATATCACATGGAGCAAGGGTCCCGGCTACTAGCAAACCTAGAGAGCGGTGACAACCCTTTGCGGTCATTGTTGATTCCAATGGCAATGTCATCCCCTCTGCTGATGAAAGCCGTCTGTGCCGTCTCCGCCCTCCACCTAGCGAACCGATCCCAAGGCTTCGGTGCACACACAGCTGCGGTAAACTACTACAGCGGGACGCTTAATGGTCTCCGATCAGCACTGATCAAATGTCCAACCGAGGTTTTCCCCGACGATGCTCTACTAGCAGTGGGTCTACTCTGCAAATACGAGATCGTACGTGGCAGCATTAAGCAGTGGGTTGTTCACCTTAATGCATTGCAACGCTTGATCGTCTCCCGTGGAGGCTTTGCCTCGATGGATCGAGCCGCGGCCGAGTTCCTACGTGGACTGTAGGTGTTTGACTCTGCAACCCATATCAGCAAATGCTGACAAAGTCTAGATTTGTCTATGCCTATAACATGGCCAAGATCAGTAATCGAAACTGCAACACTGCTATTGACGTCACTGTAAATAGTGACATCGGCGTCCCAAAATTGGATATCTACATCGGCTACACCGAAGAGATCCTCAAACTATGCGCACGTATTGCAGAGCTACCCTCTTTAAAAGATGATGCCTTGGCTCTTCGTCTCAGCGTCGCGACTATGTATGTCCTTCTTTGTCTAAAAGTCAACATCCGACGCACTAACCATTATTTACCAGAAATGAGTCCCTCCTCACATGGTCTCATACTTCAACTCCTTATATAATCCCGCGAGGCACATCACCAGCAACCCTAACACGCCTTCAACTGGTAGCCGAATGTTTCCGCGATGCAGGCTTCGTCTACCTCTACTCAATCATGGAACGAATCGACAGAGACCATCTAAATACCACCGTCACCACAACGCCCAATAACACCATTAATCCCCAATCACTCGAAACACGATCACTATCAGCACAGGATTGGCTCCCTTTAATCTCTACACCCAAATCCCTCGCCGTATACCGCTGCCTCTCCCGCGTGGAGACCTTCCCACTAGATGACCACTGCGAATACTCAGCGCTCACATTCCCGCTTTTCATCTCAGGCTGTGAGAGCGAGAATATAGCAGATCGAGAGGTCGTACTTCGGTCGTTGGGAAAACTACAAGATAATTTTGGGATTGGCAATGTCCGGCGCGCGAAAGATTTATTAGGGATATTGTGGGCGAGACGGGATGCTGATCGTGACGCTGAAGTTGCTGGGCTTGGTAATCTCCGAAAGGTGCATTGGTTGGATGTTGTTGAGGAATTGGGGTGGGAGCTTATTCTTGCATAGATGCCATTTTGGCTTTGGCTCTTTCTTGTTATTTGTCATGTTGTTATGTTTGTACTTTTATATTTTGAGATTGCATTAGAGTCGGGAGGATATAGGTTTTATGTCTGATGTCTGATGTTTGATGTCTGCATGAGTGACACGAAACCCCATATGTTATGAATGATTTCCACGAGCAATAAGGATACACAAATTCCGAAATAAAGAAGAGGGTACCAAAGTAAATATGTTGAGAAGGTTGGCAGAGGTTTTAGGTTGTAAGCGCCCAAGACAGGGGAACGACGACAATTAGATATTTCATGATAGAGGGGAAAACGCAAACAAGCGATCAACATCAACTCAATCCCATATTTAGGTCATCGCTGAGTCCCCATTCTCTCTCTGCTCGCTCCGTCCCATCCGCAGCCCGGGTTGACCACTTATCAAGATGGTCCTGCGAATTGGCCATTTCCTTTTCACGTAAGCTGGCGCTGTCACTTGTCGCCACGCTTCCTTCGCGGGCATGATATTGAGACGATTTGCGCGAGTTTTGGATGCTGATAGGTCGCGAGGGGCCTGGGCCATCAACAGCGCCGGAGACGTTTGAGCCCGAGGCACGGCCGCTGTCAATGGGAGAAGCGAGTTGGTCTTTCTCCTTTTCCTTGCTGTTGCTGAACCAGCGTCGGCGACGGGACTTGGAGGCAGTGGATGGGGCAGTGCTCTTGGTGTCGGCATCTTCATCGAACCCTTGTTGCGTCTCCTTTTCCAGGGCTTGGGTGAGTCCGGAGATTGTCTCTTCGGAGGTGTTCTCTGTGCCTGATGGTGATAACTCGGCTAACTCGGCGTCACGGTACCACTTGCGTCGGCGAGTGTAGCGGTCCCATCCGTCTTGACCGCGGCGACCATCGTTCCACTTGAAGACTGTTAGAGCGTTCAATAGCAAGACTGAGGTAGGATCAACAAACCTTGTTATCATAGTATATCCATCCCTCGCCGGTGGCACCCTTCGATTCGGACTTTGAATTGAAGAAGTCCGCTCCCTCGACGCGCCAATCACTCCCCTCAACCCAACGCCATTTGGCATCACCCGTTTTAACATCCGGCAATTCAAATGTATCTTTAGGAGGAACTGCGTTCATATGTTCGTCCGTCCAAGGAGCACGTTCGGACGGGAACAACGAGTAGGTCCATCCAATACCTAGCCAGCGGCGCTGGTTCTCATAGACAACAAATGTGAATCGTACAGTCGAGTTATTCCCGCGCCTCCGAGTAGAGATGTTCAGGCCCGGGCTTTGGCCTTGGGCTTGAGCCTGGGCCTTTGGTGCACTGCTTGGGGTGTCGGCCACTGAAAGTCCCGTGGCCGCGGCACAGAGTCGACGCACGGTCCGTGACCGCCACAGAATGACACGCGAGACTCTCGCGGGCCGAGAATGATAAGTCAAAACGATAGTGCCGACAGCCATGATGACACGGCGGGTGGTTATTAAATAGAATGGCGGGAGAGTCATAAGGATCCATACAGGAGTTACCAAAAGGATGCGAATGAAAAGAGCCGTCAGTGCAGGCTTCGTCGTCGCCGATGTGGGCGTACGCTGGGTTGATAGGAAATCGGTGAGGTCGAGCAGAGGCTCGAGGAGTATATTGCATCTGGTTGTGAAGATGCGGAGAGTTTCAACAATTTCGTCCAAACTCTTTTGGTGGCGAGTTGAGTCCTGGGAGACCTTCCTCTGGTGCTTTTCACCCGTTGATATAGTTGACGACAAAGGCGAGTAGCGGCGCCCATACATGCCGAGGATCAACGCGACCACAACCAGGATCGGACCTGCCCAAAGAATGATGGCATCACTGTAGAGCACCACCGTCCAGAAGATGGCCACGAGCAGGAAGCTCTGCCATGGGTCTCCAGAGGTCCATGTCAAAAGACCAGCGAGTTTATTCAGGGGAAGAAGGTATGGGTGTGAGTAGGCCAGGGCCCGCGTGATGGCCGGTGGTGTGGCCACCAACAAGGGAGATTTGCGATGCACGATGACGCTGGAACGCTGGCGCGATGTCAGAGCTGAGCCGGTGATCGTAGAAGGAGAAAAAGCAGCGACCGTCGGCGGTTGGGAATCCGACTGGCCTTGCTCCGGCGCATGCGATGGGGGTGCCATGGAATCTATCCACGGAAGATCGTCTGTCTAGCATCAGTGACTGTGCACAGCGTTGAGGGATGAAAACATACCTAGAGCTGCCATCCAATTATGGACACGTCATGGAGTGATAATCAGCTCATCCTCTGGGCGGATGAGAGGTTTTATGTTTATGAGTTCATGGCTGTTCGGTCCAAGAAGATCTGCGGGGAGAAGATGGGCATGTGACTCTCGGTACTTGGTGTGAACGAGTTACTATAGTTGTTGATAGAAAATGAATGAAATGACTATATTGGTATATTAGTTTATTCTATTATAATAAACAAATGATTCTAACTAACAAGTCCAACTATGATGTCTCTGTTGTCCCTGTATATAGACGCCTGTAGCTCTCTTCCGACGCTAAATTCCGCAGCCGAAATTTTCCCTTCTCTTCTCTCCTTCACCTCCACACCCTGTCTACCACGGCACTTCATATCCTGTCGACATGGTAAGTCTGTCAATTCATTGGCTTTGGATTCAAAAAAAAAAAAAGAAACAACAAACTAACCATATTCCTGTTAGGCTCACCGCATCGTCTCCCAAGTCGTGGTAACCGGAGCCCGCGTCTTCGGCCGCGCCTTCGCCGAAGCCTACAAGCAAGCCCAAGCATCTGGCAAATACGCTGCCCAGAAGAAGGCATCTGGTGGTTCTCTCACCACCTCCAGCCTCACCCTCGATGAAGCCTGCAAGATCCTGAACGTAAAGCCCCCAGCCAGTGGCGAACACAACCTTGAACATGTTATGGGCCGATTCAAGAAGCTCTTCGACCTGAACAACCCCGAGAAGGGCGGCAGCTTCTACCTGCAGAGCAAGATCCTGCGAGCACGCGAGCGCTTAGAGATGGAGTTCCGCGAGGCCGAACGCAAAGTCGCGCACGACAAGGAATTGAAGGAAGGCTGGAACCCCAAGGTCTACAAGGACAAATGAAGAGGATATCCACTGTGTTCCATCCGCTCCCTGTTCACCTGGGAGCTCCCTCCTTACTTGCGACAGAAGTCTCCGAATGGCTTTTCTCTTTGATCTGCTCGTCTTTCTCGATTTGGCATAGCATGGCGTTTGGGTTACCGTTGGAGAAAGACGCTTGAGTTTCTAGACTGGGTCTTTCTCTTCATCTTGATGTCCAACCTCTCGGACATCACATCTGGTCGGAAATGGAGTTATACCTTCAGATCCGATCCTTTCGACCTCGTGGTCTGTGTATATCATCTGTGTCTTCTACCCCCTTCTCCACTCTCACCCGGAAAGGATGTACAATAGCTATATACTTGCATTCAACTTGTTTAATTTTCGATTGTCCGGTCTAAACTGTTGTTTCTTCGTACTTTTGTTTTCAGCACAGACTCGGCTCTTTTTTTGCCACCGCCGTCCAACACTGCATATCACCACGGAGTAACCTTCGTAGACTACATGCCATCAGGACCTCGAACAAAAATGGGTTATTTCACTTGATCGAAGATATTCGATGACCAATCGGGTCGTGGCCACTCATCCCGATATAAGGGGATCGCGATCCCGGCCATGGCGCCATCCGGAGCGGAGACCGGGTTACTTTTTTTTTTTTTTTCACCTGAGAGAGGCTTAGCCCCCAGATACCACTTATTCCCCGGATACTCCGAGATACATAAGACTCTAGTGCCAGATCTCAATCGCTGTTGACCTCACATTACCCGAGAAGAAAAGAAAATGCGTCCCTCCACCCCACTGTCGGCGGATCTCCCGCCACTGATAATGGGTACGGCAACCTTCAACTCCCAATACAACGCCGACCCCTTCGCCCTCCCCACAACAGAATTAGTACAGCGAGCACTAAGCAACGGCATCCGTGCCTTCGACACATCACCCTACTATGGCCCCGCCGAAGAACTACTCGGCCGCGCACTCGCCACCGAAACAGTCCAAGCCAACTTCCCGCGCCAGACATACAAACTCCTCACAAAGGTCGGCCGCGTAGCAGGCGCATCATTTGACTACTCCCCATCATGGGTCAGACACAGTGTGCGCCGTAGTTTGCACCGGCTTCACACAGACTATCTCGACGTGGTATACTGCCACGACGCGGAATTTGTGACACCCGCCGAAGTCCTAACTGCCGTACGGGAACTGCGCCGTCTCCGCGATGAAGAGGGCGTACTTCATTACGTTGGTATCTCCGGCTACCCGGTTGACACATTGAGCGAATTGGCGGAAATGATTCTACGGGAGACCGGCGAGCCATTGGATATCGTGATGTCCTATGCCAATTTCACGCTACAGAATACGAGATTACAATCGCGCGCTTTGCCGCGGCTTCTAGCTGCAGGCGTCGATGTCGTTCCTAATGCCTCGCCGTTGGGAATGGGTCTGCTCCGTCGTGACGGTGTGCCTATTGGTTCAATGGGCGATTTCCATCCTGCGCCGAATGGCTTGCGCAGTGCCATCCATAGTGCCGCGGAATATGCATCAAGTCATGGCGAGAAACTCGAAGTCGTTGCGATTCGGTTCGCGCTAGAGTCATGGCTTCGTATTGGTGCGCGGGCTGGTGGTCTTGGCGCACCACTTGCGCGCGCTGCAGATGCCGACCCTGGATTCTTGTCAGTGACTAATATTGGGACTGGGAAGAGGCTAGGTGTCAGTGTTATGGGCGTGAGCAATATCGCCGAGCTGGATGAGACTCTGCGTGTGTGGCATAGTATCGTTGATGGACTGGAGAAGTGGACTGATGATGATGACGGCTCGTATTTCAATACTAAGGTCGAATCTGCCGGTTATTCTACTCCTAGCCTGGATGTTCCCGCCGGTGTTGCCTCCAATCCCAGCATTCTTACGCCACAGGAGGGTCTCATTACTGACCGGGCCTGGTCTCATGCGCGCGGTGCGCACATCTTGCAACTGGCTCGGGAAATTCGCGATGTCCTGGGTACAGAGTGGGTTGACTATGTCTGGGATAGTCCCTCGCCAGACTTTGTGAACTCGTTATCTGAGGAGCATGTTGCCACTGTGCAGAAGATTGAGGCGGAAGAAAGAACAGGAGAGAAGACGAATTTATCTTCGTCTGATGGAGCTGGGAGGGATCCTATGCTGACTCCACCTTTAGAGGCGGAGAAGCAGCTTGCATAGATTTACTGTATTGGGAGAGCTTCTGCATTTGTGGATTATGTTTATTTCGGAAATTGTACATAAACTGGATAAGACGGTGTGATGTTGAATGACAAACCACTCCAGCCTTGATCCAGCAACCAAATGAATGTTAGCAACTATTGCTCGAAAACCAGTCACCAAAGTCTCCAGGGATTGCAAGTGCGCATAGACATACAAGAGGTGAGTATTTCAAAACATCACCTAAAGATGCAGTAAACACCAACGTCGACTACATTGACATTCTCAGCTCACCCAGTCCCACACTGAATGCTCTGATCCTCTGATCCTCTCTCAGATATCGCATATAGCGCTCTCTGAATGAGAAGGAAGGCACGGAGCAGGGAGGGAGGGGGTAAGCAAGAAGAGTAAACACCAACGAGGATGAAACTGCATGGGAGGGCAGATCCACGATAGATGGCGTGTTCCATTGAAAATCACTAACAGCATCCCAAGCGAGGAATGTAAAGTTCTGAGTCAACTAGTGTTCGTAGATCTTTCCAAAAACCGGCGATGGATCGGCTCGAACAGGCGACACAGTCTTGTCAGGAAGCCATCATTTGTCCAAAAGAATCAAAGCCTGGCTTTGTGTTCCGAAAAGTGCAAGTCGAGACCCAGGATTAAAGGCTGGGAAGGGGAAAAAGGAACCGGATTCGCGAGATAAACCTAAAAAGTGAGTGAATTTGTTTCTCTTGCGCCATATGGGGCTCGAAGTAGAATCCCTATTTCCATTTCCCAGTTGTTGCTTCTCTTCACCGAGGCGGGAGGCAACACGCTGATCGAAACCACATAAGAAAAATACCTCCAATCCTTCCACTGCGCCACTGCCATATGCTCCTTATTCATCCCCAGGGCAAATCACCGAACCGATCGAAGCAAGGGGTATCATCATACAGAAAACGATAATCGAAGAAAACAGGCAAATGAAAGTCGTTGCGGGCGTCGGTAATAAGCTCAAGCGTCATCCATCACCATCTTCCATGCCTCCTCCGACTCCACTTGGTCTTTGAGTTCCTTCTCACGAGCATCGAGGTCTTTCTCCATCTCCTCGTTGGTCTCGTAGCCTGCGTAACGGCGAGCCTGTCGGGCGCTCAGCGTGTTTGGAACCTTCTTCAGTTCTGGCCTCAGTCTCTTCAGCCGAGCAGCACGCTCCTGGCAAACCGCACGCCTGACTTCGCCCTTTCGGGACTTGGTTGACTTTGTCTCTCCGGAAGGCTCATCGGAAGAGATATCTTCCGCCTCTGATCGGGTGCCCGCCGACTTTGCTTTTTCTCGCTTTTCGTTCTGGCTAGTTTTCTGGGTTGGTTGGACTGGCTGACGAAGCTGGGCTGAAGACGAGGAAGGACCTGGTGGCGGACCGGGAGGCAGTGGAGGAGGAGAAGCTCCATCTTCAGGATGGGGGCCTGGCGGCGGCGGGGGTGGTGTCCTGTAGCGTGCGAATCTCGCTTCCGTCATGAATACGTTTTGGAGTTGCAAGCGCTGTTCAATGTATTCATCAAAGTTAGCCGCAATGATAGGCCCCAGGATGCTCGATCTGTGATCTTCATAAAACGCGAGTTGTTCGATGCGATTTTGGAGGGTAGTGTGGGCTCTTGAGAAGGTTCTGAGGATCAGGTTAATCTCCTTCGTACCACCTGAGATGTCGTTGTCTTGGTTATTGGGGTCCTCAATAGTGAGACGATCGGGATTTCCAAAGTAAACCTTGTTGAAATATCCCGGGGGGTTCATCCGAATGCCTTGGGTTTCATAGCGGTACTGCTTTCCGTAAAAATTGAAAAAGTCCATGAGGATATTTCCCAGGTTCGGCTGTGAGTGACCCTGAGGCGTGTGCTGGAGAAGACTTGTTACCAAGCAAGTGATGGAGAAACCTCCCAGTCCACCGGTCGGGACTTCATTGAGACCACGAATCAGCAAGAACTGCTTGATGACGGACAGAATAATTGGCATTGCAGGGTATTGGGCTTTCCACTTCTTGAATGTCTCATTGGCAATCAAACCGCTGTCATTGTCGAAAGACAAATCTACGCGGAGCCCAGTGAGCTTGTCGACAAACTTGAGGATTGGCACGCGAGCTCCGGCAATGCATTCGATCGAGTTAGGAACTGCAATGTTGGTGTTCTTCACGAAGGCGGAAAATGCATAGATCTGTCCCCTTTTCTCTCCGAAGGTTCGAACTCCTGTGCGGATGAATGTGTTGGAGAGAAGAACAAGATCAACATCAGCAGTTGGAAGATAGAGACCAGAAGCATAGGAACCAAAGGGACGGATTGAAATGTTGCTGTATCGCTGCCGGAATGCAGTCTCCAGTCGGTTGATAAGATCTGCTCGTACGATGTCCTCAAACTCCAGCGGCTTGGCCCAATGGTAGAAACTCAAAATCTCGTTATGTAGCCTGAGTAAATTGTAAGCAGTGTGATAGAGAACGAAACAAGGATATTACTAACTGAGTGCCCACGTTGAGTGACTCGGGGTGATCGGGCTGCTCAAGCCATGGCGTGCCGGTCTCGTTTGGTAGCGGTCGCCATTGATCGACAACTGAACCATCGGAGTTGAACCGGCTGGCAGGCTTACCCGTCTTTCTCGAGTAGCCTTTAATCTCGTCGTCACGGGTTCGCTTGCGGCTAGCAATGGACGGGTCGAGGCCTTCCATAGCCTTGGGACCCCTCGGGGCACCCTCTGGCGCGTTATCCTGAGGCTCCGGCTCGTTAGCCATTCCGAGGGAGATGAAGTCTTGGTTATCGGTAACGGCGTCGGTCTTCTCGGACTTGGCTGCGTTGTCAAGTCGCGCTTTGCGGATCAGCTTGACGAAGTCGATCTTGGGTGTTTTGCTTTCATCCGGTGGGGGTAGCGACGTGTAAGGATCGGGGTTGGACCATTTAGGAGCAGTAGGCAGGGGGGCAACAGGTCGCGTAACGTCGCTGTCGCCGGGCCCATCAAAACCTAGTGCGCGTTTCTTGCGTGGACGCTGCTCGTCGTCAGAGTCAGATGTGTCCATGTCGACTTCCTCGCTATCGCTCAAAGCCGACAGCGACGCAAACTTTGGTTCTGATTTGGTTTCCCCTTGCAACTGCTCCGGTGTGCTTTCCCTCTTAGTGGACAACAGTGGCCGCTCAGCTGTTGGTGGTTTCGGTGCGCGGAACGTGAACTCATGTCGCGGGTTTGGGCGTGATCCACGGTAGTTAGAGTTTCCTCTAAATTGGAATGGAGGCATCTTGAATACCTGCACTCACGCAAGAACAAATTGGTGCGAAATGACAACGAAGCGAGCTTGAAGCGGACACGAAAAAAATGATTGACCAACAATTTTGCCATCTATCGGTGAGGGCGGTGTCGGGCCTGCATATCTCCGCATATTATCTACATGTACCGAATAGGCATCATTCTTCAACAGAGATACTTAGCAATTACGACGTATACACTTGCCAATAGTCTTGTGTGTAGATGTGTCTTCCTTCTATGTCCATTCGTGCCAAGATCGACTCTCGTCTCCCACTTCTCGTTACAAAAAGTCCGGATTACTCCGTACCAAACGAGTCTGCAATTATTTATAGAATATGATATACACGCCTCCATCCAAATTTCAAAAAGTACGTCAGTTCGATCGCTGCCTGGAGAACAAGCCCAAAATGCCACAAGTAGACAGCAAAGCTCATATCCCTGAATCCTCTTCCCGTATCTGACATGAGCATTCTGCATGATCAACCGCTCGCCAGCCCTTTGTCTCTCCCATCTGAGTACGCTTTGAGGCCCTCCTCCAACCGGCGCAGTAAATCAGGCTGCACTGCCAACTCCGCAAAACTGACCCGACCCGTCGCCCATTCCAACCAGTCCTCTGCTCGAGAGCCATTTGCCCTGAGCAAGCCAACACTCACATCAATCAATAAGGGACGTTCTTCACAATGCCAGTAGACCGTAGCACCACAGCAGCGACAGAACTCCCTATATACCCCAGGTGAGCTATTATGTCTCTGCATGGTGCCTCGGTCGAATGCCAGTGGCGAACCGTCTGCATTGAAGATATTGGATTTCGGTATAAAAGCCCAGGTCTGTATGGGAAAGCCACAGCTAAGTCGACAGGTGGTGCAAGTGCAAGTTCCCGCTAGATATCTTGTATGTCCATTTTTCTCTCGTAGCCACCACTTGATATCATCTGGATTTGATGAGGAACTTGAATGGTATGGGACCAAGAGGTCTGACCATGGTGAAGATGCTTGTGAAGATGATGCATTTGGTGGGGTGATAAAAAATTGGATTCCTCCACATAGGCAACGGGCTTGCAATTTGAATCTCTCCGCTGGTTCGTTTTCGATGGGGTTCACTGATTCTTGGCTTGGGGTATGCTGGATGTTTGAACTGTCATATGCATGAAGCCGACAGTTTGCGACAGTAGACTTTGTTCCAGCAAGAAATGTGCTAAGTCCACCATCTCCACAGTCACCTTCTTTCCAGTGCTCAATAGTTCGGACTGCGGGGCTGTCTTTTGCTGCTAATAACCCCGAGGCTACAAGAAACTGACCGTCGGGCTGGCAGTGCGCAAAGACGTGCGCACCGCAGTTCTTACAGAAGAAATAGCTCACATCTTCGGACTGTTGGTATTTCTGGAGCCCATCCAAGACTGGTTCATGCCGAAGGAGATAGTATGAGGAACAAAGCTGCCCGGTCACCGCGCGACAGTTGTTGCAATGACACAGTTGGAGTTGAGTATGATCTGTGTTAGAATCTAGGTCAACTAATAATGATATGCCTCCACATAGACAAGCGACCGAGGTAGACATCGAGAGTTAGTGAATCACACCGAACCTCCGGTCTCGCATAAGCGGATGCAGTTAACAGTCAAAAGATATGTGCTCAAGCGGGGTTTAAGCAGAAACTCGCATATGTGAGAGAACGAGACAGCAGAACTCCGAAAAGTCACGAGTATATAAGATCCCGGGCGACTCAACTCCTCTTCTCCTCCCCCACTCTCCACCACCACTCCAAGTTTACCTACCTTTTTTCATCTCCAACCTTTTAACCACTCAAAATGAGTAAGTTGATCTTTGATGTTCCCTCTAGGGCTGTGACTTTGCGATCCTGAATAGGAGGGCACCCCTCCGATTCCGAGATGGCGGGGTTATGGCGGGGTATTCTGAAGTCGACGCTGACCACAACAATAGGCGACCACGGATGCAGCTGCGGCTCCTCTTGCCAGTGCCCTGCCGGCGCTTGCAACTGCCCTGTACGTGATTATCCTCCTTTTCGATGACGAGTGACTGACCGAGCCGTCCTTTATAGAAGAAATAAGTCATCCTTCTAGGATGCAGCTTTCAGGTCTCTGAAACGCTCGAGAACTATGACATGACCATGCGAGAAGGATATGATACCATGGGATAGCCCGGATGGACAGGCAATTTGGAAGTTCGGCATGTCATCAAAAAGGATAGCTTTCGCCAGATCAATGATAGGTGGTTGCTTGACCATTTTTATTCTTCGTACTCTAAGTACCTTGTGAGCACCGGGCCTAATCTTGGGTCGTTTAGGCTCAGTGGAGGCCAACCTTGGGAGCTCAACGGTACCCGAACCGCTTGAATATAATGTAAACTGTAGATCTCTACTTGTATGCCCTCACGCATGTTGAAAACGAAATGCCCAGACAGGGGGGTGGCCATACCCCGGAACGATAGTCCGCATATACTGTAGCGTCACCGAGAGTCACCATTCATACATTCAGGCACCCTTTTCAACCCAACATCTCCGCTACAATTCCCATCTCCACTCAAGAGAATTCTTTCGGCTTTCGCGGCTGTGTTTGCCGATGCGCCTTTTTCGCTCATCTTCAACACAGTGACTGGATCTGCGAGTTGTCTCGAAGTCAAAACGAAATAAAAAGCGGACCCCGATGCTGCACGAGTCCGAGAAGAGTAGCATCGGATCGGAGCAAACCTTGGAATGACGGAGGGTTTTTCTGATATGCTCAGCTTCCAAGCTGCAGCCTCTCCACTTTTCGCTGGCCTCCGACTCTCTTCGAATTTCTCTGTGCTCGAGGCGGACGTGACCAAGTTTCGCTGTTATCTGACCTTGGATTTGACTACGGAATACTATATACGGTCCCTCTGGCTCAAAAGCGAGGTATACTATGCTATATGCTCGGTAAATCGACATGCAACATATGATCTAATACCCATCTATGAAACCGCCGATCTTTCTCAACTCAGCCTCTGGCACACCCCCCAATGCAGGTGCAAAGCATCGTACAGGTATATCGTAACCCGGACTCTTATTTCTTGTTTGGTAAATACACTTCGAAAGGAATCCAGGAAAACACTACCAACTCCACAGCGAGGCAGCTGAACAGGGCTACCAGTAAGGCCAGGTAGCGCCCCTCCTCCAAGGTCCCCAGACCGCGCAAACATTCGTCTCCTCATAGGCTGCCACGCCGAGAATCCAACGTAGCACCGCTCCAGGCGCCGGAAAATACCTCTTGGCTCCTCCCCACCTGGTCTCCGATCTTTTCTTGTTTGGATGTAGTCGTCATGCCTGTTACAGAACATCCGGTTATGTGGCCGTATGAGATATAGTAATGATAATAAGAGGCCCGTCCCGAAACCGGTGGAGCCAGACATGGGAGTGCAGATCTAAACGTGGCCATAACCATGACCGTGGCATGATGACGGTCTATTTGTCCACGTATGAACCTTGCACATATTTCGCATGCTTTCTTGACGTATAGTAGCGTATGGTCTGTTCATATACGAGCTCCATTATCATATGTTGCAATGTAAGATTCCTGCGGTACGTTCGGAGAAAAAGAATAATGGAGTAATGGAGCTCAAGCACGAACAAACAATCTCCACTGGCTATGACCACATCCAGCAAAGCGTGCCTGTGTATAAACATGTACCTGTAAACGCATGCAATGAATCCCATCTCCACAGGTGAACCCTGCGGCGCGTCTCTTAGTCCCAGTCCATCTAGAAACAGGCCAACCACGTATTAACATACCACAGTACTACTATAGCATAGAAACAGGTCCAAGCACAAAGAAAGTCCGATTTACAACCGAGATTACACCCTGACATTGTAAATGTATGAACAATATCCGGGTGTCAGGATCAACAAAACGACAATACTACGTAGCTCCGCAGACAAGAAAACAGATCGGAGAACGGCCCTCCGATCCCCCATCCCCCCATCCCGAACCTGTGCGAGGAGGGGGCAAGAATCATCTATTGGCAGCCCGCATCATAAGCAGAGCCCGATAGGCTTATTATTGGCGAGCGTTAGAGTTGCCTGTACAATACAAGATTCATGTACAAGTAGCGGATAGCGCGTCGGAAAGAGGTAGACATTGGTTACTGGAGGTAGATTGGAGAGCGGGCCTCCAGGGTGGGATGCAGGACTTCATTTGACTCGACCACGCGATGCGATGGGGGGTGTGGACGGGGCGCGCCGACTGCATTGCTGCTGTTTTTTGGTTGTTTTGGATTGGATGGAGATGCATAATACACCTCAATGTGGGAATACTGCTTGATTATCAACTGGGTTCTTCCCTGGCTTGTTATTTGATGGGAGTGTCATAGCTGTCGTGGATGCTGAGGTATAAAATCGGCTTAATATCCGTTGCTTCTTGAACTTTTTCTTTTCTTTTCTATCCAAGCGATCCCTATTCAAAGATAAACAACTACCTTCTACTCTTCTATCCTTTTAAGATCTATCCTTCTTATCTATTCATCATGGGCCCCTGCTCCTGCAACTGCTGCTCCGGCGACTGCAACTCTTGCTCTTGCTCCACCTGCAAGGTATGTTCCTCTCTCTCCCTTCTTGATATATGTCCACGGTTGCATCTTGTAGCGCGGAGGTACCCGGGACGAAAGATATGCTAACTGCCCTTCTAGCACTAAGCCAGCTAATACGCCTTCATCACCGCCATCCTCCAATTCAACGACCCATACCAGACCGGGACTCCCACTGCTGTCGAACTAGGCCGGAGCCGGCGTCTTTCCTGTCAAACTTATGAGATGTCTTTCTTATGATCATGATTGAGTTGGTTGATTGTTAGGGCCTGGGGCCTTTCGGGTGGGGTGTTAGGTTAATAGTTGATGTCGACCTCGTGTACGTTGTGTTGTGTCGAGCCTAGTGCTCTATTGCTATATCGCTATACATATGCTGGTTATATCGTACTTTTGTTCTCTTGTATCCGTACAGAGCTTTGTAACAACGCCCTGCTCCAGATTACACACGAATTATTTCTCAGCCCTTAATCCTAATACCAAGATTTGACGGAACTGTATGCAGTCAGATCCAAAGAGACCCCTTAAAAACATTGCCAGTCATTGACGCTACTGCTTATTTGCTTGTGTCGTAATGGACGGTATCTTCGATATATTGGGACATCGCTAGGAATAGGAACCATATTTTAGATTAGCGTTAGTTTTTAAGAGTTTGTTCATATGCTTTTTTGGTAACAAAGTAGATGTACTACAGATATCACGTTTTGTGTTTGCTCACAGTAAAGATTATGGACTTTAGTTGCAGCCATAGCCCGAGATACCTTAGGTTATGATAGCACTCATGTTTAGACGTGCTCAAGTAGCTCGAGCGCCTTGCCGACCTGTCCGTCGGCTTCGTATGCTATAGGAGCGGATGCTGGGATTCTAGAAGATACTACCTTGTTCCTAGCTGTTCTAAGATTCCGAAGAGCAAATCTATATCGTCCGCATTGTCCGCAATAAGAGACAAGGGTCCGGCTGAAAGTAAGCTTAGATGTCGTCGCACTAATTTAAGAAGACTTGAGATGCAAATTCCACCCCATCAAGCGAGAAGATCCTCAGCGGCTCGCAAGAGTCCGTCATTGTGGTTGCCGGGTGGTCTTTCAGTTAGCGGGACGCATGGCGATCAATAGTGCCTAGAATGGAAGCCCGACTCAATCTGATGGAAGACACCTAGAATTTGCCTAGGTGTAGTATGCTGAGTGTCAGCGCTGCCCCGCGCCCTCGCATGATCCCTGTCGAGGCTATCCTTGGCATCGCTTCTTTATAGCAACGGTTCATAGAAAACATGCCAGGTGACCGATTTAGCAACAGAGGGGCGAAACGTTGGTAGTGGCAAGTTTGGCGCCATTTGGTTGCAAAGGGAGGGAAGGTTGCTGAAAGATGTTGCTATAAAATGGCGACAGGAAGGCAACAGATGTTTGTTCCGTATCATACCATTCACTTGTTGAAATAAGGGCCTATCGGGGTTAGTATCATCTTGGTATTAGGGTTTGGGAAACAAGAGAGTATAATGGCGCAAGGACGTGATACGTGTATAACGTTAATCAATGCTTAACTTGACGTTAGGTGGATATTAGTATGAGAACAATTGATGGGCGCTCAAAGTGCAATCGATTTCAACTCGTGATATGCATATACAAACAAACATTCCTAGGTAACGACAAATCTAGATCTGATTTTACAACTCATCTTTCGAGCGAGGTGCACCATTTGCTCCTTCCTCGCCATCAGCACAGACAGCCGGCGAGGTAACGCGCATGGAGTACACGCACTTCTCGTCTTCTGCCGTCTTCAAGATCTCATTTTCCTCGCCGCACTCCAAGATGACCTTGGTGGAGCGGTTCGGTCCGTTCCAGCAGGACTGGCCACGGGTGTACTCAATCACGGTCTTTTCAACAGAAATGACCTCGCCAGCCTCGTTGACTTCCTCCACGCTGGTGGTTCCAACGTGGGAGAATCTGCCCATGGACACGGAATTGCTTCCCTTTCTCTGGTTCTGCTTTGTCGACTGCAGGAAGCAGTGCTCGTAGGTGTACTCGCCGGCATCCTGGGTGATGCAGAGCCCCTTGAGGGCGCGGAAGATAGAGCCAGGGCCGTAGTCAGTCTCAAGATCCGCACGCTGGTCACGCAGCTTGTTCTTCAGATCGGCCACAGAGTCCTGTGCAGACTTTAGAGCATCACGTGCTCGAGTCACGGCCTTGGATTCCGAAGAAGAATCCTCATCGGACTTGGCTACGATGCCGCTGTTTTCAAGGAAGCTCTTGACTGAGAGGACCTTGTCTTCAATGAAGCTAACAAGCGATGGCGGGAGATAAGCGGCCAACTTGTAAACTGTAGTTCCCCGTAAGCCAGATGTGATGTGCTACAAAAGACAAAAATAACTTACCTAAATCCGAGTCCTGGCAGCCATCTTCCTCATTCTCCCAGTGCTCCCAGTTAACACCGCTTTCCTCGCCATCAACCTTAGCAATCTCATCCAAGTCACGGTCCTGGGCACTGTTTGTGTCGTCGGTGGTATCCTCCCGAGCAGCGTAGTCCTCATAGCTTCGCACCGCGCGCTTGACGCCCTCATCGTTAAAGTTAGGGTTATATTCAACCTTGACCTTGGACAAAATGCCCTCGAGCTCCTTCACCCGCTCACGGGTCTCATCCCGCTGGCGACGCACATCCACAAGCGCATTCCGCAGCTCATCAACGCGGCCTTTAGCGAGGTTAGCGAGTGCATTAACCTTGCCCTTGCCCTTGCCACCTCCAGAACGAACGACCTTGCGCTCCTGCTCCTGGACAGTCTTCAGATCAGCCTCAAGGCTCTGTTCCTTTACCTCGGCACCTTGAATCTCGGCCTCGAGGCTAACAATGTGATCCTGGATCTCTTGCTGCTGGCGACCAGCATCGACAAGGAGATCCTTCTTCTTCCTCAAAGCAGCAGTCATAGACTTTTGGCGCTGCTCTTCCTGCTTCCGCCATTTCTTGCCAATCTCCTTACAACGATCCTCGCACTTCGTTCCACCAACACGGGCCCATTCATCGCTGCCATCACAGCATTGCTCATAGTCGCAGATTCCATCATTGACTCGTTGGAAGGGAATGTAAGATGGCTTGTGGCCCTTGTTCTTGCAGTAAAATCCGGGCAGGGCGAGGGCGATGTCCAGATCGCTATTGCCGGGTCGGTCTGCCACTATCTGTGGCGAGTTGCGTGAGATATGTGCGCATGCAGCTGTGCCGGGCTCGTCACTTCCATCGGGGCAGTCACAGAAATCATCATTGACGGCCGAGAAGGGAATTTGGACCGAAGGGTTCGAGATACAGGTAAATGTCGGCGAGTCCTGGTAGAATTTCGCAACTGAATGATCCCTTGTTAGTACGATGATTTAAATAAAAGAAGCAACTGACGATCGTAGATCTCTCCGTTGCATCACCAGCTGTTCGGGAGGTGGAGATATAGTCAGGGTCCAAATACTTACACTCCGGGCCTACACCACGAGGGCGAGCAGACTTATCACTAGCCTGGGCCGTCGAGGCAGTCGCAGCCAGCAACAAAATCAAGTCAGAGGACTTCATGCTTGAGGCATTGAGCTTTGTTTATGGTGCGGAGAGAGCTTCTGGCCAGATGTTGATACCCGCCAGTACCCGCTGAGTCAGCCCCGCTATCTTTGCGCTTTATCGTGGCGAGATTCAACCTCAACTTCGCCAACATGGGTAACGACGGTGGAAGGTAAGCTCTATGCCTTGGATAATATTTGAGACCCAGTCATATCTAACAAATTACATTCTAGTATCCCAACCCGGCGCGAGCTCGTCCGCGAAGCAGCCCGCGCCCCGAGCACGGCGCAAGTAAAAGAAGCCCAGCGCGAACAGCAAGAACACTCCTGGACAACCTGTCCACTGTCGCACAAGGCACTGTCCCGACCTATCGTCTCCGACTCGGTCGGGAACCTCTACAACAAAGACGCCGTCCTCCAGTTCCTGCTTCCCGGCGATGATGGCGAGGGAATCAGCTCCAAGGCCGACTGCGAGGAGATCCTATGCGGGCGAGTAAAGTCGCTCCGGGATGTTGTCGAGCTGAAGTTTGAAGTTGATACCGAGCGCACCGAGCATCCTTCGGACCATGCCCATGCGCCTCGTGAGCGCCGCGAGGGTTGGATCTGCCCTATCACCGCGAAGCCGTTGGGGCCCGGTGTGAAATCGGTGTACCTGGTACCGTGCGGGCATGTCTTTGCGGAAGAGGCTATTCGACAGCTTAAGGGCGATAAGTGTTTGCAGGTAAGACTTGCTTTAGTTGCGCGGTGCGGATATAACGGCTGACTTGTATGTGTCTCTCTAGTGCAACGAATCCTATGCTGAAGAGAATATCATCCCCATTCTTACCACCAAAGAAGATGATAAGAAGCGCCTCATTGCGCGGGGTCACAAACTTGCTGAGCAGGCTCTCACACATTCTCTTAAGAAAGCTCCCGGTTCGAAGAAGCGCAAGAAGCACGCTACCGCTGACGCTACGGCGGATGTTACTGCAGACGCTGCCGTGGATGTTTCTAAACAAACATCTGACGTCAAAAGCCGGAGTAACACTTCAACGCCGGTCCCTAACGGCGCTTCTGGAAATGGCATCAAGAATGCTGCTACTTCCTCTCTCACTGCCCGTGTATTGGCGGAGGAGAGTGAGAAGAAGAAGCGCCGGAAGGGTAATGAGAATATCGACAGTCTCTTTTCCAAGAAGGATGGGGCGTCGAAGAATGGCGATTTCATGACCAGAGGCTTTTCTATTCCTTCTGCCGCGCGGAGGTAGAATGTTAGACTGGACAAGAATGCCTTTGTGTTCTCTATTTTACCGTTATGGTCACAGAGTTGTGTCGGACTTTGCAATTTCTCACCCGCGAAGACTATGATGGAGCTATCGAAAGCGACCTCTCTACCTCGGACGATCCAGCCGAAAGAAGAAAGAATAGCAAGGCCATAGCCTCAATTCTCTTACTCTGTGCCGATGAAGTCCAAATACAAATATCCGATTATACTAGCGCTTTCCTAGCATGGCAAGCGTTAGATCAGACCTATAATCGGTCCGGTTTCACCACCGAATACGTTCTTTTAAAGTAATTTTTCTCGACTTCACCCGATCAGTTTCTAATTTTATAGAGAAATGCCTCTATGTCTCTATAGTTTAAAACTGATCGAGTGAGGTCGAGAAAAATTGCTTCATCATAGTCTTCGCGGGTGAGAATTGCTTTGATATAGGTCTTTTGATTTATTCCATGGTTGACAGCGACTATGAAAATTTGATATTCATCATCCCAGGATGGAAAATGTATATCTCTCTACCCTCCAACTTGGCTTGACAAGATGGAAAAAAAAAAATCAAAATGCAAATTTAATCAACAGTTCTAATATACAGAAGGTTGTTTCGATACAGGCAAATGTCTCCAGACTTCTTCATAGCAAATAAACACCCTCAGTTCGCCTTCAACTCCAACTCCTCTGCCGCCTGCTTCTTCTGCAGCTTAATCCACTCCTTCCTCTTTCCAAGAGGGTGGCTGATCAGACCGTTCTCGTAGAGCGAAGTGACAATGACCTTCTTACGGCCAACATCTTCATCATTGTCCTGGCGGGTCCGGCGTGTGTCGTAGATTTTGACATTGGATAGCCTTTCGGTGCCCATCTTAGCCATCTGCTCATGGAGACGCACGGGTGTCATCTTGGTTGACTGCTTAATCAACTCCTTGTAAGCAGCGATAGCCTCTCCGACAGTGGTGGCAGTAGAAGAGTAAATCGCATCGGGGATACGCAGGCCGGTGAGTTTGGAAAGGCGAGTAAAGAACTGCGAGATTTAGTTAGTGAAATTCACCGGCAAATGGAAACCGAAAAGGGAAACAAACGGCAAACTTCATTGCTGGGTCATTCAGCGGCAGAGATGACATCGTGCTCTCGTTCCTCTTCCCGAGCTTTCCACCTTCCCAATAGCGATCCTCTCTCAACTTGCCTTGAGAGCTCAATTGAAGGAATAGTCTCTCGCTCGGGGTGTCTGGCTCGCCAATTGCCCCGAAAAAGGTAAGGAGTCTGTCCCGTGTTCCCCTGCCCGCAAATCGAAGGCGATCACCCCATTCAGCGGACTCGCCCTCCACACTGCAGTGCTTGAAATTGCTTCGCACATAGCCGAAACGTTGTTCATAGTCTTCCATGGCGGAATAATTCTTACCGACCATGCTCATCACACTGAACTCGATGACAACCTGGTGAAGAGCTTGCTCCAACGGTAGCGGCCACTTGGTCTTGTACCATCTGTGAAATCAAGAGCTATGGTCAGCAACGTCCATCATAAAATCATGCCACGATGCGCGAGGCACGGCTTGCAAAAACTGGATCAAACGTACGGCTTGACTTTGTCTGCCTTGGTTGCGCCATTGATAATCCATTCTTTATCCTTGGTGTAACCAACTCTGGGCATGTTGTTCCAGTCTAAGCTCTCAAGGTCCATGTCATCGGGGAATGGTGTCTCCTCTTCTCCTTTACCCGGGGAAAGGCCTGTGGTTTCAGCCGCAGGTTCTTCCTGGGGCATGAGCTGACTTCCGGAGTAGGGGTCTGCAGGGCCTGGTGGCTTGTCTGTGCCCCAGAGCTTGCGCCGGGTGCGTTCGAGTAATCCGGGGGAGTCGGAGGCAGTGCGGAGGAATTGCTGGTTGAGCGGCGAGATGCGTGGTGTGGCTCCTACTCTACAGCTGGAGCAGACATATTTTGCCTCCCGCAGAGGGAGGCGCATTGATGGCCTCATTGTGTGTGCGGGCGCAAAGGATGTTTGATCGAGCGGACTTGGGCTTGCACGGAGAAACAAATCTGAGAAAGTCGGGTCACGTGAGATGGGATTTCGATGCTTGGCATTTTTGGCTCTCAGAACTTCAAGTCTAATATAAATCGGACTTATTGCGGAATCAATAAACAAAGATGTTGAAACCATATTTTATCTTTTCTTTCCTTGCTATGTCGAAGCTCAATTTTGAATAACAGGCCTTATAGCTGAGGAGTATATAACACATGTCCCTTCACAGACAAGCAGGGCAGCAGAACTAAGAAAAAGAGGCCATACAGCAGTATCGTATGTTGTACCTTACATTTTAGATCGCGAAAAATAGAAGAATTGCATTATACCCCGATAATACGACATTGTGTTAATTCCAAACATGTTCGGGTGTACCGGTCATAGTCGGACTTAGAGATCATCAATCAGTTACTTATGAAGCTATATAACCACTCTCCTCATCCGCTCGAACAACATATCTGACATCCACGCTACATCCATCTTGTTACCCAGCCACAAATATAGTCACCCACATCCACAAAGATATACATATCCAACCCACCATGCCAGCCCCATACAACGCGAACACCACAACAACCGAACTAGTCACCGACTACAAAGCCCTAATAAAAAACAAAATCATCCTTACAACAGGAGTTACCCCAGGCTCCTTAGGCGGATCTTTCGTCCAATCCCTCGCAAAAGCAGAACCCGCCTGTCTCATCCTAGCAGGTCGCAACACCGCCAAACTAGAGCAATGCGTGTGCGATCTGCAAACCGCCAACCCCGAGCTGAAAACTCGTACTTTGCAATTTGACCTCGGGTCTTTGAAGAGTATTCGAAGCGCGGCAGACCAGGTTAATAGCTGGTCTGATATCCCTGCTATCGATGTCCTCGTCAATAACGCTGGTATCATGGCCACTGAATATGGTCTTTCTGAGGATGGAGTCGAGTCTCAGTTTGCAACTAATCATCTTGGACCGTTCCTATTCACGAATTTGATTATGGGGAAGATTTTGAGGTCCGAGTCTCCAAGGGTTGTTATGGTTACTAGTGATGGACATCGGTTGAGTCCTGTTCGGTTTGATGATTATAATTTTGATGTGAGTGGTCTTTCTAGCCTATTTTTTTTTATTACTCCTTAGGAATTTTCTATCCCCTTATATCTGTAACATCTCTCATTCTTTTCTCTTCTAGGGTGGCAAGACATACAACAAATGGGTAGCCTACGGCCAAGCAAAAACAGCCAATATGCTAATGGCACTTTCTCTATCCTCCAAATTGGGTGTCAAAAAAGGGCTTCTTGCATTCAGTCTGCACCCAGGTGTGATCTTTACCAATCTTGGCAGTCATCTAGATTGGAGTGGCGATGTTGGACTGCGTTAGTATCTCATGACTTATCCCATGATAGTTGTACTGAGGCTCAGTATCAGAGCTAACCGTCTACATTTATATGGAGCAGAATCTATCGATAGACAACTTGGCAATCGCGAGGGGTGGGATGAGTTTAATCTCAAAACTCTGGAGCGTGGTGCTGCTACTCATGTCTATGCGGCATTTGATCCTGCTCTCAAAGGTGCGTCCTGTTAACATGAGATCGTTGCTAGAAGCTGATCTGTTTTCACAGCAAACAACGGCGCCTATCTTATTGATTGCCATGTCGCTGACTGGTTGGTTGATACTGTCAAGTCGTGGGGGACTAGCAGTTTTGAGGCAGAAAGGTTGTGGAAGTTGAGTGAGGAATTAGTTGGCGAGGAGTTTGCTTACTAGCACATCCATACATATAATATAGGGGAAGAAGAATTGAACTTATACGATTAAGAAGAAAACCATTCATTGTATGCGAACTGTAATTTACATGCACATGCACCGCTGATATCATACGAAATAGAAACACAGAAACAACCCATTTTAGACAATGCAAGATCTAAGCTTACTCGCGGACGAACATGCCAGCCATACCCATACCGGTACCAATGCACATACTGATAACGCCAATCTCCTGGCCACTGCGCTCCATCTCAGGCAGCAGAGTAGCCAGCTGGCGGGCACCAGTAGCACCGAGAGGGTGACCGATAGCAATGGCACCACCGTTGGGGTTAACCTTAGCCTGGTCGATGCCGAGCTTGCGAACACTGTAGAGAGCCTGCGAAGCGAAAGCCTCGTTGATCTCCCAGACGCCAACCTCGGGAACCTTGATATCAACAGACTGCAGGAGCTTGGGGATGGCGACGGCGGGACCGACACCCATCTCATCGGGGGCGCAGCCCGCAACAGCGGAGGCGACCCAGCGGGCCTTGATGGAGCCGGAGAGACCGAGCTCCTCGGCGGTAGAACGGCGCATCAACAGGGCAGCAGCGGCACCGTCGCTAACCTGCGAGCTGTTGCCGGCGGTGCTGGCACCGTCCGCGGAGAAAGCGGGCTTGAGAGCGCTGACCTTCTCGAGGGTCAGGCCGTGGCGGATGCCATCGTCCTTTGAGACGGTGACATCCTTGGCTGGGGCATCGGGGTTCTCGGGGTCGAGGGTCTTGGTGGTGACGGGGATGATCTCAGAGTCGAAGCGGCCAGCCTTCTGGGCGGCGGAGGCCTTGGCGTGGGACTCGACGGCGAAGGCGTCCTGGTCGGCGCGGGAGACGCCGTAGCGCGAGGCGACGTTCTCGGAGGTGATGCCCATGGGCATGATACAGTCGCGGGCGTCCTGGGAGTAGGACTCCTTCAGCTCGGGCCAGAGCACGGTGGGGATGGCGCGCGAGCCGTAGTTGCGGGTCATGGACTCCATACCACCACCGACACCGACGTTGATGGCGCCGGCGCGGATCCCGTTGGCAATGGTTGTGATCGCGGCCAGACCGGAGGAGCACTGGCGGTTGATCGTGTTGAAGGGCACGGAGTGGGGAAATCCGGCGTGGATCTGGCCCATGCGGCCGGCTTTGGCGCCGCCCAGCTCTTGTAGGACAGATCCGATCAGGACATCGTCGATCTGGGCCGGGTCGAGGTTGGGGTTTGCTTCCAGTGTTGCGCGGAGTACGTTGGTCAGGAGCTCTTCTGGGTAGGCGTCCTTGAAACCGCCCTTCTTGGCGCGGGTTACGGGTGTACGCAGGGAAGAGAGAATGACAATGTCATTAGGCGACTTCTGGAGCACCTGGCGGAGACCTCTGGGAATTGGAGAGGCCATTGTGTATGGACGCTCGGAGTTAAGGTATTCCGAGAATCTGGAGTATTTCGGGTCTTTCTCGGCGACGTTAGTCTCGATGTCAATAATGAGCTTCACGGAAACTTACATATGTACAAGATGGAGTGGAGAGAAATAAGCAACTGACTCCAGACAGAACTCCGGGGCTCAAGAAATACTTATAGGAAAATGCCGGGCTGAATTCCGGGGTCGGAAGTCGTCTGGTTGTCCAGTACCGTTGCCCGGCATTGAAGATCGGCTAAGTGGTCTTCCGCTGTGGGGGACTATACCCCATTTGCCACTCTCTAGTTGCAATGCTATTTGTATGTTTTCTTGGGATATCAAGGCTCCCGGAAATAGCAATGCACTTGCATAACCTGAATACTTCTACAAAAGGCACAGGAACTTGGACAATGCAAATATTCAAGGTCAATGCCAGATCGGGTGCTTATGTCACCATATTCCCGATGTTCGGATCGGCTCCCGGAACAAAGACGAAAGCCGAAGATTAGATCGAATGATGCCATTGAGATATTCTCCATATTCGAAGACTGCTGAAGCCTATCGATGGTTCCATATCTTCTTCTCAGTGCATGATAGCCCACTTCGCCAGGCACTCAGCCTCCTGGTTGTTCTCCCTGGGCACAAGCCAGAACTTGACCTCAACAACTCTCTCCAGCACAGTGATACCTGCCTCCACCAGCTTAAACAAGTCAGCATTGGCAACAGTCACACCCTTGCAAGTCTTCCATCCAGCCTCCTTCCACTTAGGCAGCCACTCGGTGATGCCACGAACCAGATACTCGGAATCGGTCTTGATGATGAAAGTACGCAGAGGCACGAGCTCATTTCCCTTGCGAGACAGCTTCAGTCGCTCATTCATAATGCTAGTTGCATTTCGTAGGGCCCGCAGGCAAGCGGTCAAAACAGCGATTTGGTTTGTATGAGCCTTGCCGGTGATGCCATGTGAGACGTTCTCTAGGTTGTTGACGCCGTAGTACAATCCGAAGGAGGAGCGCGTAACTTTCTTCTCCGTGATGCAGGCCCCATGGATTGCAAGGAGGAGAGAGTCCTCGTGGCCCTCAAATTGCTTGCAGGTTGGGCATGTGCTGATCGATGCTGGACAGGCAACACACATCCAGGCGCCGATTTCTACTTCAATGTCTTTCAGGCTGAATCTGGGTGGGTATTCATTCTCTGCGATGAAGCGGCGGCCTTTCAGTGTCACCTTGTCTTTGTCGTCATCTCCAGAGGGCTTCGTGTTGGATTGGGCGAAAGAATGGTGGGTGTGCATAGTGGAGCTGTGCCAGCAATCATCGCCCTGGGTAACCTGTTTTGGTCAGCTTGAAATGTGACAGACATTGTATCTTGGATTGGGGTAAAAGATGTGGGGTAGTGTAGAACAGAGGCCAGATGTTTACCATGGGGGTTTGAGGACCCTGAGTACCCTGAGTACCCTGAGGAGCAAGAGCGGGCTGAAGATCATGAGCGGGCTGAGCTGGTTGAGCTGTCTGGGTCTCCTTTGTCTCCCTCTTTCTATGTCTCCTCGGATGAGGAGGAATGGTGCTCGAAGCCATGGTGAGCTTGGACACAGGCGACGTAGAGGGGAGTAGGCGTGAGAAGATGGGCAGCAAAGTGAAGGGGTGAAGAAAGTACTTCAGAGAAGGGAGAATGAGAAGAGAAGACAACGTTAGGAGTGAGAACAGCAAGGAGCATGGGAAATAGAAACAAAAACAAAAAGTGAGGGAACAAAAAATTGCAGTGACCTGCCTTTTCACCTGGAGCTGGTGACGAAAAAGAGGGCACCACTATGGGCTAAAAGACGTGCACTTTTACCTATCCAATTGAATACTCACTAGGAACCACACTATTAGAGCAATCCTCACCTTCTAGCATCGTAAAATAGGTTTTCTACGTGAATGCATGTTTAAAACGTGAACAAAGAGCTGTAAGTTGCCCACAAACATAAGAACATAGGAGGCATGAGAAGTGATCGGGGTAAATATATCTATATTTACAATTAAAGATTCTACGTCTCAGACTGCCAGAGACGCTAAAAGGTAGACATCCTATGCAGGGATCAGTTAACACCAGGACAGTCCCTACTATGAGTCGATCATTACGCACCGTAACGATCGTGGTAACCCCATTAAAAGGCGGTATTGGGACAGGAAACTACGATAATACACATCGAATATTGAGATAAATTGAGAGAAAAGAAAGAAGGAGAAGAATGAAACTGCATCATAGTTATGGTCTCATAAATCATATCAACGCAAAATGTGGCTATAGTGGCCAGGAGCCTGTAGGCGGAAAAGCACGCAATCATTGCGATATCCCATGAAAAGGCGAGTCATCTTTTGGATGTTCTTGTTCGTGACCAGACCGCAGCATTGGAGCTATGTGAGCCCTGAGTTTTCCCTCGTCCTGTTTACCGAGGGAATCTAGATGATCCACTTAAATGGTATGGGATCCACGCTTCTTCTGTTAGGGTTGTATTGGCTGTAAGTGGCAGATTGGCATGATGTGGCCGAAATAGGTCACTCGGGAAGGTAACACCAGACAGCTTCTGCAATTTCCGTCAGGTCGTCGTTCGACAGACTAAAATCTGACTCGTTGCCCCTCTTTGCACGAATGGAAACAGTCTTCGAATTGAATATGCATTGAGCCCGAGACCTGGTGCTGATTTGAATAGGCATTTCGGTTTCGAGTAATGTACATTGTTTTTCTTGACAGAACTCCTGCGAGCTGTTTGGTCGAGTACCCATTGCTGGATTGTAATGCTTCCCCTACGAGTAACCTGAATTGTAAGGGCGACCTTAACCTGTTGCTCCGATTCACGTATCATCTCCACAGTTCTTAGCAATGTACTACGTCTCAATTCTGATAATAATGAAATGACAGGGAAGTAAAAGGTAACTGAAAGGAAACTGATAGGCGGGGAGTCATACCTTGGCTTCATAGTCGTGCTCGTCGGTCAGTGTCATCACTCCGCGCTTGATGTCGGTCATGTTGGAGTCGACAAAATGTGAGACTTTCCGAGGTTGGGAGTGCGAAGAAGGAAAGAAGGAAGTTGAGAGCTTGCTTGAATATATAGCTGTCTATTTTAGATTGATAATGACAATATATAAATGTGTCTATGCATGGAATCTAAAGAACTGTTAGCTGAGCACCCCATGGCTATAGACACAGTTTTCCTAGAAGGGTTTAGCGTATTTATATATTTAAAGGGTGTAGGATGTATAAGTGCGCTCCCTTGCCGTCGTTTTGATAAATCAATACCTTTTCAATGCTTTCTGGGTCATAGAATGTGGACTTCATAGCTACGAGTACCTCAAAGTGTACAGATTAAACAGGCAGGTCTAGGTAGAGGGCGTATGACGGAACTTTTAATAGAGCAAGTGGCTTAAAGGGTGGCTTGTGTTGCTCTCTATAGGTAGAATGACTTAAAGGGGTTGGTTAGACTATGAGATGTTTATATGTAATATGAAAGACTTCTTTGTCGTTCTTTCATAAAGAACTATTCGCCAATCGTTTACTTTAGAGATAGATTGCAAAATGACGCCATACCTATTACGGGTGAAGAGGTATAGTCTAATTCACAATCCTCGATCTATGGCCGGGGAGTCTGTTTAAGATCTCCACCCCTTGTACTGTACATCTTCCATAGTCGAGTTGAGTCACCTCACTGATGCATAGGGATGTGATGTATGGATCCAGGGGTATATTCCCGTACATCGGTCACATCATAATAAATCATAGAACATGCTAGAAGACAAACATGGCTACACAGTCAACATGTGTGAAACTAAATGTAGAGTGATATACGATTTATTGCATGTTGTGTGGTCATCTCCTGTCTCCTGATTGGCTCATATGCGCCTATGACTAGATCTGACTACAGTACAGGGATAGCAGTTTTGCCTCCAGAAACTTAAAGAGAAACTTAAGAGGAAATTACAAGGCACATATTAATGGATAAATATGACCGGATGCAAGTAGTCAATAGAACAGTAAATATAGCTGCAGCTGTAGGGGGGCTACAAATAGGTCGATCGTCGACCCGATCTCGGCCCACTTTTGCTTCTTAATTTTTGTTTCTTCCTCTTCTCCTCTCTCATCCTCGGCCCCTGTATTTGTGAGTCACAGCCCTTGCATTTAAATACCTTTGGTATCTCCTGGTCAATTGTGCTGATAATATACCTTGGAATTGCTAGTCCTGAACAGTCGAGCACGCACAATGCCTCTCATCAACACCACAGAAGTCAACGAGGACACTCGTGGTATGTGGACACTGTCTGATTCAGTTTATCTGTGATGCTCATCAATTCTTGTTAGTCCTTGGATACGACCCATTGCTGTCGCCGCAATTCCTCCAGACTGAGATCCCTGCTGTGAGTCAAATTTTTTTTTTCTGCACCCCGCACTGCGCGATTGACCGCATTTTGAACACCAAACTGACAGCAATTGCTTCAAACAGCCTGCCCGTGCCACCGAGACCGTTCGCTCTGGTCGTAACCAGGCAGTCGAGATTATCGAGCAGCGCGATGACCGTCTACTGGTCGTCGTTGGACCCTGCTCCATCCACGACCCGGACACTGCCCTCGAGTACGCCCGTCGCCTGAAGGAACTCTCAACAAAATTGGAGAAGGACCTCTGCGTCATTATGCGCGCCTACCTGGAGAAGCCCCGCACAACAGTCGGCTGGAAGGGTCTGATCAACGACCCCGACATCGACGAGACCTACAACATCAACAAGGGTCTCCGCGTGTCCCGTAAGCTGTACACCGACCTGACCAGCACCGGTCTGCCCATCGCCAGCGAGATGCTGGACACCATCTCCCCGCAGTACCTGGCGGACCTGATCTCGCTGGGCGCGATCGGCGCCCGCACAACCGAGTCCCAGCTGCACCGCGAGCTGGCCTCGGGTCTCTCCTTCCCCATCGGCTACAAGAACGGCACAGACGGCAACCTGACCGTGGCCGTGGACGCCATCGGCGCCGCTTCGCACCCGCACCGCTTCCTCGGTGTGACCAAGCAGGGTCTGGCCGCCATCACAAAGACTTCTGGCAACGAGCACGGCTTCGTGATCCTGCGCGGCGGCAACAGGGGCACCAACTATGACCGGGCCAGCATCAAGACTGCACGCGAGGCCCTCCGCGCCAAGAAGCAGCGTGAGGTCCTCATGGTCGACTGCTCCCACGGCAACTCCAACAAGAACCACCTCAACCAGCCCATCGTGGCCAAGGAGGTCTCCGACCAGCTCCGTGAGGGCGAGTCTGGTATCATTGGTGTCATGATCGAATCCAACATCTACGAGGGTAACCAGAAGGTTCCCCCCGAGGGACCTGCCGCTCTCCACCGTGGTGTCAGCATCACTGATGCTTGCATCAACTGGGAGATGACGGTTGATGTTCTGGAGGATCTGGCCGATGGTGTTCGTGCACGTCGTGCTGCCCGTAAAGCCGGTGCCAACGGCTCGCAATAAGCAAGTCGTTGCCTTCTTAGACGAATCGCTTGTCTGGGTTCCACGGCTCGTCATTGCGATGGTGAGGCGGGTCTGGTAAAATAAAAATATGCTTTCATTTCGGTGCCTGTTGTTTTTCTCAGGGTTTCAGCGGTTTCCTTTGTAATTTTCTTCTCCTGCCATGTGCTGTGATCATGTGTGAATGAGTCTTTGGTGCCCAGTCAGAATATGAAGGTTTTTCATTTCTGTGAACTTTTTTCACCAGTAGAGGTTGACTGGCAATGGGCCATAGTAGGAAAGTAAGATAGGGAAAAATGACGATGGGAAAGTAAAACTGAGGACTGTTAAATGTCCAGGGCCAACACTCTATAAGAACGGTTTTTACCTGCTCCACTGTGTGCATGGGCCAGGGGAAAGCGCTCTTCCGGCGCGTTGGGGGTCCCGTTTGTGGAATTAGTGCGACAAATCAAAGTCAGAGGCGGCGTTCATTTCGGTGAAGATCTGTAGTAATTTATTATGCTTTATAGTTTTAGGTTACTTGTATAGACAGTAGCTATAGAAAGTTACTGTACTTCGTGTAGTGAAATCTGGCGATTGGAGTAGAAATGAGAACAGATAGGAGCAGATCTATGTACTGTACACGATATACATTGAGGCCCGCCCATACACTCCTTTCAGAGTATAAAGGAAGGTCATACTGACTAGGAACACATTCCAGAAGAGAAGCTGGGAAAGGAAATCAAACGCCGTAAACCCCCTGGGAAGATGGAAGCAGGCCGCGAGATAATTCTGCGACTTGCCATGCAATAGAAAAGATTGTTGCAGATGGCGAAGAGTGAGGATTAGAGAGGACAGAGAACAGATGGATCTGGTGTGGAAGCATCATGCGTGTTTGTCCGGTGGTAGACGGTGAGGTCAGATCAGATCTGCATCCGAGGACGGGCCATGTCTCCCCACACATCCATTTTGGTCTCCCGTCCTTTCATTTTGGTTACTTTAAGCTGACAGTTGCTCCCATCTACCGCCCTGTCAACCAGCTAGTCCAACCCTTTGTCTTGGCCTTTGCGGCTTCTTCCGCGTTCTCGGCCATCACGTCCAACTGGCCGGGTAAGGGTACGCCGGTCTTTACGGCGGCGGCATCGATGGCCTGCTTGGCCTGCACCGCCTCTGTGACACTGCTATGGGGCTGCTCGGTTGATGCGGCGGCTGGGACAGCACCAGTATCCTCCATATTCAGCTTCTCGAAGAGGAAGCGCTTGGCCTTGGCCCACGGCTTTTGTGCCTTATCCTCCTCGCGCTTCTGCCTCACAATCTCACCAATGCTCTCCTTCTTCACGAGTTCCTGTTGCTCCTCGGTTGCGCTGCCGTTGGCGACGGCAAGCTGGGCCTGGTTGAGAGTCTCGAGTTCGCGTTCGATCCAGAGGGTGCGCTGACGACGGTTATAGAGCGTAAGTGAGATCATGGAGTAGACTGTAAGGACACCGCAAACACCTATTTGAATCAAGAATAATCAGCATATGGTCGGGTATCAGTGGATGTTGTTGGTTGTCATGTCGGGTATGGGCTGATGCATTCACGGCTTCAACCGATAACCTCCACAGGGCAGGAAACATACCGGACGCGGCAATCAATGTGTAGACCATTCCCTTGTGAGCCTTGTTGGCAAACCTCCGACCAGACTCAATCCACCGATCCGCACCAGTCCCAAGAGCCTGAGCCCTCTTCGCAGCCCGTGCCTGCGCGCGGAGTCGTTCCACCTTCTCCTTAGGTGTCTCCGGTTTCCCATCGGGGCCGGTATATTGTAGTGATTGCGTCTTCTGGTTGGCTTTCTTGCTCTTTCCGATATCCGCGGTCTGGAAACCGCCGGTCTTGGAGTTGGCGTAGGGCCCTGTGGCCGTGAACCGCGTTGCGTCTGCGGCGGATCGGGACATCGTTGCGCGTTCCCGGGTTCGGTGGGAGGCCTGTAGATCGTCTAATGGAATCCAAAATAGTACCTCTGACAACTTGGCCAGATGCAATTGATGTGTTTGTGGGGGGTGGGCTCTGGGCGTTGGCGAAAACCGGGGATTTGCAGGTTGAAGGTAAATTTTCAGCACGGGAGATGCGCCAAGACATTCAACAGCCTTATCGACAAACCTCCTTCGAGTTGCCTTTGTACATCTACAAATATCCGATATATCAAATAGTATAGATCTCGCTTGCTTTCTGCTTGCTGTCTGAAGGTTCGTTTTCATCTATAAATAACCTTTATTCCGGTTCCCATCTCTCTCCCATCCTCAACCCTCAACCAAGTGGCACCAACAACATGGCGGATGATCTATACAATTCCTCCGACCTCAACTCGGTCCTCCGTACTCTGTCTAGCTTAACTCCTCAAGGCAGCTCTCAGACGATACCACAAACCCATCAAATCTCTACCCCTGCTCCGTTGCACCGCTCAGAAAAGGCACTCCAGCCGCAACCCCGGCCACCGCGACCTTCCAATGGTCCTGCTGATCCATCTAATATCACGACTTGGCCTGCTGCATTACGCTATGTTATGCGCACTGTGGGCCAGACTGAAGAAACACAACATCGCATCCGCGGAATGATTCGCAGCCAACATCACCATGAACGTCAATGGTTCAATGCTCGCGAAGCATTGATAAAACAGCAACGAGGGCGCCCTGAGAAACAGAAGGAGCTCGATGCAGTTCTGTGAGTCTTTTCTCATTCTCAATTTTCTGTCCGTTTCTTTCGGTTTTCTTTAGTCTCTCCTCGATATTTCCATCTCGTTTTAGTCTTGTCATAGTTTTCTCCTGTTTTCTTTTCCCATTCGTTTATCTTGAATCTTTTTACTAATGTTCAACAGCCGATCAATCGGTGCTCCGGTGGATACAAAAGAGGCGGATACAGTACGTTCTTACTTCCACATCTACTCAGCCCTTTCTCAGGTCATCTTTAAGCTGCCCTACTATCAACTTGCTGACTGATAAATCAGGCCGAGCAAGATTTTGCTGCAGAAGTAGCAGCCTATGATACCAAGGTCTATAGGGCTGCTTCCCAGATGACAGACGCGCTGATATCTGAACTACGTGGTCTCGGTATACCTTTCTTCAAGATCCGTTCAGATTTGATTCAGGATTCCCCGACTGGGACAGGGACTCCTGGTTCTAGGGTTGCCCAAATACAGGAACCTGATCCCACCGGAGTCTCGTCGCAAATCACAAAATCCGAGCTTGTGAAATTGCAACAACGCATGCTAGAACTGTTGGAGGATCTGTGCAAGGAGTGATATTCTATTTTCCAATTGCTATCATCTCCTTATTCTCTTCATACAGTGTTGGTTGTGCACGCGAAGTATCTGACTAATGTCCACTACGAAGCCACTGTGTGACAGCAACCGAGACTTCGAGACTCCCGCGATATCGTCATCACTCTCGGGATGCTCTCTTGCTTTCTCAAATTTTCTTTTGAAGTCAAAGTCTCGGTTCACTTTCCGTCGAACCGAACTGAAAAATACAACATGGCCCAGAACACTTGCTTGTGTTTTTACTGCGAAAGTTTGCTCTAAAGATGAGTTAGCTGGGTTCAATCACAAGGATTTCGATCTTGTACTCGATGCTCCAATGTGTTTGCCGCAGTTGAACACCCAAATGGGAATATCTTCAGTGATAGATATCTATCTTTCTTTCGAGACCAAGACCAATTCCACGATACGAATTACGAAACGCAATAACAATTTACCGAATTTATTGAATCGAGACTCCTGAGGTTAGGATATATCCATGAATTCCTTCATAGCATATAGTCAAGCCATCCATTGTATCTATTGTCTTTCTTATAGTATTCATACTTTTTTTATCCCGCTGAATTTCTCACCTAGGCCGCAATGTCCACATATCGCACTGCTTAGGGTAGTCTCATTTCACAGTCTCAGAAATGGAACATAATTATACCAAGATAGTTGAATCGATATAAATGATTGGGACTCCTATATTTGGTAGAACGGGTGATGTAATAGGGACTCGGCTGTAGGGCATACCGCCCGGCGGCAAACGCCGATCCACCCGGGCTTTGACGTACGCTTCACCTTGCATTCATATTGAACATGACAACGAGAACCAAGATAAGTGGTCTCGCATCTCTTGCTTGCACAGAGTGCAGAAAGCAGCATCTCAAATGCGATGCTAGCAAACCATCGTGTTCACGATGTGTACAGAACGGGTTACTCTGCCAATATCTACCGTCTCGCCGAGGCGGACGCAAGAAATCCCGAAATGAAACCCCATATCAACGTCCTTCAATTTCGCAAAATCAGGCCAATGTCAGTGTTGATAATAATCTTCGGAAGTATTTTGCTAATGAATTTTTAGGCCAGATATCAGTCTTCCGTCTCCGTTGTGCCAATCACCCCTGTGCAGGTCACACCAGAGAACACACCACAGACCGGCAGGCAGACGGGGCTAAGTATTTCCACCGAATCGGCTCCATGGCCTGTGATGATTACGGGGAGTTCTCCGGTTCAAGATAATGTTGAACCTGCAAGCAAACCTCCACTTTACGATGAACGACTACCTCGGTTGTACTACGAGAATTTCCATGTCGCCCATCCAGTCTTGGTGCCCAGCTCATTGTATAATGATCGGAACTACCCTCATTTCCTGCAGATGGCAGTGAATTTTGTGGGCTCTCACTATGTTGCATCTATCTCCAGCCAGCAACACAAGGATCAAGTTGTTGCCGAGTTGAAAACCAACCCCGATCGATCGCCTTGTATGGTCCAGGCTTGGCTGATCTATTCCATTGCTCTCTATGCTCGCGATGAATGGCAAGAAGCACAAGAGGCTTTCTCTAATAGCATTGACATTGCTTTGGAGCTTGGCATGAACCGATGGTCATTCGCTTCATCGGCGAACCCGGAAAGGTCCATCGAAGCAGAGAGCATGAGAAGGACATGGTGGGAACTTTATGTTACCGATATCTTCATGGCGGTCTCTTTGAAGACAACAACACTTCGGTGTAGCACTGTCTCGCCGGAGGTGGGCTTGCCTTGCGAGGAGTCTGCATATAATAGCGGATGTGAAGTTACAAAACCTCGAATGATGATCGAGTTCAAGCGGAGGATTCTCGCTGCAGAAGACCCAGTTTTTTCATCATTCAGCTATCGCATTGAGGCCACGACCATCCTATGCCGAGTTCTTATTCTAAATCGACTACGAGACTGTCACCGCGATCATCTTCAGGCCATCGAAAATGCACTAGTGAGCTGGATCAACCACCTTCCACCAAAGAAACTCGACATTCTTGATTCATATGGTAACGTCGATGAAATGATGTTCCAAGCACACTTGACAATAGCATACGCTGCCATGCTCCTACACCTCCCGCGCAGCGACCTTCCATCTGTATTATCCCAATCTCAGCCCGATGAGCGGTTCTGGCCCGGTCTTTCTGGTCAACTCTCATCAACATTCACCCGCTTAGTTCACAGCATCAAAGCAACCGAGGCCTCAAGACGAATCTCCGACTCTATTTCTGTCTGTCCAAACGTCCCAAAGCACACACCTTTTATAATTCCCGCCTTGGCCCTCTGCGGACTCATCCAACTCGCCACTTCGACCAGCCATTCAGAGGAATGTTTCGATCACCATTGCAATCGAGTCACCCTCATCTTGGGATGTCTCAAAAGCACGCAACGGACCTGGATACTAGCCGAGTCCGTGTACCATGGCCTCCGATCTTCTGCATCGGACATTCTCTCCGATTCCATGGCGAAATGGAACGCCGAGCCTCTGCATAGATTCATGCCAGCAGTCTCGACACCGAATGTGCAGGAAAGACCAAGCTCGAGTGCAAACCCGGCCACGACTATGACATACGGACAAGACTTCACACCGCCAGAGTTTACTTCAACATTTATCGATCCTACTTGTTACAATGCTTCATTCTTCAGTGCTATCCCTGACTTTGATATCAATTAGCGGTTATACCCGGGAGCGGAGGAAGTGTTTCTGTACTAATATGATCTATGTACATCAGTTACCTCACAATTAAAAGTATACATCAGCTGACTACGTAGTCACGCAGACCAGGTGCATACTGAAACTCGGAACAAATGCTGATAATACGTAATAGCAGGGGCCTGAACTTCAATCAGAAATTCCGATTTGCAGGCTTGTTCAGTCGCCGAAGGGTAACCTGGGTCGCCGACTGAGCCGTCAATCATTGGTGTTGATTGGTCACTACTTAAATAAACTTCCCCACTCGGCGATCCAGTCGGAAGCCTCACGCGCACACGTTGTACGTATATTTTGAGGCGCTACTTGCATTGACTAAACCGGAAGATCAAGTTATCCTGCTATATGTTCTTATGCGGTGAAGCTGGTTGATATCGTCGGAACTCTGATTGGATGTGGCCCTATTTCAATGATCTGCAAGTCTCATGCTCCTTCTTCTACTTCACGAGATAACTTAGGCCATTTCTACTGCATTGTAGCGGTGTCACCGAGTATTCCTCCATCTGGTCTTTGTTTGAATTGACTAAATACCCGAGTGTAACCGGGGTTGATCTGCGTATCTTAATCTAATTAACACATGTTTTCTACCTCATACTTCGCCGTCCACGATTGACCGCCAGAGGAGAGTATACATCATGCTTAGACCTCAGCTGAGACTTTATTAACGTCGCTTGCATTACCATCTCATCTGGTGCATCATCATTTGTACAATACTTGTACTAGGTTCGACTGCAGGCTGCACACTATGGCGTTATCAATTCTCTCTATGGCGTTATTAGTTCGTAGTCAAAACTGCCCTGATTTAAACGTGGGTTAGTTCGGTCTTGTAACTCTCTGCTAACTATGAATTCTTTAACTCTTCAAAATTAATATGGGAATATACTCAACTTGAGATTATAGCTACAGCCAAGAGAGATATGCCAAGCGCGCCACAGTAACATAAACATGGGGATGCATACCTCCAACCCCACCGCCAGACGCCAATCCCTGTCTTTCTCGAAATAAGCGAATCAACTGTCATCTGCAGAAACAACGGTAAGGACTTTGAGAACCGTTGGCCCAGACTGCAATGGGTCCGCGGCCCTGGAATGCAAGGTATTGGATCAATCGGCGATTGAAACGGGCATTCAGGGGAATGCCAGAATATGCAGCATGATCTCAGAGATAACAGATCTCAACCACAAGTCCTCTTTATAATTTCTCCTATATCTGTTCACAGCTCCAACCTCCATTGCTAACTCTACGCCTCATCCATCAATCATCACAATGTCATACGCCGTCATTCCCACACTGCCCCTAAACACTGGTCTATCACCAGGCTACAAGCACTACACACCGCAATACAACCTAGAGGACCTTGTACAAGATATCAAAGCCCATCTAGGAGAGAGCGGCGGCATTTCTTCAGCAGACGTGGATAACGAATACCTCATCTCTCTGGCAAAGAAATACATCTCAGACCCGAACGACTGGGCTCGCTACTTCTACAACGACCCCAGCAAGGCCTACACCCGCAATGCAATTGAGAATATCAACCAGAAGGCAAATATTGTGAGTGAAATTCTCAGTCATATCCGGTTGTTATCATCAGTCTAACCCAATATCCCAGCTCCTCCTCGTCTGGAACCCCGGGAAAGGCTCCCCCATCCACGACCATGCCAATGCCCATTGCATCATGAAGATCTTGGCTGGCACATTGCAAGAGACTGTCTATGACCTCCCCGATCAGGGATCGGATTGTCCGGGTCCTTTGGATATCAAATCTGATTCGAGGCATACGATGAACGACGTCGCGTATATCTCTGATGATATTGGCTTGCATCGGGTTTATAACCCGAGTAGTGACCAAGTTGCTGTTTCTCTTCACTGTGAGTTCTGCACCGAGGATTTTGAGCCTCTTTCTTGGTGTTTGGTGCTAACAGAGGCTTCTCCAGTGTACACCCCTCCCAATGCTGCCGACTATGGATACAACATCTACAACGAGAAAACAGGCAAGGCGAGTTTCGTACCCCAGGCTCATTCTGTTCCGCGGAAAGAATGAACTCGACTCTTATGGGTGTTTATTGGCGCATGGCATGGGGAGTTCTTTTTCTTTTTTTTTGGTTCTCTATTTCTCCTTTCCCTTTTTTCCCCATGAGCACCAAGCATGTCTGATAGATTGATTTTCCATTTCAACCGGTTTCGATGAAAGCGATTTTGCTGGTATACCCTTAACGAGATAATGACTCTATTTACGATGACTCCAAATTCTATCAAAGTCCAATACAATATGACATAAATCGCTAGAAAACGCAAGTTCTGCTCTCCATTGAGAACAGGCTTCTGACCTTACAAAGAGTAGTCAATGCTTCATTATGAAATTGTTTCTATATGAATAAGCACATAGGACACCTGGAAGGGGTCGATTTGCTTAGTGGACTCATTGCAAGTCTCCGAAAAACCAGAACGTCGTCCAGTCGTCAGGTTAAATGCCGTGTGTCGGGAACTTCCAGATCATGTCCCTGTTGATACTTCCCTGCCTTCCTTCTTGTGTTTTCTTGCACCTTTTCCCCAGTCGTGAGGACTCCATGAAAGATCTTGTTGATGTCATCCTTCTACTCCTCGTCAATCTCACAATCCTTGTCATAGTTCGAGCTGAAGTGTAGTGATTATATAGCCATGCAATGATATTATACATTCAATGCTAAGTTGGATGCAAGCGACAGGGAAGAAAAAGTGGTAAGGCCAAGGAAGGAGACAATGAAGAAGGATGATGAACTATATATTGAGTGGCATGAGCTTTATAATTATAGCTCGTAGACCTAGGGTTAGCAACCAACAAACAAGGCCTGAAACTTGAAACCTAAGGTAACATATTGGCTGCCAAAAAGTAAACTTCGAGTGATCTGAAACTGAATGGTTTTACGACTTTATGAGAGTATTGTGCTTTTAATTGTTACGAATGGTAATATTAGTCTGGTGAACAAACGTGAGGTCTAAGTGGTATAGAGACAAATTGATTGAAGTGGCATTGACTACTCTCAGTGACGATTGACAATGAACGTATGATCTAAACTGACAATCGCAAATATGCCTATATACAAACTGCTAAACCCGGGCCTAGAGCTATCGGGGCATGCCAAAAACCGATGGGGGCGAAGATCAGACAATTCTTCAAGAGGCTCCGCAGTCCCTGGGATGTCGGAGGTCGGATGTAATACTCCGCGCTGACTATGACCTGTGACTGGTGGACCTCTCGGATTTTGGACCCTCGGCGCTCGGCGGGTTTTGCACCGATGGATATAGTTCAGAGTAAGATTTGGCACTTTATGTATAAGTTGATCATGTATTCATTTTTTTTGTTTGATTTTGGTCTTTAAATCCCATATCTTTCAAGATCATGTCTAGAGCTCGCCTTCTTCCACGGTATTTAACAACAAAGTCTGCCTCGGCTTTTGTTGTACTCGGCTTAGGGGCCTACTGCACTCGATCTTTTATTATACCGACTAGCCATGCAGAATCAAATGAACCTCCAAAGGTGTTCTCTGGGTTTGGTTTTACTACGCTACGACTGCAAAGTGCGAAAGATGTGAACCATAACACGAAACGACTGGTCTTCGAGTTTCCAGAACAGAATGCCAAAAGCGGATTGACACTGACATGTATGGACACCAGTATGATGAATGAGCTCACGAGATGTATCTTCTAACACACTGCAGCGGCCCTCCTCACAATCACCCGTCCGGAAGGACGATGGCTCCCCGTACTACGTCCATATACACCTATCAGCGATCTAGGTATATCTCATCCAACCCCATACCCCGACACAAGTACATGGAACTAACAAAAACACCAGACCAACCCGGCAACATCGAGCTAATGGTCAAGAAATACCCAAATGGCAAAGCCAGCAGTCACCTCCACTCTCTCGTCCCAGGAGACACCCTCACATTCGCAGCAGCCATCAAAGGCGAGTCCTGGACACCTAACAAGCATCCCCAGATCTACGCCATAGCCGGTGGAGCGGGTATCACACCTATTTACCAGCTAGTTCAGGGCATCCTCAATAACCCAGAGGACAAGACGAAGATCAGGCTTGTGTTCGGTGTCAATACGGAACAGGATTTGCTTCTTAGGGAGGAACTTAAGGGTTTCAAGACTCGGTTCCCGGATCGGTTTGATTATCTTTATACTGTTAGTCATCCAACTGAAGAGGCTGGGAGTGGAAATGGGGAGGTTAGGAAGGGTTATCTTACTGAGGAGCTTTTGAGGGGTGTTGTTACGGCTGATGGAGATGCGAGGGTCTTTGTTTGTGGGCCTCCTGCTATGGAGGAGGCTTTGGCTGGATCTTGGGGGAAGGAGGGTATTTTGGCGAAGCTTGGGTTTAGGAAGGATCAGGTTTGTAAGTTTTAGTTCATAGGTGTTTGTTTTATGCATGTATATTAGAGGTGTTTGGGTGATTATATTATGTTTGATTTGGTTTTCTCTCCATCGGTTCTTATCTAGGGTCCATGGATCATGATATGAGAGATCGTAGCAACAGATATGGTAAAAAGTATCCTAAAAGCCAAGGCATTCTTATTGTCCAGTAGGATGACATGAGTGATTGCCTGGGGCATTTGGTATAAAAGTTTAGCCGAAGTATTCCCAAATCCTTTAGCCCTTTACCAGTAAAGGCCCACGTAGTCCAACATAAACTACATATACATGTACATCCAAGAAACAAATAAGTAGCTTATTTCTTAAGATTTCAACGTCCCACCAACCTATAATCTAGCAAACATTAACCAGAACCAGTATCTGCTTCAGTAAACAATGACGCGGCCTTCCCCCTCTAGGACCAACCCGTCGTCAGCCTTGAGCCACGTACTCTTCATAAAGTCAATCCTATTTAGTTAATCATTTCTCTATTCGACAGGTAGCCAGACACACCTGCGTATGAGCAACCTTATAAATCTTTCCATGTTGGGTAATGAACAGTGTCAATCAACACAATTTTCCTGATGCTTAGCTCCCACCATGTCCCCACAATTCTGCTACACAGTCTCCATTGGCGCCGCCCCAAAACGGGAGCTGTCACGATCATATACTGCAGTGAGCGGTGTGGGTAAACGAAAGGATCAGATAGGAGAAATTATCGTAAGAGTTGGAAGAGGATACTGTGGAAGGAGAGACAGAGACAGAAACAGAACAAACGTTGACTTTATTCAAGCTATGTTACAACATCGAACCTGCCCAAACCCAGCCATCCAGAACAAGATATAAGTTATGTCCAGCTAGAGTACATGTATCAGGTCAAAAGCCAAGCGACGCTAAACATCAGACCAGACTGTCGTGTCAACTAAAGCACAAAGCTTGGATGGTACTGTAGTGGATCCATCCATACTGTAAAGTAGAAAGCGAGCGAAGATCAATACCTCGTGTGTAATGTCTATCCACAGATCAACAAGGATGGAACGTGAAGCAAAGACGAAACAAAGTCTCAAAGAAAAGATCAGTTCGACTGCGGTAGAATGCAGGTACAGTGTGTATCAGGATAGGACAGGACAGTATGGTAAATATATTCACACTATATACAGACATGGATTTCGTAAAGTAGACGAAACCAGCCCCAGGGCGGATCCCCGGATAGAATAATATTACACAAGAATTGAGAACAGAACCTTGACGTAGTGTAGGTTAGTTCGAGTCCCCAGCAGAAAAATCAAAACAGAAGGAAAAGAAAATAAATGCCGCACACAAGCACAGCCTGGCGATGTCCGTAGGTGATATGATAGTAACAAAAATGAAAACAAAAACAAAAATAAAAATAACGCCTAATTGGGGTATGATATGCATGGAACGATCATGACCTGGTTGATATATACCAGTGGCCTCAGCTATCCTCTCTTTTCTTCGGTCCTTCAGTCTTTCCGTCTTTCGATTTTCTTTCTCTTTTTCTTTCTTTCTCGGGCCAAAGACGTGGTATGTGGTTGATTTTGTGTCCAGATTGCAAACCCAACTCCGTAGTGATACAGGTCGCAGCTGGAAAGGGGTCAAAACGATACAGATGCAGACGTAAATGCAGATGCAGAAATCAGGCACAATATGCAATGCTAATCATGCAGGATGGAAAGCGAAAGAGCGAAACGCTTTACTCCCGGGGAGCGGAGGTGAGGTGGATCTCTTCCGTGGGAAGTCCCTCCTCGGAGGGGACGTGCTGGTAAGAGCGCGAGCGGCGAGCGCGGATGGCGTGCCAGATGGCGTAGCCCGCACCGCCGAGGGTGCAGGCTACCAGGATGAAGATTAGGAGACTGCCGACGCCGCGGATGATGTCGTAGGCCGTGTAGACTGCTTTGGCGACTTCCTTTGCGTCGGCGTATTGGGAGTTGCTGTGGCTGCTAGAGCCGCTAGAGCCAGTCGAGGTGCCGTCGTTAATTAGGTCAGCTGATTCATCGCCGCTGATGGCGTTGCTGTCGCTGTCGTTGTCAGAGCTGCTGCCGGAGGAAGAGCCTAGGTTCTTGTTGGCTGCGGCGATGATGGATGGGTCGTCGGGGCTAGGTCCGGAGGCGTTTCCGTCCCAGCCAGCACTCTTCCAGTTCGTGGGGATTTCGGTGCGCACGGTTACGGAGGTGTGCATGACATTGCCATCGGCATCAATAGCTTGGGCAGAAACCCAGTCCATGTAGCCGTCGGCGATGAACATGGTCTCGAAGTCGGTCTTGTTGACGGAGCCGATGAACACGGGTTCGCCGCGGTCGTAGGCCTGCGCATAGAAGTTCCATTTGACGACGTCGGTTGCTCCGTTCCAGCTGACGTAGAGGAGGGTTGTGGTGTCCTCTTCGTCGGTTCCGTAGACGGATGCGACCAGGTCGGGCGGGGCAGATGGGCGGCCGGTAAATTCGCCCTTGAAAGAGCGGTAGGTCGAGTACCGCTCGGAAGCGAAGCGGGCAGTCATTAGAAGATCACCGTTCGAGGCGTGCTCGCTGGAATAGCCGCGCTCACTCCATCCGACGAAGATGTTCTCGTTGGGGAGGACACGCACACTACCACGGAGTCGGGTGAGACCGCCGTCAGGGCGGTTGATACGGCGGATCACTCTGGCAGTCATGGGAACGACGGCGGTGTCCAGCTCGATAATCAAAGCGGCCGAGACATTCTCGTCGTTGCCTCGTTCGTCGGAAGCGTTGTTCAGGACTGAAATAACGTGGTGGGTGCCGTTCGAAGAGACAAACTTGACATCGTGCTGCTTGGAGAAGGTGAAGTCCTGGTCGAAGTTGCTCTCCAATCCACCCAGCCGCCAGACGATGTTTCCATCCTGGCCGGAAATCAAGTAGATAGTGTTGGTGAAACGTAAGGAGATCAGATAGTCACCGGCCTCATTCTTGTCGACTGCGTTGATGTGCACGTAATCCCAACCGGGCTCTCCGGCGGGGCTGTCCCACGCGTTGAACATGTTCGATTCATGCAAGGCAATCTTGTCGTACGAGTCCCACTCGACGAGAACTTCGCTAGTCTCAACGTCCAACTCGACAAACCCACCAGTCGTCACCCAACTCTCTTCCGTAGGGCGACCGAAATCTGCCATGTTGACCACCTGGCTACGGTAGGTACAGGCCAGAGCAGTCTTTCCACCGTCCATAATGTTGAACTCGTGCATGTTGAAGTCATGGAGCTCATTGACAACCTGGACCTCCTTCTCCACCTCATACTTGTTGTTCACGATAGCACCATGGCCCTTCTTCGAATTGTCGAATTCCCACCCCACAATAAACGAAAGATGCGGGTTGTCATCGATATTGTGCACCGGCTTGAAGTCGAAAGTATTGTGGTTATCGTACAAGGGCGATCCAGCCCAGATCAAGACCTGTTGCGCGGGACGTCAGTTGCATGTTGACCGGGGTCTTGGGGGCCAAGACATACGCCGTTGTCATCGTAGATATAGGGTCCGACTTGGTATTGCTGGTACTTCTGGGTGGGATGTTCTGGAGAGATCTGACCATACGGCGCGACGAACCAGTAGCCAGGGGCCATGCGCTCGCGGTCGTAGTAGGTGATTTCCCATTTCAAGGCTCGGACCTCTGGGAGCTATACAGACGTCAGGATGAAACACGGTAAAGAAAGGCAGTATTCAGCCCTACGGTCACAAAGGACATCAAGTCCGCATCATGGCGCTCGGCAACGACATTACTCGAGAACAGGAGTAATAGCGCACCCCAGAACATAGTGAATTGAAGGAATGGATAGGAAGGAAGATCTCCCAAAAAGCGAAAAAACGGAGAAAAGAATGAAGGGGGGGGGAAGATCCCACAGCCTTAATGCCAGAGGGGCTAAGAGAAAAGGGTATAGAGGAAAACAGAGGGCCGCGACGTCCAGCGTCAACGTAACAATTCACTCTTGGCGTCTCGGGTGGAGAAGGCACATGAGTCCACAGCGGAGAGTTCCTCTCCTCTCGTATCTCGTCTCTCCGTAAACGCTGGTTCCACTGCCTTATCCTGGTTGGGTCTGACATTCCCTAGCATGTCCGGAGAGATCCATCCGATTCTTGGACTCCTGAAGGCTGAACGTCTCTGATGGCGTGGCTTTTGCGCCACTGCGCGTCTCGGAGTCGGCCTTGTTTTCCCCAATCAGCCTGGACTTGGGCTTTGCCATTCAGCCGATGCAGATGTGATTAGCAGAGAACAATTGGAGCATCCAGGGGGAGAGTCTTGGCACTCTATCCAAACCTGGTAAGGATATCATTTTCAGGAGATGAGTTCCAGTGATTGACTGATTGACACGGCTGAGGAAAACCTTTTCCGCTCTCCTTCCTTTTTGCTTGTTTTTTTTTATTGTCTTTTTTAGTCTGTGGCTTCTGGGTTTCCACTCCGAAGCCGGCAGTTGAAATCGTAACGGATCCACCCTTGACGTGCCAACGTATTTACAGGTCTTGCAGAAAGTACGGTGAATAGGGCCATTTCCTTGGAATCAGAATTAGTCTACGTTAGCTGAGGCTTCGCCTCAGATCCCATTTAAGCTCGAGAATGGTGTGGCAGTCTAACCCCACAAACCACGTTTTTCTTTTGTTTTCTCTTCCAGAGTGGATGTCACTCCAAAGACGCGTAATCCATGTTAGGAGGTGCCCCCAGCGCCTGAGGCTTGTAGAGCACCAACCCGGCCACGGCAATCAGCAACAAACTCTCAGTACCAACAGATCCTTCAAATCCAGCGCCAGCGTGAGCACCTGCAGACAGGCCTGGACCAGGTTAACCCGGGACAAGTCCGCAGCCCCGTCATGCAAGATTGCGTCAATTGCCAGGGCCTTGGGCACGCAAGGGGGTTATACAGAACGCCATCGTGAGGTATAGACACCACCAGCGGGCATCGTGGCGCAGGCCGACTAGAGATGACATTCGTCACGCCGACGCGGCGCACATCACCCAGAATAGCAGATGCATTGGGTCCAGACATTGGCTGGCCGATTTCGTCAAAGGTCGAGTACACCGTCGTCGTGGGCACGTAGGCTGCGTCGCCGCCGTCGCCGCGCAGCGTGCGGATGTACTCCGTGTTCCAGCCCTGCTGCCACAGCGACGGTGTGCATAGCACCAGATCCAGCGATGGGCAGACGAGCAACCGGACCACCGTCCCGTGGAAAACTGTGCTTATGGCAATGAAGTCTTTCACCACGGCTCGTGTCGAGGGCCAGTATTTCAGTGCCCATTGGGTGCTTAGGTCGTCTTGCGACCATGATATCACGGCTAGGAGTTTGTCGGCGCAGAGTGTCGAGATATAGTTTATGGCATAGGCAACGTATTCGACGTTCACCTGGGCGTCGGAAATTGATGCCCGAAGGAGGTTAAACCATACTGCGTCGATGGAATACTGTCGCCTAACTTGGCGAACTTAAAGTGATATGTTTATCCAGCTGGGATGGCAGTGCCCAGCACGAAATCACGGGTGTTCTAGCGCGACCGAACGACAATGAGTCTGGGAAGTAGATTGCTGCTCGAAGTGTATCCTCCGATGTCGAGTAGGGAGCATCCCGGCAGCCTTTGGATAGATTTTCCGGGCCGGGGCTGGGTTTCGGTGGGATAGTGAGTTTAGCTCGCTGCCGAGGTATCCATACAAGAGTGAAATGACGTCCGGTGGCACGAGACCGGCTTCTGCGATTCCGCTGGCTACATGGTAGATGCTTGGTGTCCCTTTCGATATGATGGTTTGGATTGCTGACAGTGCAGATTCAGGAGATTGTGGTGCCGGAGTTTGTCGGCCTTGTCGAGGTGCGAGACGAAGCTCGTGAGGGCGGCTGATGCACTCCTGGCTACATCTGAGCACCGGACAGCGTGTTGAGAAAGTTTGTCTTTGCCAAGGCGGAGGATTTACCAACGGTCAGCGGAGAGCCAAGCACGTCATATATCCAAGTGAACACGAGTATACTCTTCGTGACTTGGATTATGCCGGGTCAACTTGGTCATTTCATCCTTTCAGGGGATGCCCCTATTGAAATATTGGTCTTTCGGGGCTTACAAGCGACATCATAGCAGGTTTCGCCTCCAAATCGATGGCTTGGGCTGCGTCTTTTCCGAACATGTAGCCATGCAATGTCTGACTTGCTTGTTTTATTGGGCCATTGCCAGAACTATTGGCTTACATTGCCTTGAGCCGAGAATTGGCTTCAGATCGATAGAAGCGAACGTGCAAATCGGGATTCCGACCTATTAGATTCAGGAGGTTTCTCGAAACGGCCCATGCCCAGTTTCAATTTGAGTCCGAGGGCCTGTCTCCCCGCAACATCCCCGCAGATCGTCGTGTGGGGGAATCAGAGCTACGGAATGATAAGATGAACAGGAATGTCATACACTATTCAACACGATAGAACGGTTACAAATAGAGCTTCCAAAATTTGCCATATCTAACTGTTACATAGAATCAAGACCACTGTTTAGTGAATATCCCCTGCTTTATAGACCACACAGTACTCTGGTTGACATAATTGTAACGAAAGACCTGACTTGAAGAACTTACGAGATAAACACGCGAGGAAGCCACCTGGTCGATCTGCAACCAATGCGTCTACTTCAGCCGGTGGGTATCTATACAGCGAATACGACGCCTAGTACAATCAAATCTTGCCGTGGAGCTTGCAAGATAGACTTGTCATTCACAAAAAGGAGAATCGGATAGATGACGATGTATAGATCATTGTTGCCCAGGTGAGAGAATATCTAACTTCGCTTGGTGGAGCTGAAGAGCCTCAACTAGCGCAACCAAACCTTGATTAACGCCAAATCAAGGAAATCTCACAGACTTTGCGAAGGGATGTGAATCTGTAGACTCGAGTATGCTTTGAGTTCAGAATTGCTAGGTCTCCATCTGATCTCAAATAAACAGCGTCCTTGCATAATTTCCAGGGCTCACGGTATGATCAAGGGTTACGTTTCCACTTGAGTGAATTGTACTCGATGTCTCATCGATCCACCTGAAGTAATGGTCCTTATTAAGCTGTGATTTGGCCTAGAAGACGGTTGTGAGGGACAGAATGTCTTGTCTATGTCGAGCAAGTGTGAACATCGAAAGCCAGCAGTTAGCATTTAGATCGATAAGGTGGCAGTGTAGATCCATAGATATGAGGCACGTGGTTAATGCCATGGCACTAGCTCTGGAAAAGTGAAACATGTACGGAATGTTAAGTGACATAGAGCCTAAGTTGAAGGGAGTTGGAATGATGTTGCCGCAGTATTCGGGCTAGGAGGGTAGTAGTGCAGTTGACAGTACATATGACATCTACAAAGTCGAAGATTTGGGTCTCAGGGAAGTGTATCGGATCCGAAAGACCGAAAAGTGTTGCAATGAGTGTTTCAAGCGTAGAAGATCTTATAGGGAGAGAAAGTGTGGAAGGCGAAGTCCCGAGTGTAACGGTAACTTGGACTACCACCGTTGCACTCAAGGGGGTGATTGTGTATGTACCATACGGAATGTATTGACAACAACTGCTATGAAGATAATTGTATGAATCAATTACAATAGAATTGGAGAGTGATGAATGCATATTTACATGGAACATATTTAATTACAATTTTCTAACAATATATCAGTAATATATGTGTTCCAAAATTGTTGATGTTGAAATACATTACAATACCATACACATTGCGACACCGCAAGGGCAGTGTCACTGGAATGGGCCAATGTTGATCCATGCTTGGGTTGACTTCGCTTCTCTACGGAGTACCTCTCTGTATTCTCTCTTCTTCCTCCAGGTGGGGATTATTGTCTCTGCTACACTCCCACCGAACCCACTCAAACACTACTCCAGTGGGAGTGTCACATCAGCTGCACCCCCGACCCTTATAACTTCTGATATTTCCTCTTTAGTCTTATCCCCATGTTCCCCAGGTAGCTAGGAACTTGGACTCCCTCGATCTTTCCTCCCGATCTCGCCTCCCAAATCGCCTCCTCTCCCGCGACCATGTCGGCCCCGCTGGTCAAGGTGCTGCACCGACTGCAAGAGCTGTTCCATAACGTTGTCTCGGCACTCGAATCCATGATCCTCTTCCCTTCCCTCTTCCGCGGCCTCTCACGTCGACGCCGGAGACCCTTCCTTGGTGCCCATTGGCGACGCCGCACCCTCGATGATTTCGCCGAAGAGGTCGAATCCCTCTGTTCCACACCGCTATCAACGCGCAATATGCTGGACATGTCGGAGCAGTTCCGCGTACAGTTCCGCGAGTGCCTACAAACGAGTCCGTATTGCATGCTACCATCGTACAACCACGCGCTTCCCGCTGGGTCGGAGAAGGGCCTCTTTGTGGCGTTGGATGTGGGCGGATCGACATTCCGCGTAGCTTTGATTGAATTGAACGGACGGGACGAGGAAGTGCGGATCCTGAAGGAATCATCGTCTTACATTGATAATGGGGTTAAGATGCTGGAAGGCACTCTGTTTTTCGACTGGATGGCGGAAAGAATTGACACTACGTTGAAGGAGCTCGGATCTGAATATGGTCGTGACGCTACGCCGCTGGCGATGGGTCTATCCTGGTCATTCCCTATCGAGCAGATGTCGCACAGCAGTGGTTTGGTGATTCACATGGGCAAGGGCTTTAAGTGCTCCGAGGGCACACTAGGGCAGGAACTGGGTGGTCTCATCAACGAGTCATGCCGCAAGCGCAACTTGAACGTAGAGATCGCTGCTATTGTGAATGATGGTTCTGCGGCTCTTCTTTCGCGTGCCTACGTCGACTCTAAGACTCGCATGTCTTTGATTCTCGGTACCGGTACCAATGTTGCGATTCATTTCCCCGTACACGGGATCGGTATGTCGAAGTTTGGAACTCGTCCAGAGGGCTGGTTCGACTACGCCAAGCACGTCATTATCAACACCGAGATGAGCATGTTCGGTGGAGACGTATTGCCCTTGACCCGATGGGACGACGTGCTGAACCGCACTCACCTGCGTCCCGACTACCAGCCACTCGAATACATGATCACAGGCCGGTATCTAGGCGAGATCGTTCGCCTGATCATCGTCGAAGCCGTCGAGACCGCCCGTCTGTTTAACGGGGAGCTACCGCACTCTATGCGTGAACCCTACTCCTTTGACACAAGCATCGTCGCCTTCCTCGAAGAGGACTCCTCTGCTACTCTTTCCGCCTCCGCCGCCCTCCTGCAAAAGCAACACACCTTCCCTAACCTCCCTTCTGTCGAGGACCTCCGCTTCCTCCGCCGCATCTGCCAGGCCGTGTCCCGCCGTGCAGCCGGCTATCTTGCAACAGCCATCCACAGCATGTGGTGCCTACGCAACGAGGTCGAATTCCCAACCTCCACCTCCCTCCACGACTCCCTCGACAAGGAAACACCCGAAATCATAGTCATCGAAAGCGAAGACCAACCCAAGAGCCTATCCATTGCCTGCGACGGCACCGTCATCAACAAATACCCCGGTTTCCGTGACCGCTGCCAGGACTATCTCAATCAGCTGAGCGAGGAATCTCACCCGGGCACCGGCGCCTCGATCCGCCTCAACCCTGCACCAGAGAGTGCCATTCTCGGTGCTGCAGTTGCAGTAGCTGTGGCCGTGGCTGAGAAGTCTGCCCAGCACTAAAGACCGGCTGATCGGACGACTGACATGATTGATGCTTGACTTCCACGCCGAGCATAGACCTCGAGCTGTTCTTTTCGTTGTGATTTTCTCTTCTCTCTCCTTTTCTTTATAACCATGTCCCTCGGTCATCGGCGCATGATATGTGATGGGTTTTCTTTTCTCTGCATGGGGTTTTCCCGATGGGAGTCGTTGGAGAGCATTTCACTTCTCCCTTTTTTCCCTACCCCCTTTTCGACACTTGACTCGCTAGCATTTGCGCGGTGTTTTTTGAATCTTGGAATTCATATGGGTTCATCGATATGGTTTCCTGTGCTTTTTTCCGGCTGGGCGGAGTCCGGTTTAGTTTCTTTGGCCTGTCATTTCCATGACGGCCTTGTTTATTTCCTTTAACTTCATGGAGGCATATTTGATCTGTCTGTCTGCCCTCTATACTTAGGCTAATATGTTTCTCCTTTCTCGTTGAACTTGCATAGATATAGAATATATCTATAGAGCTGGCTACTTTACTTGTAAAACATGCCTCAACCTTAGCATTCTTCCTCTCTTGACCTCCCTGGTTTTAGGGCGAGACTATCACGAGATTCAATTGGGGTTATCCGGTCGCAAGGTCATTGGCTTCGCAGGTAGGCTGAGCGCAAAAAAAAAATACAGTACGTTTCCGCGCTATGATTTTGTGTGTAGCGGGAAAAATAAAAAGGAAAAATAAAAAGTATTGACCGACGCAGGGGTCGAACCTGCAATCTCTTGATTCGTAGTCAAGCGCCTTGCCATTGGGCCAGCCGGCCTACTTGTTGAGGAGAGCGGCCTGAAGTGGCAATATCAGCCTGAATCGCTAGATCGAGGTGATGCATTGACTTCTACGCCACATCTAGAGATTCTACACACCACAAGATGGCAATTTGGTGGCAGAACTAATAATTATAAATATTTTATAGCTACATTGCTTGTCTAAGATATAAAACGTGTTTAATTTCCATCAAATCAGTCACTTTATTTTTAGTGTTCATCTCTATAAAAACAATATATATCCACAATCTGACCTCAAACATCTCATATAAAACCCCAAATTTACTCATCTGTGGCAACAGCAGTCTTATCAACACCAATAGTAATATACCCAATCATACCCTTGGTAACATCATTCCCATCAGCAGGAACAACAGAAACAATGGGGTTATATCCGTTCTCAGTATCACCACTGAAAACACTATCCACAGCATTGGTCGTGCGGTTAATCTCCGTGTGCGAGACATACGGTTCAAGAGCCATGATTTTCTGGGATAATGGCTCGTCGAAGTAGATCTGGCCAGTGCTGACCGTGTTGCCGTAGGCCATTGTGCCGTTTCCGCGGATTGTCCAGTCTGTGTGGACCTGGACGTGGATGTGGATTGAGCGTTCGACGTAGAATCCTGGAGATTGTTAGTACTGACGATTCTCCCAAAATAGAAAGAGAGAGGGAGAAAGAAGGAAAGAGAAACTCACCAGGGAAAACAGTCTTCATCTCCATCAAACCATGCTTATCAGTAGGCCACATTCCACGCAAGAAAGTAGTATCATCAGTATGCAAATCCGCAGTGGCCATATCAGTAACATTAAGCTGCTCGAGCAGCTCTGCAAAAGGCGTGTTAGGCGACAAGCCCGTGAAACTAGAGTACGAGCCGGTAGAGTTACAATGCCAGAAATCAACTAGCACACCTTCCAACGGTTCGCAGGTCTCCATATCCAAAACACCGACATCAAGCCAAAGCGGGACGCCGGGCTGGTCCTCGGTCATATCCTGGCGGAGGGTCTGCGACTGCGGCCAGATGTATGGACCCTCTGTGACCTCGGGGGTCAGGATGCAGGTGTCGTTTTGGATGGTGTTGTAGTAGGAGCCTTCGGTTTGGATGTTGTAGGTTGTGTTACTTGTCGATCCTGGAAAACGCTTGTGGAGGTTGCGCTTTATACGTTTGGCGTTGTAGTTGCCGACGTGGTCGGAGCAGCGGGCTGAGAGGTCGTGGCGGCGGGATAGTTCGCGTTTGCTGGGCGAGTGGTGAGGGCCTGGGTGGGCTGTTGCCACTGAGGCAATGCCCGCTGCGGCGAGGAGTTTGGTGAAGTGCATTGTTGCGGATTGGGGAGTGAGGGCTTTGACTTCAGGGACTACTCGGGGTTCACGGGGCCTTTATATGTGGATGGGAATTTGGGAGGGTGCATGTTCCTGGATTGAGACATCTATTTTGTCGTACTCTTTTGCGTAAGCTGCGGGAGAGTTGGGACTTGGCAGGCTTTGGACTGTGTTTCTAGATCAATAGTTTCATCTTTGAGAAGCACTTATCCTGGAAGAATTATGGGGTTATGGAGCTGCTGCAAGGTAGTTTAGTAAATGCGGCGGTGATCAATAAACAACTAATTAGATAAGATAGCCTGGAAGCGTAACAGGGGCGAGCTTATTGGATCGTGTACGATTCGGATGGAATCTAGCGCCGGATATAGGCCGACTTGGCAGGAGAATATTGTAGCCTACATTATGCAAAAGGAGGTGCTTCATGCGGACACCGGGGCAATCCGAAGAATAACCGGTTGCAGGTAGGTTAGGCTGTGAGGAGAATGCGTGTTTAGGGCTAATCGGAGGGAGGTTCGGGACTTGACAACCGCTGACTGATGGCGCCGATCACTTCAAGGATGGAGCTGGTGTGTTTCACTTCAACATGATTGGCAGAAGACACCCCTGGGATTAGTTATTGCGTGGCTTGTCTCTTGGCAGGCCTGCAGATTGTCACAAATTTCAGTCTAAATGTACTTCGGTTATTGTGGCTTGCCGAAGTGACCCCGGATCCCCAACCGCTTCGGCTTGTGGGGGTTTTTCAGGACTATTGCATCATTTCGGGATATTTTCAAGCAACAGTGAAAATGGTGAGTGGAAACAGCAAAATCCGTTTATTGAGGGACTATATGTATACTAGTGATTATAAAACATAGAAAATACATAGAAATCTACTCCGCAATGGCACGTATATCGCCCAACAACCACCCCTCAAGAAGAAGTGTAAGCCTGAGACTTATTCAGAATAATCTCCGCCAAGGCCATCAAAGTCCCACTGGACAAGAGCTCCAGAACTTGCACGTTAGCATTGGCCTCCCGAGCAATCCAGTTCCGAATCTCAATCGCCACCAGCGAATCAAGACCCAACGAAGCCACAGTGATCGAAGGATCCATATCCTCCAAGGAGATGACAAGTACCTGTGCCAATTTAGCGGCCAGCGCTTCATAGCACACAAGCAAAGCATTTTCCTTAGATGACGCAGCCTGCAAAGTAACCTGCAGCGGGACGGACGGCCCATCGCGCTGGGAGCTACTACCAGCCTGGCCCTTAGCAGCTTCGTAAAGCGCGCTAAATTTGGCGTCTTGGATCCAGAAGTTATTGTCCAGGGAGTCCAGCGCCAGTCCAGTGATGCACTGCCCAACACAGGACTGGTTTAGGTCTCCTGTTATGGCGGCAGCAACGAGTGCCAGGACCTCGGATTCATTGATGGCCTGGCTGCCGATGTTTTTCAGGACTTCCTGGCGCCGTTGGGCGCCACTGTCAGCTAAGTAACCGACGTCGCTGACTGCGGCTAGGTCGATTGATGTTCCTGGTAGGCCGAGGGATTGTCGGTATTCCATGAATCCGTCTAGGAAGACGTTTGCTGCGGAGTATGCTGCTTGTCCGCGGTTACCGATTATGCCGGCCACGGATGAAAGAGCGATGAAGAAGTCCAGTGGGGAGTCGATTAGAGTGTTGTGTAAATTCCAGGTTCCTTCTACCTTGCTAGATGTCACGGCTGTAAAGTCGTCCAGAGACATGTTCTCGAACAGCATGTCCTAGGGTAGTGTTAGCAACTGGGTATTCGACTGAGTTCATGAGACTTACACGCAGGACCATTGCACCCTGGATCACACCTCGCACTGGGGGAAGACCTTTCATCTCCTCCTTGACGAGCGCCTCGACAGACTCTTGACTGCTGACATCGCACGCCTTGACAATGACTCGCACCCCCAAGGGCGCCAGGCTGTCAACCAGGGCCTGCACCCTTTCATTGATAGTTGCGCGACGGGATACAAGGACAATGTTCCTTGCACCCTTGGTGGCCATCCACTTAGCCATGCTTCTACCTAAACCACCCGTACCACCAATCAAGATATACGATGCATCCGGACGCAGAAGGGTGGAACTAGTCTTGGGTGCCACAGCCTAGACTTCGTCAGTTATACTTGATCTGAAAGTGAAAGGTCTTCTCGCTTACCTTGACGAGATCGCCATCCTGAGGAACAACCACAATCTTGCCCATACTCTTACCAGTCTGCAGAGTACGGAATGCCTTTTCAATATCAGAGATCCGATAAGTCGAAAGCGGCAAGATAGGATGAACTGATTTCTCGCGCACCAGCTGACAAACATCATCCATAAGGCGCTTCGTCAGCTGTGGCTTGTATTTGGCAACCTTGGTAAGATCGACCGACGCGAACGTGACGTTATTTTCAAACGGCAACATATCCAGTCGAGTATTCTTCGTGATATCAGCCTTACCGATCTCGATAAACCGACCAAATGGCGCTAGGCATTCCCAAGTCTCGCGAAGAAGATCACCGGCAAGAGAATTAATGACAACATCCACACCGACCCCGCCAGTCGCTCTCCGAACACCATGAGCAAAGGATGTATCACGGCTGTAGAAGATACGGTCCTCGGAGATCCCGTATTGAGTCATCAAGAATTGCTTCTTATCAAGGCTACCGACGGTAACGAAGATATCGGCACCGATCATTTGCGCAATCATGATTGCTGCTTGACCAACACCGCCGGCGCCGGCGTGGACCAGGACACGCTCGCCTGGTTGCAGCTGACCTAGGTCAAACAACGAGTAGTATGCAGTACAGAACACGACAGGGATTGTAGCTGCGACCTCGAAGGACATGGTGTCCGGAATTTCCGCAACACTGGTAGTAGGGCACCGCGCATAGGTAGAGAAACCACCTTCAGGCAACGCCATAACTCTCTGGCCAACCTTGAGGTTCTTCACGTTTGAGCCAACGCTCGATATGACACCGCTGCATTCGATTCCGATGTAAGGCTGCGAAAGCTGGCCCATGGTGACAACAATATCTTTGAAGTTGAGACCGGTTGCTTTAACTTCGAGCTCAATCTGATTCTCACCCAATGGGGGTGGGTTGTCCTCCACGAAGTAGAGTGAGTCGAGTGCACCCAGGTTGCCGACTTGGATCTTGAATCGCCGTCCAGGCTGGATGAAGGGTTGAGTTGAGATTGCCATATCGTGAGTCTCATTGTGAACAAATGCATTGGCGTCATCGTCTTCAACAATACGCTGAACAAACAGCTCCGAGCCCTTGGCCTTGAACTCAAAGTCTGTGACAGGTTCAGTACCATCCGTAGGCCATAGGGAATCAATGGCTGCTAGAATCGGGATCTCGGGGCACTCCAGGTCTTCACTCTCAATTCCAAGAGTAGCAATCTTGGCCAGAGTCTCCGAGCGCAAAGTCCGAGTCAAACCGACTGTCATTTGTGCATCAGGAGAGTTTGTTCGGTAGACCCAAAGCACGGAACGAGCATTCAGCAGGGCCTTTTTGAGACTTTCGAACACATCTTCGGTGAGGTGCCTGAGAGAGCTAGCTCCAGTCTGAAGTAGGACAACATGCTTGTCGGAGAAATCTGTTTCACCAAATGCTTTCACGGAAGCTTCCCAGCCAGGGGTCTCAGACAGCAGATTGCTCAGTTTATCGGCAGTTCCATCAGACTTGCCGAAATGACTAACAAACAACTCATGTCGTTTGACAACATTGCCATTGGCATGAGCAGGCTCTCTTGGCTCTGTGTGTCCATTCGTGACCTTTGCTCCATTGACATGACCATTGCCGTTCGGTACTGCCTCACCATCGGATTCTTCGGTCTCATTCTTGGCATTTTCGATCTCGGCCAACGAGTGCCAATCAATCTTGTAGCACAATTTGCGAACCTCTTCACGATGATTGTTGGCATTTCTGAGTGGAGTCATAATAAGACCCTCCATCGTAATCAATGCCTCTGTCGAGCCTTCAGGGGTAGCAAACAAATCAAAATGAGTCGGCTCAGGCTTTGGCAGACTTGGACTACCATTGCAGTAGGCTTTGACATAATCACCAGCAGTGGTTGGGAGATCGCGACTGATGCTCAGCTGTTTAATCATCGTTGGCATGTAAAGCGTGTCCAGGTCCATTCGGCCCTGACCCTGTCCAAGGATCGGCCAAACAAGATGGAGCAGCCCATCCAGGAACGACGGGTGAACAGTCAGAGGAGACTCATAGTTTTTTGGCATAACACTTCTTGTGTCAGGGACAAGCAAATCTGCCAACGAACAACGAGAGCTGGCATAACAGTTCTCAAGATCTTGGAACGTAGGACCATATCCAGCGCCCAGGTCATTGAGAACCTGGTACATGTGAGGCATATCAATGTGATTCGAAGCCGACGCGTTCACCTTGGCAATTCGGTTCTCCACGTAATGACTCTGGACATGAGCAGAGTTGCCAATAGCTGCGGCCTGTTGCTTCTGGGCGGTACGGGTTCTGATGAGACCAGTGCAATGCTCGGTCCACGCTCTCTTTGAGTTCCAAGAACACACGCGGAATTCGCTCCAGACATCGGATGCACCACGGGTACCTTCGGTGTATGGTCGAAGGGTGATAATGAGCTCTGTGTCTGTATCATCGCTGAGGCAAAGTGCAGCGCCAACGACCACCTCTCGAAGCTCAAAGTGGGTGAATGGGATATCATGTTGCTCTGCACCGCGCCGGGCAGCTTCAATGGCCATGACCAGCTATTTTTTTGTTAGTATGCATGTAAATGATATTTGTATATAGGGAAACTTACATAGCCAGCTAGCGGGAAGACGGGAATACCCTGCATTCGGTGATCCCGGAGCCAGGGAATATCATCCAAGCGGAGAATATTGCGCCATGTCGGTTCTAGATCATTTGAATAGTTTGCCAACAAGCCCAGAATATCGTTTCTGGCACCATCTCTTGTGATGTGCTTCCGGGGAATGCGTGCATCATGCCAGTACCGGGTACCATGCTGCCAGGGGTAGCGAGGCAAGTTGGTCAGGAACCAGCGATTCTCAGCACCAGTCTTGGGGAAGTTGAGCCCAATCATGTTAAGGTTAACACCTCTCACGTAGGCAGCAGCAGCGGTATCAAGAACCGACTCAGCTGCGTCCGCATTACGGAGAATTGTGGGAGCGTATCCAATCTTAGACGTAATTGGACCCAAGCTCTTCAAGGTATCCATAATAGGACCCTTTAGAGCCGAATGTGGGCCAATCTCAACTAAGAGATTTGGTCGTGTCTCATCATCCGACACGATCTTAGCAAGAGCATCGGGGAATAACACTGGCGATGTCAGGTTTGCAACCCAGTATGCTGGACCGAGCTCAGAGGGATCCGTGAGACGACCAAAAACTGAAGAGTAGAATGCAGCCGTGGCAGATGTAGAAGGCCGGATATTCTCGATAGCAGTGAGATATGCATCGGCAACATTCTTCATATGATCAGAATGATAGGCGACGTCAATCTTCAGTCGTCGATTAAAGATCTGCTTGTCTTGTAGAATCTGTTCGAGGTCATCGATTGCTAGAACATCTCCTGAGACGGTAACACTCGAAGGACTGTTCACGCAAGCGACGGTGGCATATCCGGAAAGTGTCTTTAACATTGGCTGGACATCATCGCGACTAGCACCGATGGCAATCATGGCACCCTTCAAGGCCGGGAATTTAGCCTTGAGTAGGGACGTCATTTGTCCTCGGCGATATGCGAGAGCCACGGCTGCTTCCAAATCATAAATTCCAGCGGCATAGGCTGCGCTGATCTCTCCAGAACTGTGACCAACCACTGAAGAAGGCCGGATACCCCAAGACTGCAGGAGACAGACGAGTGCAATTTGAAGTACCGTGCAAGCCGGCTGGCTTAGATGTGGAGAGTTGATTTGGGAAGTGGTAGTGTCTTTCTCGAGCTCTTCGAGGAGAGAGAATTCCGCTCCAAGGTCACGTAAACATTTATCGGCTCGTGTGATGGCAGATGCAAAGACAGGGTATTCATGCATAAGAGGGATACCCATCTGTGCCCATTGAGCGCCCTGGCCAGTGAAGACAAATGACAGAATTGGAGTACCGAGGACCAAGAATGGGTTAACCTTCAGCTGAGCAAGGCGTATCCCAAGCTCATCCAGGGAGGTCGCCGAGACTCCCACACGATAGGAGAGCTGGGACATCTTGTTTCCAAGAGTGTAAGCGAAATTGCCGAAGAGGGCTTTTTCAAAGACTTCAGGATGCTGCTCGAAATAAACACCGAAGTCTTTGATCCTATGGCGTAGAGATTCTTTGTCATTGGCAGAAATCAGGAACAGCTTGCGCTTGGGGTCCACCTCGACATCTTCGGCTGCCTCAGTTGGAGCTTTAGACTCTAAAGGCGCTTTCTCAAGAACGACGTGAGCATTCGTTCCTCCAAAGCCATAGTTAGAAACACTCAAGTATTTCTTGCCAGAAGGCCAGGGCCGGGTGGTGGTTAGAACCTTCATATTCCACTCATCCATAGGAATATTAGGGTTCGGTTTGCGGAACTCGGCATTTGGAAGCATGAGACCTCTATCAAGCATCATAGCACCCTTGATAATTGCGGCGATACCACTTGCGCCCTCTAAGTGGCCGATATTGGATTTGACGGATCCAATGTAGAGCGGATTTCTCGGAGTTCGTCCCTTTCCCAGGGCTGCATGAACCGCTGCTGCTTCGATTGGATCGCCAGCCTTTGTTCCGGTACCGTGCATTTCAGCAAAGCCACATTTCTCCGGGTCTAAATTTGCTTCTTGGTAGACACGTCGAATGAGATCCTCCTGAGCTTCGCCGTTAGGCAGTGTGATTCCCTTTGTTCGCCCGTCTTGGTTGACTCCAGAGTTGGCAATGACTGCTCGAATGGGGTCGCGGTCACGCATTGCGGCATCAAGTGGCTTTAAGATAACGACACCGGCACCTTCGCCACGTGCAAAGCCGGACGTGGCTCTCTCGTCGAAAGAGTAGGTTTTACCCTCGTCATTAAATAGTCTTGGCAGTACCAAAGGTTAGAGATATTGTCGTGAGAATAAAAAGGGGGTATAAGTCTACTCACTGTGACATAGACATAGAAACAAAAAGATCTGGGACAACATTGAGGCGACATCCAGCAACTAGAGCTTCCTTTGACTCTCCACTTCGTAAGCTCTGTACTGCATAATGAAGCGCTACAAGAGATGAAGAGCAAGCTGTGTCCACTGTGATACTGGGCCCCTGTAGATCGAAGAAGTATGAGATGCGGTTAGATTGTAGGGAGGGCGCACAACCGGTTGCTTGATGCATAGGGATGGTCTCAATATCGCGCATATTGTTGAGCTCGTAATCGGCGAAATTTCCACCGGCGAAGACGCCCACGTTCCGGCGCGCAAGGTTTTCTTTTGGAATGCCAGCACTCTCCAAGGCTTCATACGAGCACTCCAACAGCAGACGCTGCTGGGGATCCATGGATGTCGCCTCTTGGACAGTAAGGTTGAAGAAGGGAGCATCAAAGCGGGCAATGTCCTCATCTAAGAAGTAGCCCCCCACCGGGTTGAATGCGCCAACCTTTGAAGGGTTGGGATGATGGAATGCCTCAAGGGAAAATCGATCTTTGGGGATGGGGGACCAGCCACTGCGAGCTCGGGTACATAGCTCCCACAGCTCACTGGGAGATGTGACCTGCCCCGGCAGCCGGCAGGCATACCCAATGATGGCAATGGGCTGAGGCGCGCTCTTTTCGCCGTCAGCGGCACACTCAAAACCAGTATCGCCGTTCATGTTGGTCATGTTAAGAAAAGGTAAGAATTGAAACGAGTCTGGAGGATTTCAGGAAGTCGCCTAGACATCGGGGAAACCGGCTGGCCATGTCGGCTTATATAGCGCATAAAATGCCTCGGGATAATCATCTTGTGGATTCTTGGGGGCGTACAACTCCCCTGAAGCTCTATATTTCAGGACTTCGAGCTGGCGAGAACGAGAAGGGATCGCCATTTCCTACACGTCTAGACTGATAAGGATGCGCCGTAAACATTGGGTCGGTGGTTATTCGTAACTTCGACGGTCGTTTATAGTGTCCTACTCCAAAATTGAGTCCATTTTCACATGCACACGTGGAGAGAAAAGGGACTTGAACTGGTCGCAGGAGAAGATGGTGACGCAGGATGAAGTTCGGTGGGAATCCCGTCGTTTCAGGGCTTTACGGCATCTGTACGGCTCGACGGTAATTTATTTTCTGCTGCATCCTTGGTGATTCCTATATTGCTCAGCCTCTCCCTTCTTTTCTACTCATCACATCACTCTCGTCGGATTATTTTTGCACAATGAAGTTTCTCTGTTTCCATGGTGCCATTGGCAATGTTGATGTAGGTTGGCCATTGAATTGTGAACTATCTTGTACTGACTCTTGCAGAACATCAGCATCCAGCTAGGTAACTTCCCGTGAGATTGACGACGATATTAGTGCTCATGCTCAGTTAGCTCCCCTTGAGAAGGAGATGTCCATGGACAGTTCCGCTGAATTCCACTATATCATGGGCCCCGTTCCTGTGGTTCCCCCGGCAGGTACGTTTTGACAGAGCTCTGATAGAGACCATAGTCTCATTGCCTGCTAGGTTTTACGGAGTATTTTGGTGTTGGTCCGCATTTCAGGTGGCTCGAAGACAATGGAGTCGCGGAGGAATCCATGATTTCCCGCGTTCGAAAATCTCCGCATGGCCAGAGCCCAGAAGATGCTATGAGAACTCTGGGTGAGGGCTGGGATGGCCGCTGGAATAACCACCAACAGGTCATGGATTACCTCTATGATACCTTGGAGAAGAACCCTGACATTGCAGGTGTCATGGGTTATAGTGAGGGTGCTACCATGGCTGCCAGTCTCATCATGGATGAGGCAAGAAAGGCCCAGGAGACTGGACGTGTCCGTCAAATCAAATGCGGAGTCTTCATCACTGGATGGCCTCCCCTCTCTCCCGAGGAAGATGTGGTCCTGGCAGACGAGAGCGACCTTATTCTGGACGTGCCCACACTTCATGTTGTTGGTGCAGATGGTAATTTATCCCTACTCCTTCATTCGAACGATATGCTGAAATCCAAACAGACCCCTACCGATACGGCGCGCTAGCCCTGTTCAATGTGTGTGACCCGGATAGCGCGGCCCTGTTTGATACTGGAGGCGGCCACACCATTCCTCGGTCCGGCAAGGTGATCACAGAATTGGGAAATGCACTCCGGGATTTGATAGACAAGGCATATGAAGCGTAATAGAGAATGAGAAACCTTGGGAAGCACCAAGCCATCTGTGTGCGATAGAACGGACCGTTGTAGAATACACAAAATTCGGAACGGATGGTTCCCGATTCTTCAACAGCGATATGGAAGATAGTTAGATTTCGACAAATAAACAATCCAATTGTTATCATACCAATCTCCGAGTCTCGCCCTATTTTGCGATGGTGTGTTACCCTCCAGTCTCTATTTCGGGCCCGAGCGGGAAAATCTAGAGAGGTTCATATCGTAATGGGAATCCTGGCTATCGTGAATCCTACCAATGCACCGGTATGCCCCATGGGTGTACTACCGTTCCAGAAACTTTCGGCGCATAGAGCCCAATCGTTGTACGTCAAGCCAGATCTTCAATATTTAGTCGAGCTGATAGGCCTAAAAAGTGGGTGGCGGTTGAGTTGATCTACAAGACCGCCGATCATCATTTAGGTCTATCAACCCTATGTGACTTGCCCCGAAATACCGAAACTAGAGCTATCAGTATCCGCCATAACAACCCTCTTAATAAGATTCACTGGGATTGTAGGCGCCAATGGTATTCAAGACCGCAAGAGACCCTGGCCTGGCCAGCTGTCTCCTGAGATGATGGTGTTACATCGGGGGATTAGTAGAAAACAGCAGCTAAGAAACCTGGTGAGAATGTAGACAAAATTTCTCCCAAACTTCAACAGGACTCAAAATTTTCAACTGACTGCAGTTCCGCGGAGCAATAAGAGCCGGCAAACGAAGGACCACAAATGGTGCGGCATTTGTTAGGGCAAATCACCTCAACTCTCAATTGCGCCGTTCGACCCAGAATGTATGGCGTGATCGCCAAAATAATCTGGGCATTTGCCAGTCTACTGCTGAGGCAGTCTCATGCGCAAGCGCCGGATGAATGTGCGATGGTTCACGCCATAATAGCCCGGGGCCAAGGTGGCGGCGACGATCTGAATGTGATGAGCACACTGTCGGACCTGATCCTCCAGCAGATCCCGGGATCGACCACCGTTGGCTTACCCTACGACCATGAAAATGTTCTAAGCAATGAGGCTAAGCGGCTCACAGTTCATGACGGTGCAGTTCTAATGCAGGAGTTTATTGGGGAGTATAGCGAAAGCTGCCCCGAGACTAAGCTTGTAGTAGTTGGCTATTCAATGGTATGTTCATCTTTTCAGCTGAGAACTACTGAAGTTTTGAATGTCCTTCAATCACAGTGGATGCTAAAGTTAACCAGGGCGCGATTGTCATGATGGATGCCATTTGCGGAACTAGTCAGGTTGGGTTTTTCTTCGTCGCTCCTCTTAAACGAAGTTACAATGAGTCAAGTAAGGAACAGCGACGGTTTCAAAACCGCAAAAGCTCACGAGTCATTTAGTCATAGCTGCCATCGCATATGGTGATGAAACTTACCTCCCCGGAATGCCCTGGAACGTGGGTAACTGCACGCTCGGCATAGGGGTGAGTACTCCCATTACTCTGATTCCCGAACTTGACGACAAAGTAGGGTCTAATTAGGTGATTACAAAGCTCACCCCTCGCATGAATGCCGCATTGTGTGATCCATTCGGTAGCTCGCTACACAGTTACTGCGATTACGGCGATGAACAATGCTGTTCGCCGTACCCAGCAGACGGAAACACCGCCCACCATACCTATGTCACCAAATATAACCAAAATGTGGTGGACTTCATTAAACACCGCCTGGCAACTTTGCAATAATGATAATCCTGTTAATAAAGGAACCGGCAATCAAGGGCCGAGGAAGCAAGTGGCAAATCGTATGCTCTGTTACAAGCGTTCACAATAACGTATACAGGTCAGATGTCTTCTAGAAGGATAATAGAGATGAAGATCAGTATCTTGTGGCATCTAGAGAATTTTGATCACCTTAATTCGAAGCTTGAAACGTGATACAATCTATTTTACCATCCCACCTACAAAGCCCCAACAAGCCTGGCGTTGTGCTTCGGCATTTAAATTTAAGTGGAGAACTGACATCGGCAGGTAGACCCTGAAAATCGGATTTCTTCCTCATAGATTGATCGTCTGGAAAAGAGGCCCATTTTTCTCCGCAATATCAAGGAATCTTTTCTCCGAAATTCCTGAGGGCAGATGAAATGACTTGCTTAACTCTTGTAATTAACTGTGCACGTTGCTTATATCGGTGACTATTCTCATAAATAGGCGTATCCCTGATGCCAAATGCCCAAAGTAGTTAGTAAGATGCCTCGGTATGTACCCTTAATGGTGTTGCGCAGCCGCTCGTCCGAGCCTAGCATCATGCAACACTGATTGCACACAGCAATGGAATCTGTCGAAGTAGAAATACTCCGAGGTTTAAACATGACCATCGGGGCATTGAAATTTACGGGAGGGCAAGTTTGGGGCGACATTGAAGTGAGCCGTTGCTCGGTATCGCTCATAATTAACACCAAATATGAGAAACGGCTATAACATCAAATGGCTGCCCTTGTAAACTTCAGACAATAGGCGAATACTTGGTCTTAACCTTATAGTCTCAACCCCTGCATTCTCATCGATCGGTCCAACTTTATCTACCCTGTTCCTGCATTCGAAAAATTAGGATTGTGGAAAGACAGGAACCGTATTGCATTACCTGAAAATGAACCACAGATGCCTGAATACACATATTTGAGCTTAAACGGAATAGACGAACGGTTGGGGTTGACTCAATTTTGAGAATCCGCTCAGTCTTAATAATTAGAGGAAAACCCTGAAATTACGGAGTGTACGATGCATACATAATACATAAACAGGCGATGGGTATCCTATCACACCTCGGTGACCGCCAGGTGTTGTGTGGTCCTATAAATGAGATTTGGAAGATGTTGGTATGGCATAGTACAGTCGATAGCGAAATCAGCTTCCTCCCTAAAGACAGCTTTTATTTTCTCGGGCCCCACTGCCAAGGCACTAGTGGGAATATTTATTTAACGGCCATCAATAAAAAGTCGACTGCTTAAGGTATTGACAGGTATTTAAAACCGGAGTTACGGTTCCAAATTTACAGTACAATACATTTGAATTGTGTTTTGATTTGTGTCAACTCGAGTACTGGGTGATGCACGTGACCGGTTCCTTTCTATGGGATTGGTTTTTGAAAGACCCACCGGTAGTTACGGCCCTCAATTTACTGACTGCAGGCATAATTTGACAGCAAACCCTTGAAAGCGCTGTGCAAATCAACAATTTACATTGTCATGGCACTGATACATACTTGTCGTCATATTATCCTATTCTTTTTGGTTTTATTGGTAAGACGCAAGTTTGTGAGGGCCCTCAAGATTAGATGCTGACATTTACCCTGAATCGGGAATAGCGGTGGATCATATTAATAGAATACCGTGGAATGTCAAAGACCCACACATAGAAACAACACAAACGTCAAGGAATGAAACCGATCTGGCTTGGTTAGGGCGACCGCGCTTTGCTGATCTTCCAACTGCATTGCACTCTCTAGGGCATCATCACTACTATATAAAGAAATCCCTCGGGTTTCATTGAGGTAGGTTCCTAAGTGGGGTATTACGTTATCTCCCCGCACGTTTATCGCAGCTGGGCGTCGAGTGATTACCTTGATGACGTGGCTTCAGCCAGCCACTGGAAGGCATTTAGGTCTATATATTCCGCAACTACTACAATCGACAGACTGTAGACCTACTCCCTGGATATAAACGATAAAAAGTTAATTGACTTGATGATGTCGAGTACGTTTTTACAAAAGCGAAGCCACTCTCCCCTACCCCCGTCCCAGTCCCGAGTTGCTCTAGATTCGTGCTAATTGGAGCTTATCTCATTCTAAAGATTCTAAGGCCGATAGCTATTTTGACAGCTGGTCTAGCAACCTCGATAATGCCTCCACAGAAACCCGGCACAGCTTAGTCCTCAAGTATGAGACTAATTTCGAGGTCAATGTTAAGAGTGATGATGGCATAGTGACCTCACGTTTAATCGTTTGTAAACACGGTGAAGCCATAATTCAGAGGCCGAAGTTCTCAGCATCCCCTGATGGTCAGTTCCCGCTTAGCACGACTCCTCATTAGGTCATCCAACTTCTGGACCCTTCAGTTAACCACGTTGATCAGTTGTCTTCACGATGAGAGCGTCCGATTTCAGTGATTTCCTTGAAGGAAAAGCCGATGTCCAGAAGCTATACATGTCAGGGAGGTTGAAAGTGAAGGGTCAATATACGGCCGTCGCGAAGTTGCAAGCTGTTTTTCAGGACCTTGTCAGCCTAGGGTCGTGATTTCATTTAGTTTTTTTTTTTTTGGCGGATTCTACCCCACGGGACTAAGCCTGTCAGACACAAATTCATCTTAGCCAATGCGTTGTGACTTCCTCTTGCCCCTACCCCTGGTATAGTCGGTAGCGAAATCAGCTTCCTCCCTACAGACTCCTTTTCTTTTGTCGGGCCCCACTGCCAAGTCCTTAGCCTAGATCGTGTATTGATTGGACCACGCTAAATTGAGGGCCGCCGTAAAATGCTCCTTATCGAGTACCGTAGCTATCAACGTTTACCGCCCATATTCAAAGCACCGGGTGTAATATTACGGAGGATGATACATTACCATACACGGCACATTTTACAACGACCCTCAACTTGATGTGGCCCGATCAATAAAAGCTCTGCGCTAAGGCCTTGGCAGTGGGTCCCAAGAAAAAAAAGCGGTCGTTAGGGAGGAAGCTGATTTCGCTACCGACTGTAGAAGGAGTAACCCTGAAATTCTTAATGCAAAGAAAAAAAGCTCAGGCCGGGTTTAGAGAAATTCCATAGACAGATCAAATCACATTATCGAACTGGGCAAAAACACAGTGCATGCAAATTATATCAGATTCATCTCCGAAGAATCCACCTCTAGAGCGGCCCATGAAGATTACATATGCTGGATATGTGTGTCATATTGATCTCGGGTTTAGATTGCGCCAAATCTTGAGTCATTCGCAATCCATAGTCTGAACATTCTAGACATTGACCCCCTCGCCTTTCCATCCTCTATTCGTCTGCGATGTCCCTGTCTTGGGGGAGTTTCAGTTTCATCTCACGCCCTTCTGCCCCTTCTCAAACTATCTGCGGAGACGATAAGACATACTAATTTCCGGCTGGTTAAATTAAAGTCCGGGACATGGCAAAATGTGCTACTGCAAGTGTGCGTGCCCACACAGCTTCTCGATCGTTGACAGGATCAAGTTTCCATCTCGCTGTTACGTTGCTTCCAGACCCAGAGCGTCCAGAAGACGTCGAGGCCGATAGTTTCCTTGACGTGTCTGCCCTAGGAAGTTTGCAACAAAAAGTTAATGCGAACCGAATTACTGCCAGGTATGAGCCAATTCCAGAATATGATTATCGATTTACCAATCGCAACTCTCTGGAGTTTATGGCACAATTGTTCCCGGAATTATTGAATCTCTCTGACTGAGTATACGTATATCTCAAACAGCAACTATTGAACGAACCTGACATGGATCGTCTTCAGTTGACTTCAAGTGGCTTTTGCTTCACTAGAAAAGTAATATTTGATTAGACCTTCTATCACTTCTAAAACCTGTTCAATGGAACCTAAGCTCGTCGTATCCGGTAGCAGTCTCACTCCATGACCGATACTAAACAGCCCTATAAACACATAAATTATAACAGCGTTATAGCTGGAGTCAAGAACAAGTTCCTTATCCGAGGCTCGACAGATATGCTTATCCTCTTTCGACATGTAACTTATACCTAGGTACTGATAGCGTAGACACCTATCCTCACGCAGCATTCGCCAGAGACAAAGTTAGAAGAAGAACGTGACAATAAAACAGTACCACAAACCATCTAATAACAATAAACAAATGCCTAGTAAGTCCAATCCAAATGCTCCTGACCGAAGCCGTACAGCCGCATCGAGAGATATCAGCTAATCCCGTTTCGGCGAACCAACTCCATTTTCCACCTCTACAAAACCATCACCCTCCAAGCCAAGCGCAGCCTCTATGTTCTCCCGTCAACTCACCGGAGTAATCTCCAAGCCCATTGTCACAGGCGTGCGAACAACCATAGCCCACCGCCTCTACTCAAGCCCCCCGAGATCATCGCCACGACCACCACCCGCGCCCCAATCCCGCTCCAATTTCCCAGTCATCCCCATCATCGCCCTTCTCGCAATCAGCTCAGGCGCCTACGTCCTCCTAGTCAAATCCCGCACCGGCCAAGCCCCAACCCGCAAGGAATTCTAAGTGGTAAGCCACACCCCAAGCCCAAACCGGGGGACCTCAAAAAAAGCTCACCAAACTCCGACCCGTGTCAAGATCCTGCCCCTCCACACCGACAAGTCCCCCCCACAAACAACACCTCGACCTCGAAGCCAACTCCACCCCCTAATACCATACACCTCCCATAACAACAATCCCAAAACAAACCACCCAAAATGACCATCGCAACCCCCCGCTTCTCCCCGAACGACGTAACAGTCGTCTTCTTCCTCGGCGGACCAGGAAGCGGCAAAGGAACCCAATCGGCAAACCTAGTCCAATCCTACGGTTTCGTCCACCTCTCCGCCGGTGATCTCCTCCGCGAAGAACAAGACCGCAGCGGAAGCCAATACGGCGAGATGATCAAAGAATACATCCGCGAAGGCAAGATCGTCCCAATGGAAGTAACAGTGGCCCTGCTGTCAAACGCAATGGCCTCGTCACTGTCCACGAACCCCCCACCAGCCGGCACGAAAGCGCGCTTCCTGATCGACGGGTTCCCGCGCAAACTCGACCAGGCGGTTTTCTTTGAGGAGACTGTTTGTCCTTCTGAGCTTGTTCTGTTCCTCGATTGTCCTGAGTCTGTTATGGAGACGCGATTGCTGAAGCGGGGTGAGACGAGCGGGCGCGCGGATGATAATGCTGAGTCTATTCGCAAGCGGTTCCGGACTTTCGTTGAGACTTCTATGCCTGTTGTTGAGGATTTCCGCCGGAAGGATAAGGTTGTTACTGTTACTGCTGATAAGTCTGTTGAGGAGGTTTATGCGGAGGTTAGGAAGGGCATTGAGGCTCGTGGTATCTCTCCTCGTTAAGGGGTTGGTGTTTTGTACATATCTTGTGTCTTGTGTGGATGAGGTGTCCGTGTTGATTTGCTGAGTGGTGTGAGCTTGGATTTGTGTTGGAAATAGATTATAGATGAATTGAAGCATTTTTGGACTTGACTGCAGACAATCCTTGATAGCATTGATATATATCAATGTGTTGATAGTCGGAAAACATACACCAGGACAGTCTAAAGAAGTATGATATTCTTTATACCAAAGTAAAAAAATAGAACAAAAGAAAAGTCATCCCTCCGGAAAACATAAACAAGACTTAAGACTGACATGACATGGCTCGTGGGGTCCCAAACATCGGGAGGCCAGTAAATCCAACCCTAAAACTGGCCAAAAAGGAAATGCATGAGGAAAAAAGGGCGCGAAATTTCCCCTCTATTAACTGAGAATTTTTGTGTTCGGTGAGCTTTTTCCATTCGTAAAAAAAACATCCGTTGCATCCAGAATCCAGGGAATCAAATTTACTCGGCAGAAACCTCAACCTCGCGTGTAGGCTGGTTCCGTCTCCGGTCACCGTTGCGGTTCTTGTCACCCTTGGCGGCTTCTTGGTCGACGGCGGACTGGATGCCCTCACGGACGAAACGCTCACGCTCGGAGCGGATCACGGTGAGAACGTTCTCGAGGGAACGGCGCCACACCATCAGGCGGCCCTGGACCTCGGACCATTGCTTCTCACCAAAGACACGGTAGGTGGCGCGGTGGACAAGGAACTCGGACTTCAGCTGGGAGAGCTTGCCCTCAACAAGGCCGGCACGGATGGTGTCAATAACCCACATCTCGACATCGGAGGCGGGAACGCGCAGAGCGGAGGCGATGGAGGCATAGGGGAGCGAGCGCGAGGGGGTGGAGGCGGCCAGCGAGGTGAGGGTGAGGAGACGCATCTTGGTCTGCAGAGCATCGGCAGAATCAGCGAGAACGCCGCCAGAGATGGAGGAGAGCGGGGTGGCGGAGACGAAGGTCTCGTAGGCGTCGAGGGTGTCCGCGGTGAAGATCTCGAGCAGCTCGAAGAGGGTGCTGTCGCTGGAACGCAGGGCCTGGACGGCATCGGTGGCAGTGAGGGGAGCGAAGTCGAAGACAGTGGGGCGACGCAGGGCGGTAGCGAGAGCACGCACAGCGAGCTCGCGGGACTCGGGCTTACTGACATCGGCAGCGTCGATGGTCTGCAGGGCTTGGATAACGTGCGACTGAGCGAGCTCCTCATCACCAGCGGCGGTCGAGGCCTCGGCGATAGCGATGTGCAGCTTGCGGGTGTCGTCGGAGTCCAACTCCCAAGAGGCGAGCCACGTGGGAAGCTGCGAAGAGAGCTGGGGCTTGAGAGCCTCAAAGGCGAGTCCAGATCCGGACTGCCGAATCACGGCAACAATGGCCAGGAGAACGTGATACCGGCTCGAGTCGGTGGCGGACAGGGTGTTGAAGATGGTGGAGAGGATGGAGATGGCGAGCGAGGCACCGAACTGAGGCGAGGTGGTGATGGGCTTGGCAAGGTAGGTGCAAATGCGAGGGAGGAAAACATCGGCATCGGAGGACTGGTGAACAAGGTGGACCAGGAGGTTGTAAGACGAAGTGATCTCTGCATTGATATCAGTTTTTTTTTTATCCTTCCATGAACCAGAACAAAGTGCAGAGTCCGATTGCAGATCGTTTTTCTTTGTCCGGACTTCATCACGACTCACCCTTTTCGGGGGCAGCGCTCAAAGCGGTCGCAGATGCGACGAGCTTCTTGAGGACTTCATCGCGCTGCTTGAGGTCGGCTTCGCCTTCAGACTGTTCCTGCTGGCGGAGAGGTTCGAGGAGCGGGGCGATCTCGGACTGGAGGCTACCCTCTTTGCGGAGGGCGTCGATGTACTGGGCGAACTCGTCGGCGAGCTCGGTGAAGGAACCCTCGATGAGAAGGGTGGTAGTAGGGGCGGGCATGATGGGATGTGTGGTGTAAGGAGAGAAAGAGAGAACGTGAAGTTCTTGGTGGTGGAGTCTATCGATAAGTTGAGAAATTTCAGTGTGTGCCAAAAAGTCTTGGCGAAACACGAACACCAACTGGATTCTGCCTACTACATTACAATTATTTGTTCGGATCTTTCTTCATCTTAACGGGTCTCCATAATTGGGTTTATTACTTTTTTAATAGAATACCTGCGCGAAATAATCGCACACAAACTCCGTCTCGAGATATCAAAGGAAGGACAGGCGCCACGTTCATAGACGGAAAACATCATGAGTCAAGAGCAGTTGGAACAGGGGAATCGAGCGTCTTAAAAGACAAATGGCATCGCGATGAGATAAAAGCATAAAAAACAAGCAGAACGATATGCGACCACAGGATCAACAGTCAGGCAATTTCCAGCCTCTACAGGACCATGCGAGCGGCCACGAACATGAGGCCAGCCATGAGACCAGTGGACATCTTGGTCATGTCACCAGCGACGGCAGCGTTGCTGGTGGTGGTGCTAGCCGCAGCGACGGAAGAGGTCGTGGAGGCGGACGAGTCAGTGGCGGTGGCAGTAGCCAGGGTTGTGGACGCAGCGGTGGTGGAGGAAGAAGAAGTGGTGGACACCTCGCTGGCGTTCTTGCTACCACAGTTGGAGGCGGCCTTCTTGCAGGCACGCTGGGCTTCCGCATCGTTGGCGTGCGCCGTGATGCACTGGCCGTAGTTGTTCTCGCAGACGTAGAAGGGGATGGTCTGCATGTAGGGAGAAACATCGGGCGACGAATCGTCGCTGCAGACACAGCTGAACTTCAGGGTGGCCTGTAGGGGGTCAGTCTGCTGTACATGTTACACCCGGGCAGTTTCACATACAGGATCACACGAGTTGAGCTTGGTGCCCTGCTGGCAAATGTCCGGGCAGGCATTGCGCTGTCCAGTACACCAGGCGCCTATTTCGAGTTAGCAATGTTTAACAGGCTGATTGTCGCGTTCACTCACTCCGGGTGCTGGAGTCCACCAGGCCAATGTTCCAGCCCTCGGGGAAGGTGTAAGAGTCAGTGGAGTTGGCAGCCAAGACCGAGGTGGCCAGAGCAGAGAGGAAGGCAATAGAGGAACGCATGATGAGTATGGATTATGGATTAATGGTAGTATGGATTATGGAGGGTGGAAGAGGAGAGAGAGAGAGAGAGAAGAAAGAGGACTAAAATAGCAGGAAGGTACCCAAGGTTTATTATCGCATGCCTTGCCAGGGTAACACCGAATGCGTTTCTACACTAGTTTAACTAGCACGGGGCCATAACTTGGTATAACCTGGTTATGAATGAAACAAAGGGTTGAAGATACCAGTCCAAGATGAATCAGGGTCCTTGGCTGCGTCCAACTAAACCTGAACTGGTTAATCAGACCCCTACCGACGCCATCCGAGCGAATCACATAGCTGCAATGGAGACCTGCAGACTCTGTGATACAGGTCGCTTACAATAATTGGGTTCACTCTCTGTTTATCTCCAGGGGCGCCCTCGCATTCCAGTGCCGAATACCGGATCCGACGCCCCTTGCGCCAATGGCATACTCGGGCAAGACAGCAAAAGACAATCCGTGGGGAAGATCAGGGCTGGCTGTGTGATTGGACCGGCAATTGAAGGATGGATGTGTTGGGATCAGCAAGATGAAGCTTCGTCCCCTCCCACCGAACAGGTACAATGCAACACGTGACTGTCTATCTTGCCCTTCTCGGTGATACACCGGGCCGAGGTTCAACTATAACCTTGAAGATAAAGATAAATGAACTCTTTTCCTCTTCCCTTCCGATACACAACTCAAAACTCAAACACTTGAGAGAAAGAACCATGGCCGACCCAGGCCCAGCCATCGCCCATCTCCGCTCTCACCCATGGGCCAACTCCCTAATCTCCTCCACCGACTACACCCCAATAGAAACCGACTCCCGTCGCCTAAAGCCGACAACCGGTGAAGATGGCTACTTCGCCCAAACCCTCAGCACAAAATCCACAATCCCACATTGTCTAACCCTACAGCGGCGCAACATTGAACCCGCCCCAACAGAAACCCCCGCCTGGCTCCCCGCAACAAAAGCAGAAGCTGCAGCCGCCGCAAAGCCCACTCCCGGCGCAAACCCTGCCGATGTCATCATGATCTTTGACCTCAGTAGCCCAGGGCTATCGGGTCATCCTTCAACCGTGCATGGCGGGATTGTCGCGACGCTG